ACACCAGCAGACCTAACATTAAGGAACAAGAAAGCCTTGCAGTGAAGGCAGGAAGCAGGAGAAACAGACTTGTCTCCTTTTATCCTAACTCATATCAGCTTAAAATCAGTAATTTGACTTGCTCTTCATGGGCCATAGCTGTAGTATGCAGTTTGTGGAGATGGGAAATCTCTGTAGCGCAATAGGAATGCTTTGTTTTGTTTCCAAACAGTGCCAGACAGCTCAGAACTGCCGAAAAGGGGCCAGTGCAGCACGCAAAGTGGCAGTAATTCAGCAGAATTAGAGGAGGCTGCTAAAACTCTGAAATCCCCAAAGCGAAGTTTAAATGATAAAAGAGAAGCAGAAAGCCCATCTTGTAAAATATTGACTAAATACTGTGAATATTAAGAACATCTTCCATTTCTTTGCCTTTTTTTTTTGTACATTGACAGATGACTGCCACTCTTTCCCAATGTGACATCTATCATCATTTTTCAAGGTTTCTGCTTTGATTTAGACTTTTTGAAGAGCTGTAATCTTGGGGTTTATTTCTGTTTTCTTTAATAAAAATTTCTTCAAGGATACTCAGATAGCTCCACCAGCTGCTACACTGCTGTGGTTTGCGTGCCCCTCTATGTGAGGTCTCACTGCAGATGTGGAGCTTTTTAAGACCCAGTCAAGTTTATGGATGCCTGGCATACAAATTAGTCACCCCATCCTTAAATTATTACTGAATTAGGAAAAACTCTTTTACCATTACAGAGGAAGGGAAGACAGGGGTGCTGGAATCAAATCTTTCAACATTTTTACCCTTTTAGCCGACTATATTGAGCTCATCTCTGAATGTCTCTTCACCTAAGATGTCTGAAAATCCTGCAAAATATTTGATCTCACAGTGTATTTGTCCTATTTTGATTTACAAAATCACAGGTGTTACAACTCTGTGTTCTCATAACAGTGTCTGTATATATCAAACTGTACATCAAAAGAGTAATAAAGATTTCTGTGAAGCTATTAGGAAACAAAGTGAGATGCAAGCCCCTGGAACGTACAAGGGAAAAAACACTTCTTAACACCATAGCCAGGAATTCAAAAACCAACAACTGGCAGACCATGTCAGACAGAAAGCATATTTTTGTGTTCAAGGTCTGTAAAGAAACCCCTAGACTGTGAAGAATACGTTACAGGAAACTTCTGCCCCCACAGCTATATCTCATTTTATCTCCTCATCTTTTCAAAACTGGCACAAACCACCCTGCAAACAGCTTTCCAACTGCATCAGAGAATCTCCAAATAAACCTGGAAGTTCCAGACAAATACAGCTTTGCCTGTTCAATTCACCATGCTCCATTTACAGATTTTGAAAACCTGCTAACAAGGATACGGAATTCCTTGTGAGCTCCTTTGAATGTTTAGGTTTTCGTTAGGATTTGGCAGGTGGCTTTCATTTGTGCAAGGATTCCCCAGGAATTTTGCCACTGGGAATGACTGAAGAGACATATCCCTTCTGCTCACAGCCCTTCTCCTGCCAGGAGACACAAGTTATGTGATTCTATGAGTTCATGTTGACTCTTCAGCAGCCTGCAAGACAAGCTAGTCTGCAGCACGCTGGCCCAAAAGAGCTGTATCTCATGACACATTCAGCTACTGAGCATCAATTAAATAGTTTGCAATTTGCCCAGCTGATGAATGGAATAAAATAAAACCCAGTTTCTCATAAATTACCCACCATGCAATGTAGAGAAAGCATCAAACTGCAGCTTTTGATCTTTAAGCCACTAGCAAGAACATGAAACTTCACTGACAAAAATTGGTATGTTAAAATAAAGTTCAAAATGTGCTAAATGAACAGAATTTCTGTTCAAAGTTCTCTTCATTAACAGTTATTGCATATTTCACTGCAGGGAAAAAATAAGTAAGTCCTTATGAAAGCTGAATGCTAATTTTAAAGCAATCAGAAATGCATAGATGTTTTAAATTAAAAGAAATGGCTTTCTAACATCTTGACTATTTCAACAGAAGCAGATGGTTTATATTGCTTTACTGCTTAATTAAACATTTTATATATTCTGTAAAATGGTATTTGATGGCATCCTTTCCAACTGGCTTTCTAAATTTAAATTACGTATGCACCATATTAATCAGATAATTAAAATATTCATATCTAATACCAACTTACTGACCTGGCTTCTATCTTCTAATACATGTGAAAATCTAGTTATCCACTTTGTTCCTATTTCTTGATGGTAATACTAACTTTTTCCATAATTCTACTGGTTTCCTTTATTTTAAATAGTCCTAATTTAAAAACAATATTTTAGATTTTTTGCCTTTTATCCCCTTTACAAAAAGAGGATAAATAAGATGAAATATTTTATGAAATTAAATATTAAAACAAACACCAAACAAGATACAGGTTTGAATGCTGCTCTAAAAGCTAGACATGACTACTGAAGAGTGTGAGAGGTTTGAGATAATGAAGAAGGCTTAATGAACTCACTTAGAAAGCATTTCATAAAAGACAAAGAGGCACACTGTCCCCAGGTTCCCCAGGGGAAAATAAAATCAGGTTACACAGTAGCACAAAGCCACTATCAGACAACTGGCAGGAAAAGGTGGGATGAAAAGAACAAACTGAGCATAGTGAGAAAAGTTGTCAAAATCCTTATTAAGTACAAATTTGATGCAGTAATTCCAGCAAAAGGAAGGGTTTCACAATTATCATGTAGAGTTCCTGGCATGATTTTATAGAGGTGATTAAAAACAAACAGTAGAAGGCAGAAATCGATAAAACAACAATATAGTCACTGAGCCAGGGGATTTTTTTAAAGACTACAAAAGATAACCTTAGACTAGAATGAACTTCAGTCTGTTCTCTGGGTTTATAGATCAAATAGATGAGAAAAGGTACCAGTGTGTGCACAAATGGCCCTGCTTAGTTACACTGCACCAGGGTCCTTACATAAGCAGGTGACAAATGCCTATCACAAAGTGAAAGTGAATTAAGTGACTTGTGAGTCATGTGGAGTAATTTGGGACACAGTCATTACACCCCTCATGAAAACCAAAGGCACTGGCACTAGGGCACACTGCACATTTGAAACTATAGCAGCTTTTCCTGGCTCTTCCCAGCCACTTATTCACCACACTGAAGCTCAGAACTCCAAGTCTCTCCTGCTCCTCTTGAGCCAAGTCCACACCACTGAGCAGGGGAGAAAACCCAAACATTCATAGATATTCTTTAATCGATGAAAGGCAGCTACGTCACAGCACAGCTCTTTATGTATGACCAGCACATTGTACAAAGAGAAGCAACCCTCAGACTCATAATTTCATAAAAATCAGCAGCTGCAAAAAACACCCAACAAAAAAAAACCCCAACAGCAACACAACAAACAACAAAACATGAAGCATTTTATTAAATCAGAACATCAGCTTGAAAAAAAATTACAGCAATATGATAAACCTAGGATAGTTAGGTGGTAAAATGACCAGAATCATCAAGACTATATAAAAGCATTTGCTCACCATCTCTTTTAATACTCAGATCAGCCATTCAAAGACATTGACAAAACAAACAGCAGAGTAACTCCTAAAACTCTCTACCATTAGGAATTCAAGCAAGTATTTGAGTGAATAATTACAGACATGCACTGCTTGCAAATAGATATTAATTTAATTTAAAGGCTGTTATTATTAAATCCAGAAATGCCTATTCTTGTATTCCTCCAGCTAAACAGGAGAGCTTTTACCCATTCCACAATATATAGTTCATTGCATGTGAGTTCTGAGAGACAATTGATTTTCCTTACCTGGAAGCACTTGTCAGTTACACAAAACTTACTTCAGACCGACACATTTCATATGTCTTATGTTGATTTACATTATATACTGAAGTGTTGTAATATGCCTGATTTTACATATCATCATATGCTAAATGATCTTTTAAAGACTGCAATATATTAACCCCATCCCATCTGAAAGACCCCAGGTCACTGAATGCACACATAAAGGAACAAGCGTGGTAACGGAGAGTCAGTGCTTCTGCATGCAGTCTCATCTAAACTCCAAAAACTGAAAATTAAAAACAAAGGCACCACCCACTGAGCCACTTTGGCATATAATCATTGGGAAGGGAATATAAATGTTTCAGCAGATATATTTTTCACCAATAGTTTGACAGATGTTGTGGTTTCTGTAATAATGTGAACATTATAAACTAATTTTCCAGGTACACTATACTGGAGTATATCTCTGTATTTGTTGATTCAATAGTTTTTTCCCAAACACGTTTCACAATGGAAGTTTATTCAGGTAGCTGAGACTAAGGAGCAAGTACAAAATGAATTCCCTGTCAATAATGAGCCTGAGGTACTTCTATGTTACTTGGACATTGTCAGAAGCAGTACTCAGAACCTATGGTTTGTTCCATCCATACAAACAAGAGCAAGGGAGTGAACCAAGACTTTCTGATATAATTTCAAACAAAGCAAGTGCACAGAGGGGCAAACTGTAAGAAACACTCAATTATAGGCATTACAATATAATCCCAAATTATCTTTGAAACAGAAAATACTTGCAAAGATGTCTTGCAATGTGTATGTATTTCATAACCTGCTTTTTAGGCCCTGCTCATGAAACAACGTACTTTTTTTTCTCCACAAACTGTGAAAACTTTTTAGTGCTTAAGATATTAAGTGCTTAATTAATAGTTCTTAGCCCTATGTGAACTTTTAAAGTAAGTCCCCCACAGGCCCCAGAACACCCCACCGCTGGCTCCAAGTCCCTAGAGGCTCTTCGGGCGGGGTCTGTGCCCAGGGCGCGGACTGGGCAGGAGCCTGCGGCAAGGCCCGCTCCTCAACCCCGCGGCGGGCACCGCTCCCTCCGGACCCGCCGGGGACCCCCGGGCCGCGGAGCCCTCAGCGGGCGGCAGCAGCCGGGGGCGGGCCCGGCTGAGGAAAGGGCGGGCCGGGGGCGGGCCGGCGTGCCCGGAGGGAGCGGTCGGGTGGAGCCGAGCCCCCCGCCCGAGGCGGGCGCGGCGGCCACGTCAGCCCCGGAGCCGCCCCGCCCGCCTCCGGCCCAGAGCCGGATCCAGGATCCCGCCGCCCTTCCGCCGGCGCCGGGGGAAAGGCGCTGCCATCCCAGCCTGCCCCGCGCCCGGCCCGCTCGCACCGCCGGCTCCCGCAGCCCCGAGCCCGGGGCCGGCCCCGCTCCGCGCTGCGGGGAGGGCAGAGCGCGGCGGCCGCCCCGCCCCGGTGCCTCCCCGGCCCTCCCGCCGCAGCCCGGCCCCGGCCCCGGCCCCGTGGGGCTCCGACCTTCTCTCTCCCGGCGGTGGCGGCGGCTCCCGGCACGGGGCTTATCTGCCCGGCTTTGTCTGTGAGGGGCGTCCGCAGCCTGCCTGGCGGGCAGCCCCCGCCCCGGGGCGGCGGCCGGCCCAGAGCCAGCGGCCCCTTGCGCGGAATGAGCCCCGGCGCTGCTGAGGGGTGAGTATGAGCCCTCCTGCACCCGCCTCTTTAATGCGATGCAGGTGCGTGGCTTTTAGTGCCATTCGCTGAAGCTGTGCATGGTTACCCCAGTTAAGGTAACAATTAAGAGATGGTCTACCACTTGTGTGGTTTTCAGAAGGAAGATAATTAGCCATCCAGAAACTTCAGTGCTCACGTGCAGTCCGCAGAAGCTGATGGTGGGGTGCATTACTAACCGGTGTTTATTGAAGAGATCGTATTTAATTGTTTTTTCTTCTGTTATCTTACAGGGTTTCTCTTTAGCAAGACTCGTGACATGAAGTAGAACAGGCATTTTGAAGAGCTCTGCCATAAATACAGATGTATCTCTGAATGTTGGCACATTTACTGGAGACTCTTCCCAAAGTCTGTTTGAATCAGAGCCTGTGAAATTTCCAAAAGCTTCATAATGGAGTTTTTAGCATCCAAAGGAGATTATATTAGGTATTTCAAAAGGTCTTTATTGCTAGTTTTAGTATGTGTAATAGTTCTTGTGTGCACTGATCAGGACTACTATAGTTTACTTGGAGTATCCAAAGAAGCAAGTAGTAGAGAAATACGACAAGCATTCAAAAAGCTGGCATTAAAGTTGCACCCTGATAAAAATCAGGTAAGTTACCTTTTTCACAAGTCAAAGGTGTTGACTTAATGGATCTTAGTGTTTAAACAAAAAGCAGTTTTAATGTATCAAAAATGTGTGTCTGTTGTTGGGTAGTTAGCACCTGATAATACAGTTCGACTCAGATTTTCTACAGAGAAAATTTACAAAAAGTGGTTGAGTTGTCATACATGATTTTGTTGAATTTGGGCTGCATTAAATTTCCATAGTGAAAAGAGTCAAGATTCTTTAATTCTCACTTATATTTTTGTAACTAGAGGAAAACTTATTTGTGTACCATATTACCTTGTTGGTAAGCTGTTGAGTTTTCCTCTTTCCGTTTTGTTTTGGGGCACTTGCTGTTTCCCTGCCCGAATCATGTAAGAACAGCCTGTTCTGAGACATCAGTCTCCAAGTATCAAATAGGACAAAACAGACATCCTGGGGTCAGGGAAATAAACAGACATCTAAGGGATAACAGTGGAGGTTACTCTGGACTACCTGGAGAGAGAAGATTGGAATGGCTCAGTCTGTGTTAGTGTATTTCTCAAATACAAAGACATCACTTTTAGACGTCATCAGTTTTTCCTTTAAATGACTTGAAATAAGCAGAAATCCACAGGAAATAAAAGGGTTTAGAACTTTGTATGTACATCTGCATGGAGTCCCAAAAGACAGCAGTATTTCATATCAGCTCAGGGCCTGCCTTCACTGACCACATTGGAGTGTCTGACAGTGCTCAGCGAAAAAGCCAAATGTCAGCAAAGTTAGGAATGCCAACTTGTAGCTATGAAATGAAAGTTTTGCTTTCTCTGTTGACCCTTTCAAAATAATGGCCTTTGGGGTCAGATGCTGTTGTTTCTGAGCCTGTAAATACTACTAAAGATTTTTCAACAGGTTATTTTCAACCTTATATAAATGGTATATAGAAGATGAGCCCACCTAGCTAAAACAAAAATCTTAAGAAGAAGTGTATTTTAAAACAAATGTGTAAGCAGAAGTTAAAAGAGCAGGACTGTGTGGCACATTTTGCACACCACTGTTACACTGCACCTGTGCAGATCCCAAACTTGGATTCAAAATATGTCTGCAGATTTTTCACCATTCTAATTCCCAAGCTACCTAGAACAAAAATGCTTTTTAAGTAAAAGGAGGAGGCATCTGTTTACACTGTCAAGACCAGAAGGGATGAATCTGTCTCTAGCAGAGCTTTTGAACTGGTCAAGCAGGGATTCTAGGGGAATGGAAAATATTATGGAGGAAATGGTATGTCTTCATTCTTGAGTATTTTTTTAAATTCCACTGAAGAGAGAGTTGAAAAAAGAGGGTTCACTGGAGGGTGTTACAGCCTCCTACCAGTTCACTTTGTATTTCAGTTGGTACTTGAGTAAGGATGGAAGAAATAAGAGGGCACAGCTGGCTTCAGGAAAGGAAAACTTTACTCTAGCTTGATTTGAGATCACAGTGCAATGTCTGCTTCCATCACAACTGACATCCTTAGCAGGGATATAAAAATATTTCCAAATACCATTTTTTCAGCATTATATACACTATATGGTTTATTAATTAATTACTAATTATAGTTTTCCTTACATAGAATGATCCAAATGCACATGAAAACTTTTTGAAAATAAATAGAGCATATGAAGTACTTAAAGATGAAGATCTACGGAAGAAGTATGATAAATATGGGGAGAAGGGTCTCGAAGATCAGCAGCAGGGAGGTCGTTACGAGAGCTGGCACTTTTATCGCTATGATTTTGGTAAGTTATGATGTGTGTTTGTGATTTGCTTAAAACAGGCACAAGGAAATGCCATATTCAGATCTGTATCAGACCTTTCACATGTTTCTTATGTACCCTCTCCAGATTGCTGTCTGCTGTCTAGATTCTGTAGCTGTCACTTTCTCTCTGCTGGCCCAATATTTTATTTACCCTGTTAATGGCTACCCAAAGGTGCAATCTATTTACCTAGCCTTTTGTTCCTGCTGCTTGCCTTTTTATAGGTCAGCTAACTTCTTGTTTATTTTTTTTAAAGTGCAAAGATTTTTTTTCACTTAAATGTAAGTGTTAATATTTCATCAGGATTCTTTTTAACTTTTTAATGCAGGGAGACCTTCAGGGGGATTTTGAGAGGAAATTTTTGCACTGTCAAGCCTATTTGATATGCAGCTATGCAATTAGGCATCAGTAAAGAGGTAGCAGAAACTGAAAAAAAGAACAGAATCATACCTAAAATGATCTTGACACAAGTTACTTAATGTTTGTCTCAACAAATTTTAGGTAGTTGTAGGGAAAGGCTGCAATGAATGATTCTCAGAGCTACTGTAACAGGAGTAAACTACAACAGGGAACTGAGGAACATAGTTGGATTGGGATGAAAGAGACAGCTGAAAGGAACCTCTACCTTGGCAACAATTTTTTTCTAGTGTTGTTTTATTTAATATGTCCCAATCTCTAAGAAATTAATGTCTGTGCAGATTGAAATTGAATAAACCAGTGGCACAAGTATCACAGGAAAATATGGAAATTAGTCTAAAACTTCTTCAGATAAACAGATTTAAATTTTACCTCCCTGAAGTTTCACTGCTTGATTGAGAAACAGTATCCTGAAATGTCTATTAATCAGTGATTTAGGGAGCATCTATTTTTATATTTTATGTGTGTGTGTGTATGTATATAAAAATAGCTTTATATGTATTTATATGTATGGATGAGCATATGTACTATATTACATGAGATATAAATGAAAAGTAATATAAAAAGTACCTTGTCACCTGTAGATATTAATTTCTCTCATTATTTATTTGCATTTGATCCTTGTGTACTTCAGGTGAAATGACATCTCAGCGTGTTATGTACTGTAAAAATCTGCAACCATAGTAGCATAATATGATGCTCTTTAATAGCATTTTTGGTACTCTGCACTGCCTTTCTTGTGTAGTTGAGGTTGTGTAGTTGAAGTAGTAGAGTATTTTGTAGTGATGCCCTAGGTAGGACTGGTTAGTTTTGTCTTCCTTTGTTCTAGCCACTTCATTCCACTGCATTCACACACACACGTTGCTAGTGGGAAAGCCTGTGGCTGGAAACACCTTTTGATATAAATTTTTGGGTAACCAGAGGCTGAGAAAGTGTGGAAGTTTCTGGACATTACATAAAGCTCTCAATGAGAGCTGAGGCTTCTTGAATTTTAATCTGACAGCTGGATAATGTTATTTCTAACATAATTTCTCTTGCCATAACAGCAGTAGTTCTAACTCTCTGCTGCCTTCATGGTTGGTTACTTAATTATCTAAAGAATGTTTTGATAGTGGCTGTGGTAGCATGAGAGTGAGTGAGCTAGCAAGAGGTTAAACTCAGGGTCCATCATACTAAACAGGGACAGCATTTTTGTAAAACTTCTTTGGCAGCTTAGTATTTCAACTTAAATCTACTGTCTTCTCTTGTGCATAAGATGGTAGTTTGTGTGTTTTAAAGGTGAAAAATAAAAGCAACTGTTGGGTTTTTTTAATAGGTATTTATGACGATGATCCCGAAATTATAACACTGGATAGAGGAGAATTTGGTAAGTTTTTTAAACATGACAGCCCAAAGTACAATTTTTACATATTGAGCTGTGTCTTGGTAGGCTTTTCTTACCTATCTTTACAAACACATGTTGGAGAATCATCTTCACATGAGAAAACAAACAAGAAAAAAAACCCCTTAATGCTTCCTGTTAAACACTAGCTAGAAAATCAATCAATATCAATAAACAGTGTACATTAAGTTTTAGAGCTATTTTGTGAGGTCTGTAAAAGGAAATTATTTGAATTAAAATTTTGTTACTCCTAATTTATCGTCTCTGTTTCTCTTCAATAAAAACACACTTGATAGAACTTTTCCAATATAATTTTTTCTGTGAAATCCAGTCAATTGTGTGTATTTCAAAACAAGACGGTGATACCAGATACTAAAAACACAGCTAGGAAGAACAGGGTGTGGAAAGATAACAGTTTCTCTGTGAATATTGTCCAGCTTTTTTTTCTTTGTTGTTTGTAACTAAGAGAGGTTAGAGTAAAAATACTGGATTTTGTGTGATTTTTCATCTGCATATTGAGTACAGTTTCCCATGTGCAAGATTGGACCCACATGCTGAATTAGTCTTGTAAACTGTTCTAAGAGCAGACCCTCATGATGCTTTCCCTGAGACCACAGTCTTGCTTTGGTTAATCTATTTGCAGGGCCAACATATTCCTTAGTTGTCTTTTTTGTGAGGATATTTTAATACAGGCAAATAAAGGTTACAAAATCCACTACACAAAAATTGGACAGGCTGAAAGCCAAGTAATTAAAGCTGATAACTGCTCTTTGTGTATATTTTGTTGCTGTTGTTTTCTTTCATAAGCAAGATGATTTATGTTTCCCTTGACTTTTCTAGTAATTATATTAACTTGGATTTTTAAATTACATTAGACATGATTTCTTCATAAAAATACTGCCAGGTGAGACTCACTAAATACCTAAAGTAATATAAAGAAATGGAAAATTCTGGTGGGTAAAAATCTTTTAGAATTTGTATTTTGTAACTACACTTACACTATCACACATTTCAGCTAGAATAATCTGCAGACAGTACTTTTTTTCTTAATTAGTAGAACAAGTGCTGAAAGTCAGGGTGCTGATACCTTCTGAAATAGGATTTCTATGCACCTGCCTACAACAGCATGTTCATCTGAGTTACTGTTACTGTGCCTGACATTAAATACTTAATACAGATTTTGGGGAATACAGTATAGCAAAAGTGTACATCCTAGATGTAACTACATTGCAGATGTGCATGATTTACCTACAGTTTTCTTCTGTCCATCTAGATGCTGCTGTTAACTCAGGAGAACTGTGGTTTGTGAATTTTTATTCTCCTCGATGCTCCCACTGCCATGATTTAGCACCTACGGTACGTAAACCAAGTAAATGAACTCTGAAAATTCGTTGGTTTCATAGCATAAAACTTGATGAAGTAGATTTTTACACTGAGGCTGAAACCAAACACAATTCAAAATGCCAGAAATAAAACGTGCTCATTTTTCATTATATCTTTATAGGAAAATAGCCTCTTTTTTGGCTTTTTTTTTAGTGGAGAGAATTTGCTAAGGAGCTGGATGGAGTGATACGCATTGGAGCTGTGAACTGTGGAGATAACAGAATGCTTTGTCGAATTAAAGGGATTAACAGTTACCCCAGTCTGTACGTTTTCAAAACTGGAATGGTGAGTGATAAGACTTCAAGTGTTGTTAGAATGAAATCTGGAGAAGTGTTTCTTTAATACTTGTTCAGTCAGAGTGATTTTTTTATAAAGATCTTCCTTTATATTATGTTACTTCCTTTACTGATAAATATAACTTTTTCTTTACCTTGGTCAAATTATTTTATAAAGTTAATGTCAAAAATGTATTTGTTAATATATATGATTTATATATTTTTTATATATATATATATATATATATATATATAATTTGAAATAAATGCTAATATATTTTTACAATTGTTTTTCTGAATAATTTTTCTGTGCAACATATCACTTCTGATTGGGAAGCTACTGTCAGCAGAGGTGCTGTAGCTAAGCCAAAAGTCTCCTTGAACAGACTCTTATAGTGTTGTAAAGGACTTTTCAAGTACAAAGCACAGTCAGTGGTTTGGAGTCTTAAAGAATATGACCATATGCCTAAAGAAACTTGGAAATTGCTTCTGCAAGATTCCCTCCATGCTACCTGCATGATGTGTGTCACTCTTTATAGCTGCTTGCTAAGTCGTGGTGCTGAGGTGGTGTACAAAGTGCGCTTGAATAGATGGGTACATTTTGACAATGATAAGTTTTAAGAAGTTGAATGCTAGAGTGATGTAAGCAATTTTTATTTAAATAGAAATACTGTCATTGGGAGTTAGTGTTTCTAAGACTAAATTATCCTCAGGTTGCAGTGTTTGGAAAGAAATCACATCACAAAACGTGATTCTTTAAATTAAGGTTAAATTTCAAACATTCTGATGGGGAGGGAGAGAACAGTTAGGGTGGTAGTGGGAGGTGGTCCTCCAGTTGCTTAAGTACTCTTAGAAGAACATAGTAGGTTTTGGGATGGGGTTATTTGCCTTTTTTTTTTCTTAATTTTATAAGCTTTACTTTTTGTCTTCTATAGCAACCAGTGAAATATTATGGAGACAGGTCAAAAGAGAGCTTAAAGAACTTTGCCATGCAGTATGTTACAAGCACAGTCACTGAGTTATGGGCAGGTAATGTTCACGTGTTTAGCTTGGGGGGCTGTTGTTGAAATTGTTTTTACTATATAAAATGGGGCAGAAACTATGCATATGACTGAATCTGTCAACTATTTCTAAGTCTTCTTTTTGAGAATAAAAATAGTTCATGTAATTTGCTAATACATATAAATATAAAACCTTGTTTCATGGTCATGTTTAACTAGTCGCAAACTGATGCAAATTGCTTCACTCTTAGGAAATTTTGTAAATGCTATTGAAACTTCATTTGCATCCGGTGTTGGTTGGCTGATCACCTTCTGTGCTGAACGTGGAGGTATGTATATTAAATACTTTTTAAATAATGTGACAAAAAAAGGATTTCTGTTGATAGCAGTGTAATCCCTTTTGCTGCTAAAAAACATCTTAGGTCACCACAGTACTGGCCTGTGGGTCATTTGAGCTCTCTGTTAAAAGCAGTTGGACAAAAGGGACATTACAGAAGCACAATAATGTAATATTTCCATTAATGTCTTCTAAGTCATTGAAGCAGCACTGGAGTGTAACCCATCAGGAAGGGAAGTGGCAGGAAAGGTTTGTCCCTTCAGTTTCCAGCTCAGGTGACAGTCAGTGCTGAGGTACGTGCCAGCTTCTCATGATAGCTGAGTAGCAGAAAGGCTGTATCTCCCCCTTAAACCACCAATATTAAAATGTAGCTGAATAAGTTCCAAGTTAGGTTTGCACACAGTAATTGGCTCGTACCACTGGTTTCACATCAGAGTAGTTTTTTGTAGCTGTTTGTCCCTGGTTTTCTTGGGATCAGTATTGGATACAGTATATGAGAAGGTTACCTTGGTTAGCTGGTGGAGCTAAGTAAATGCACTACACCTTGGACAAATAAAGATTTCTCAGCCTTATGAGGAGACCTTTGTTCTAAGAACTGAATAGCCAGAGCTTCAGTCTTGGATTTACATTTGTAAATAGCTTGATTTCAAGTTGCAGACCTTTCGTTATTGAGTTTTCAGTTTTGTTTCATTTAAGGAGAAGCTGATCCCTCTTATTTTTTAGAAAAAAATCTGCATCCAAAGGCAACTGTTCAAAGTCTGGATGGATAATTAAAGCATATGATATATTTATAATAGTGAATTATTATTTGTATTGCAGAAAATGGATATTTCTCTTGAAATATCATTCCAAGACTCTTTGTAGACAGATTAATTTTTTTAAGTGATTAACAAATTTTAAAGGTCAGTCTTTAAAGAAAACAGTAAAATTGTTTAAATGAGAATTTTGTGTTGATGAAGCAAGAGAATGTTATTTGAGGGTTTTTTAACCTAGAGTAGACAGTCATTAAGTGCTGATTATTAGATATGACAACTCCAAGAATACTGGATGAACAGCCAGGAAGCATGCCATTAGAAATGGTCATGCTTTTTCGGAGGAAAGGGGCAATTCTAAGCAAGAGTCAATTTAGTGCATTAATAAGGTGAAGTTTTATGTTTGTAAATAAGTAATTTTTGTTTTGCAGATTGCTTGAGTTACCAAACCCGCCTTAAGCTAGCCGGCATGTTGGTAAGCAGTGTTTCACTTTGATAGCATTACCTGTTCTATTTAAAACAAAATAACAGAAGTGAAAGCTTCAAATTGTAACTAAAACTCTCACTGAGTTTGGTAGAACCAAGATATCACCTGCTAACTTTCAGAAGAATTGAATACTTTGCTTGAGTAGCTTTTGGAATAACAAAATTTTTTAAGAATTTTATAAAATAAGGATTAATATTATGTAATAAATTACAGTGTTGTTTTTTTTTTTTTTTCATTTTCTAAGTATTATAAATAATTGCCTGTGTTGGTATTTTCAAAAGCATTTCTGTACCTGAAATCAAAAAATACTTTTCTTTGTATTTGTTTTGTGTTGTTTTTTTCCTAATTACAGGAAGGTCTTGTTAATGTGGGCTGGATGGACTGTGGCACCCAGGGTGAGCTTTGTGATAATTTAGATGTCTCATCTAGTACTACTGCATACTTTCCACCTGGAGCCACCATAAATAACAAAGAGAAAGGAGGTGTTTTGGTATGACTTGTCTTTTATTATCTATTTATATAAACAAAGTGATAACCATGCTAAAGGAATGTATAAATCATTTCCTGACTGATGATACACAACTGAAAAGATGCTTTTTTCTTTTCTCTTCTACGCTGGTATGCTCTGCTGTGAGTTTATATCCCTGTGTCTGCTCAGGCAATGATCCTGGAGGTGATTCCAGTTTGCTGGGAGAGTGAACAGCAGCCTGTGACTGTGCCTGGCCACCTCCCCAGGAGCCTCCCTGAGCAGCTCTGGGAGTGCAGGGCTGGGAAGTGCTCTGTGACTGGCCCAAAGCTGCTGCCCACCTCTCCTAGGCAAACCTGGGAGTCTCTTCTCCCAAGTAAAAGCTGATAGGACAAGAGCAAATGGTCTCAAGCAAGGCAGGTTTAGATTGAATATTAGCAAATCTTTCTTCAGCAGAAGGGTTATGACGCCCAGAGGGATGTGGTTGAGTCACTATCCATGAGTAGACGTGGTTTAGAGTAGTGAACTTGGCAGCTGGTTACAGCTTGGACTCAATGATCTTAAAGGTCTTTTCCACCCTAAATGATTCTGTGGTCTTTGATGTGCCCCTGATTTTTTATTCCAGAAATAATGTACACTAGGTATCATAAGTTTGAGAATTGCTACCCTGACATGTGTGATAAAAGTACTCCTACGGTGTCTGTCAGTACAAATTTTATTGCTCAGTTCTATTCTAAAATTGCAACCCACATTTGTATGGTAGTTTTAACTTCCCTAATTGATGGGAGAAATTTCTGTTTGAAGCACGACTTATTCCTTTATTGTCACTACTGTTACCTATATTTTTAAAAGGAGGAAAATAAATTGCAACCTACCTACTCTGAACCTTTTAACTTACCAACTCCGTTACTGATTCATATTCCTTCCAAAATTTTACAAGTTAAGGAAACCTAAATATCTCTACAGTGCAGTTAAGGAAGGCTGTAAAACTAAATTGGAAATCCTGTAAATTTGATTGTTGGGTTTGGTGTGAAATTTAAATTTCACACTCTTTGGTCTCTGTCTTGACAAAATACAATTTCTTGAGTTGAATATTGTAGGCAAGAGAGCTAAAAAGCAGTATTCTGAGAGTGATGTTTGTGAAATTACATGTATGGAAAAGAAGTTGATCAAATAAAATATTATTAACTGCATTCTCCATTTGATTGAAGGGAACAAATCAGAACAAATTCCCTGACACTTTGAGTACTAATCAGGTTGATGTTTGTAATTCCTTGTAATAAAGACAGCTAATTTTCTATCCTAGTTTCTTAACTCCTTGGATGCCAGAGAAATATATCAGGAAGTAATGAAGCATCTCCCAGACTTTGAAATCATCTCTGCAGCATCATTAGAGGTAATTTTTTTAAAATATGCTATGATTTCTTCAAATAATATGTTTTTATATTTTTATTGTTATTTTCTATGTTTCTCAAATCCTGTTGACACAACTTAGTATTTAACTGAATATTACTACTTGTTTTCTGTACCCAAAATAATTTAACACTGTTTGTCTACATTTACTTCTGTTGTTTAGCAAAATAACAAAAGTAAGGGGAGGAGATTTCATAGGAATATAGGAAATCACAGAAATTGCCATTGCAACTCACTCTGCAACTGCAGTTTTCTAGTAATTTTTTGAATCAACTACATTGTAGAGAATTTTGGTTTAAGTGTGTTTTGTTTGGGAATTTAGAAAAGAAAAAGAAAATACTTGTTAATCCATGATAATTTATGTATGAACTGAAATTGAGTCTTAAAAGTAGCTCATGTCTTGGAGGAAAAACAAAAGTAAACCTCTTTCCACACTTGTAGCTGCACACAGCAGCATAATTTCCAACAGGAAATCCACACAGAAACAAAAACATTAGAGTGCAGCTTGTAGCCGGCTTGCTCTCAGATTTTTTCCACTTCCTTGATTGTGATGCAGTAAAAGGAAGTTTAGTGGAAGGATTGCATGAAAGAATTTGTTTAGTGGAGGTCTTTTGGAGATGAATAACTGGACATTTGCCTTTATAAAGCACAGAAAAATTTTACACGTTGGTGTAGTTGGGATTAATTTTTTGTGGTTTTGTTGGTTTGTTTTTTCCTGTGGTTTAAAGGACCGTCTGGCTCATCACCGGTGGCTGCTTTTCTTCCAGTTTGGGGAGGGGGATAAATCAAATGTGCAGGAATTTAAGAAACTGAAATTTTTACTGAAGGATGAGCATATTCAGGTAAGAGTGCTGACTCATCTAATGTTAAATGCTGTTTACATTCCAAGAACAAGTCACAGTTTTCATTGTTATTAGTTTTTACCAGCACATGCCACCTCTGGTACTGGAAGAGATATGCTATCATATAGTAGATCTGCAGTGAAGTGTTTTATTTAAAACAGTCACTTGCATTTCCTGCACGTTTTTAATAATTTAAAAGTAGAAAGAGATTATCTTTTAAATCTGCTCTGTTGTTGGAAATGTTCCTGCAGATCCCATTCAGTTAATAATTATAAATTAACATTCCAACATCAAATTTACATGTGTGGAACTATATTTTAATTATTCAGAAAACCATGTGATCATGTTGATTATTTTCTTAATAAAAAGAAACCAAGTTCAAACTTTGCACTAAAGGTCGACAGATTGTATTATTCCCTAAAGTATGTATTTTTTTAAATTGTTGCTTTGACTAGAAGAATTTTAATGTTACATTTATTTTAGGTGTCTTCTTGCTTCCTTGCTGTTATATTTGGAGGGGGGGTAAAAGAAAATTCTTTAAGTTTTTATTCCCCATTTTGGCCTTTAAATTAAAAATTAGCAAGGAACCTAATATAGTTATGCTGGTCATTTGCCTTGAACATCAATTTTTCTTAAGATCTCTCTTTATAAAAAAGGCTATCAGTTTTCCATATTTTTAGCTTTGTTTTCTAACTCTTACTTCCTCTTAAAAATGTTAATTGATATAAATTAGGCTGTTTTAATTAAAATGGCATTGTCTGTTAAATATAGGTTGGGAAGTTCGACTGCCTTTCCTCACCAACCATCTGCAACAAACTATATGTTTATCAGCCTTGTTTAGCAGTCTTCAAAGGAAAAGGAACTGGGGATTATGAAATTCATCATGGTAAGGGAAACTTTGGCAAGTTTAAATCATGACCTAATCCCTTTGAGGTGACAAAATCTTTGCAAACCATGTTTTTTTTCCCAAAGAACAGTTTTGTAGCTTTAATATTTGCTATATTTCCTCTGACCATAATGTAGCCTCACACAGCCTATTTATAATTTCCTTTGATTTTCTTTTTTCTATTTTTCCTGGGTAAGCAGTCATCAGATGCTGAGGGATGTAGTTTGTCTTTGCAGTCTGTTTCAACATCATTTGCATAATGACATACAGATGAAATCTCTGAAGCTGATCAGGACAGCTTTTGCTTGGGCAGGATAACCAAAGAATGTTGTAAGGCACACCCTTCAGAGAGGCCTGACATGCTGTTACACAGTGCAGCCAGTTTGACAAACTTGGATTTGGTTTCATGTACCACTGCACTAATTCCATGCTTTGTTAACTTCTGTCCAAGATAATGAGACTTTTACCACTTACTTTCATTTCCAACATCACAGTTTCCTTTTAGGAAAGGCTGGAACTGTGTTACTATTTATTACTGAAAGGATTCAAAAATGCTGGTTGAAGAAGAAGAGAGCCTAAAGCCAAACTGTAGCTTGCAGGAACAGGTGTAGCTTCATCCAGAATGTGGCACAAGGCAGTTATGCAAGATGAAGTTCTCATTTTTCAGCCTTTGAGGTATTAAAAACAGCTGCTAGGATTAAGTCAGAACCTCAATACTGTTATAAACAGGAAAAGTGAAAAGTTTTTCACTGTTTAGAAAAGATTAGGCCTATCAAGGGGGAGAGATGATCCCATACATCTAATGATTGGTATCTAACGAAAAGCCTTATATACTTCCTGTATATACATTGCTGAAGAGAGGGCAATAAGAGCTCACATCCATGCAGCATTTTTATAATGGTGTGGATTTCAGTGGAAGAGAAGTACATTGGACTTCAGTGCATTTTTTTCTGAATGGTTTGGTTTACTATTTAGAAAATAGATGGCATGTAGAACATTTACCAATAGCCATCTCACTCCAGTCTATGAGAAAATAATCCTCAAAACAATCAGGCTTTTTTATATGCTCTGTTGAAGGGCTTCAACAGTTTAAAATCTAAGAACAGTAATAAATCTTGGTAAGTCATTGTGCAGTGACTTGAGATTTGGTTAACCTGAAGCTCTTGTTCACAGACAAACTAATTTCTGCTGACAAATATACAAAGGTTATGAAGAGACTGGACCTTTGCCCACTGGAGCTGTGTGAGCAGGAATTTCAGTTACACCTAAATAGCTGTGATTTATCAATATAATTTATTTTGCTTGAAGTTTTTACCTTGTCAATCCCTTTGCCAAGTCAAGTGAATCTAAAATTGTACTTTTAAATCCAACACAAGTAAGATGGTAAAATGACCAATAATCCTGTCACAAAAAAATTCATCATTTTGTTTGACAAAAACATGTTTTGTCTTGGATAAAGTATTTATTTGGCTAATATTGGGTAACTGTCCAGTTTAATATTTAGCCACATATCAACTATCAACTATAGTATGTTCTGCCTGTGTAGGTTTGGACAGTTTAACACTGTCCTCCTAAGGAAAAGCAACATAATTTTATGCCAAATTTACTTAAGCAGGCTGGGTTTAAAGATGAGACAAGGGAGCTGAAAGACTCCTATTGCTTTCAAAGAGTTTTTTAATTTCACCTCTCATAGGTAAAAATTTAATTTCCTTTCTATGTTGTTTTTTGAAGGAAAGAAGATCTTATATGACATTGTTGCATTTGCCAAAGAAAGTGTGAACTCCCATGTCATCACACTGGGACCTCAGAATTTTCCTGACAAAGATAAGGAACCATGGCTTGTGGATTTCTTTGCACCGGTAAATACTTGATATCTATATGTTCCTTCTTCTAAAATCTGTTCTGTAACTATGTAACAAGGTGCTAAGGAGTAGCTTGAAAGTGCCTTTCAGCATCATGAGAGGATGTTCTAATTCCTCATTCCCTGGCAGCTCTAGTTCCTAACTGGGTTTTGCATTTAGCGGGTTCTGTTGTCAAAGCAGCAGATTATTAATCTCGAATAGTCTCCTGAGAGCTACCTGTGGGAAAAGCAATTGCACTTACTTGCATTTTGTCTTCTAGTGGTGTCCTCCTTGTCGAGCCTTGTTACCAGAGCTGAGAAAAGCATCTAAACATCTTTATGGTCAGCTTAAATTTGGAACACTAGACTGTACTGTCCATGAAGGCCTTTGCAACATGGTAAGCTGCAGGAACTAAAAGTAAAGAAATACAAATATAATCCTTTCAAACATTTGAATTGGGGGGTAGGAGGACATGGGCAGACAATGTTTGTCCTTTAACATTGCTTTCCTCAAGGGCAGTAAATTGAACAGGCACTTGTATCATAATTTTTTTTAAGGAAGCAAACTATATATAGGTAATAATGCAGAATACAGGTCAGATTTTATTCTAATTTCGTAGTGTTACTGGAAGACTTCAGAAGTCTTAGAATTTAATAATTCTGGGGGCTGGGGTTAGTGTCTGAAAACACATGGAAAATGAGCAAAAAAGGACGAACTTTGTCAAGTTTTATTTAGACGTGTTTACCCACTGAGGAATTCAAGTGATTGGAACTGACTGTGTTCAATGGTAAACAATAGTTATTCACACAGTACAAACATTCCATCTGAGGACTGGGAATAGTTTTAAAGCTAAGGCTTAGGAGGCCCATGGATTAATTCTTGTATTTGTGGAGCATGGCAAAAGAATTCCTGTCTGGTTTTTAAATTGAGAACACACTATACCATCTCTGAATACAATTGGCACCTTCTCTGTACTGATTTGTTATGGTGTCAGATTCTCACCTGCATGTAAGCCTGAGCACTTGTACTGTACAAACTGAACAGATGATCAGCCTGAGCCACCAACACCAGGGACAGTTAGAGGCAAGTCCAAGAGCCTTAATCATTCTGTGCAATTTGTTATTGTCTGTTTTATCAGCATAACATTCGAGCTTACCCAACAACAGTTGTATTCAATCAGTCTGATGTTCATGAGTATGAAGGACATCACTCAGCTGAGCAGATCTTGGAGTTTATAGAGGTATGTAAATGATAATGTTGGTTGCAGTCGTGTTCTATGCAGTTCATACACAAATACATTCTTCAGTTGGAAGATTCTAAGATTTTTTTTTTTTTATTGGAGAAGGAAAATAAAAGGCGAAAAAACTTGGGACAAGAAAAGTGATCCAGCAACTGTCAGTGAGAGACTTGACAACTAATGGATTAATTTCCCTACTCTGCCACATAATTTATTTGAGATCATTAGCAAATAAAGAAAGATGCCTTCCAATCTGCAGAATAATAGTAATGATTTCTGTCTTATGGAGAGGATAAATGAATTAATATTACATCACTTCCAACTTTTAAGGTGGAAATGCTTCACATACACACCTTGATATAGGAGGGGGTTCACATTTTTGTCAATTAGATTGCTGCTGTCCACATTTTTCAGCTGTCCTTGAACTTTCTTAACTCACAGAACTCCAAATTACTGGTATTGATCACTGTTGATGCTAGAGTTCTGGCACCCAGCTTGGCTCCAGCATTCAGGTTCACTGCTATATCCACAGGGTATTTTTCACTTTTGGAAAAGACATTTCTCTCCAGGTAGCTCAGAAAAAGCATCTTAAGAGCACACATGCAGAAACAGGTGGAGATTAGTCTTTCAGCTGGTCTTCAGAGACCCATAGTGCACTATATGTATTCTTCTGCATTCCGGCTTAAATAGCATGGCTGAGTTTTGTAACACCTGTTTCTGCCAGATAAGCTGGATTTCTAGGTTTTTACCTTCTTTTATTGAGAAAAGGCAGAAAACCTCCCTTTTGGAGCCTGGGTATACTTTTTTGATAGTTTTTCTCAACAAATTAGGCATATGATTTTTGGGTTGAAAGAATGTCTTTTGGTGCTTCTATGCCTTTCAGTGGTGTGGAGTCTTCCCTACCAGAGCAGCAGGCAAACTTCACAGAACATTCTCGAAATTTGGCACAGTCTGTTTGTACATGCTGGCTCTAGATAGGGATACACTGTGCAACAAAGAGTAATGTCCATGAGCTGTCTTTATTTAGGATCTTAGGAATCCATCGGTGGTGTCCCTAACACCAGAGACATTTGCTGAATTGGTTCAGAGAAGAAAGCGAGAGGAGATCTGGATGGTGGACTTCTACGCTCCGTGGTGTGGACCTTGTCAGGCCTTAATGCCAGAATGGAAGAAAATGGCCAGGGTAAGTCACAGTCAAACACTTCTCTGCTTTTGTTCGTCTTCTGGGAAATTGCTGAGAGGGCACAACTGCTTTCTTAAGAGAATTGTCAGCTGAGAAAATTCAGAGTCCAATGCTGCCACCAAAACAGGCAATTTCTACCTGACAGTTTTGTATTGCTTCAAATAAAAAGTTTCCATTTGACTTTTTAAAAGCTTCAATACACTGATACTGTAGTCCAGTTTTCATGTTGATTACAAGTGTGTAAGGTCATTACAGTGTTTTGTTATTTGCAAAAGTAATATTACTGTACTGACAACCATTCCTGGAGGTGTTTACAGGAATGTGAGCTAGAAAACTTGGGGGGAAAAGAAGGGCTTTGGAAACAAGCCTAAAGTGACTTTGAGATGTTTAGAACTCGACTAGGAATTATAGCCAGGATTTACTATTCTGATGGAATGTCTGTGGAGTGTTAGTAGCTCTTAGGAGACGTTCAGTAATCATCAGCTTCCCTGCCCATGCCAGCTAGCTCGAGCCTTTGCAAGAAATAGCGTGTTCAGGACAGGCCCACTGTGACACTGCTGGCACATCTGCACTGCACCAGGATTGGCACAGCTACTGAGCTGGGATGGGACACACAGGAACAGGGCATTCTTTGCACTAATTAATTCCACTCCTGGCTGCCTTTGAGGTAAGGTAGGTGCCTTGTGAGCCATGTCCATGCAGCTTATACTAATTGTGTGCATGATGAGTGGCTGGCTCTGATACCACTGATCTGTTTACAGGTAAGAGGAAAGCCTTGTGATAATCTTGGTCTGTTTTGTTCAGATTTTTCCCTCAACTAAGAAGTATTACTGAAATTGTAGTAGTATTGGTTAACATATTTGATGGTAGGTTTTCTTCCTTCTTTTTCAGATGTTAAATGGATTAATTAGTGTAGGCAGTGTGGATTGTCAAAAATATTATTCTTTCTGTCACCAAGAAAGTGTGAGGGGCTATCCTGAAATCAGACTCTTTCCTCAAAAATCAAACACGGCTCATCAATATTAGTAAGTACATTGCTTCAGTTTGGGAAACATTCCATGATGTGAAACAAGACAAATACACCTCTTCTGCTGTGTAGAAGAGGTTTATCACAGCTATTAAAATAGGTTGTTAGGATATTACTGTACTGGATACCATTGGCTTTGTTACTTCAAACTAGTGATTTTATTTTGCCATTTCAGTAATATGAAATGACACAGGAGTCTTCATTTTTATTTACTCCCTTTCTTGTCTTGGTCTTCTAGTCCTTAATTTTATAGGTTTTAATTCTATCTGTGAGACTTTTCATTCATTCAGATTTGAAAGCAGGGTAGAAATACATCCTAAAGCATATGCATTTACATTCTTTATTTGATTATCACCACTCTTCAGAGTGGGTTGTTTGTCAAGTTTTTTTCCAGAATAATTCAAACTACTGTGCAACAGGCTTTTTGTTTTTTCTTTAACATTTTTACAGTAGCTACAATGGATGGCACAGAGATGCCTATTCACTCAGAGGCTGGGCGTTGGGGTAAGTTACTGCACTCAACTTTGTTCACAAGCTGCTTGCTAGGATAAATAAATACTTAGATACTATGTAAATCAAGAAGTAGAAACACTTGGGTATATTTATTGCTTAATTGAAGACATTCAACTTTCTACATGTTTTCACTTACTGCTTTTAAAATTTGGAGAAATAGCATACTCCTTGCTGTCCACCCACCTCCTGCAGACCATATTATTTTGTTTACTACATTTAAGAAGTTATTCTCCTATAGCACAAAGTGTGAAATAGGGATTTCCAGACTGCTCAAGTTCTCAATTTCAGAAGCTTTTCTTAAATGCAATTTGCATATTGTTTATACAAACAATATGCATATTAATGTATAAACAATTTGCATATTGTTTATACAAACAAACATTAAAGTTTGAATGTGCTCAAGTTCTCAATTTCAGAAGCTTTTCTTAAATGCAATTTGCATATTGTTTAAAGTTTGAATGTATTACAATTGTTACTCTTCCTTTACACAGATATTTACCACAGGTGTCTGTAGATCTCACCCCTCAGAGTTTCACAGAAAAAGTTCTGAATGGGAAAGATCATTGGGTCATTGATTTCTATGCGCCTTGGTGTGGACCTTGCCAAAATTTTGCTCCTGAATTTGAGATGCTTGCAAGGGTATGTTTTTATATGTACTGGCAGTTTGTTAAAATTGTAATGGTTCAAATCTTACTCATCAGCACTTCATTTCTTAGCAGTCATCCAAAAACCACAATACTTCCATGAGCCTCCTACTCATGGAGTGATGCACACTTCTAGGTCCCACTAGACAGTGGGCGTTGTCTCTTCCACAGACACACAGACACCCTCTTTTGAGAACAGATTTCAAATTTTGATGGAATGGTCTTTGGAGCTGGTGCGTGCTTTTGTGCTTTGCTCTGAATTCAAGTACAAGTGCTCTCTGAATACACAGAAACACACCTGACACAAGGCTGACAGTCTGGGAAGCAAGCAAGCAACTACTCTGAAATATTTCAAAGATTTGAGCAACACTTTTTTATTTTTAGCTGCACTGCTGGCTTGCTTATACTCACCCATGGAAACTTGTAATTTGTTTCTAATAAATATTTCTTTTCAGGCTGTTAAAGGAAAAGTAAAAGCTGGAAAAGTAGACTGTCAGGCATATGGTCAGACCTGTCAGACTGCTGATATCAGAGCCTATCCTACTGTTAAGTTTTACCCCTACCAAGGAACAAAGGTAAAGTGATACTGTGAGTAAATGTATTTCATTTCACCTTAAAACTAAAGAGAATACTATAGAGAGTTACTCTATAACTTATTAAAGTGAATTGTTTATATATTACTGTGTCAACAAATAATAATACCTAAAATAGTAGGATAGTGACAAATTGCAAATTAATAGAACTAAATAGAAGTAGAATTCTAATAGTAATTAACATGCAGGCTTAACCAGAATTAGGGTTTATTTTCCAAGGTCTTGGGTGACAAAATGTTTTTCAACCTTTACCAATTCCATCACCAACTACCCAAAAGTTGACTGTCTCTCTCTAAATGAAATATGGACAACTACATTTTGGCTAATGAGAAATATAATTAAATGTTGTTATTATATTGAAAGACCAATTTTGACATATAATGTATTGTAAGACAGATAATTAATGAAAAAGACATGGTTGTGTTGTTTCAAAAACAAACCTTATCAAAGTATTGCAATTATCAGTGGACTCTTTCAGATCAACATTTCCTACTAACAGAGTAATAGTATAAATTAAAAATACAAAGAGTATTCAGAGAGTTATAGGGAATTGCCTTTATTCTTGTAACACTAATAAATTGCAGAAATATTATAGTGACTTTTTAGATGTATTAATGCTGAAGAGAAAGTATTCAGTGGTTTCTGACAGAGAACTGGCTTAACTTACTTTCCTTTTTTTTTAACTGAATTTTTAATGGGAAGTTCTAGAAATCTTTCATCACACAATCCCACCAAATTCCATGAGATTTTCTGTGGTGAAGGGTAAAGACTTTCTAAGTCTTCAAAGTAGCCACCCACAGTGACAGATTTCACATAGATTAAAAAGTGGCAGACTTTGTAAGAGCTGTCTAGCTTAAACACTCAATAAATGTGAGCAAATTGTAACTATTTCAGGTTTCTTCAATGATCAGGACAAAATTAGCTGCTAGTTTTCAGAACTACACTAAGAGTGGTTCTTAGTACAATGCAAATTAGCATTGTGTAAACAGAGACAGAAATATATCCATGAATCATAAATCAAGCTACCAAGGCCATTGTATTCTGCCCTGCTTTCGTCTTGAATTTTGTCTGAAAATTGTGTAACATATTACCCATGTTCTATTTTTATTTTCTTTTAAGAAAAGTGTTCTTGGGGAATACATAGACAGCAGAGATGCAAAAGGTATAGCTGACCTTTTGAATGAAAAATTAGAAGCAATGGAAAAGAAAGAAAAAAGAAAAAAATCTAGAAATAAGGTAAGAACACTTACTGTGGAGCCTTTGCAAAAGACTTGCTGTAAATAATAACTATTTAAAATGATGTTAGTATTTGTTCTTTATCCATACTGTTAAATGCAAATTACAAAGGCAAGATTGGGTAAACTTAAGAAGATATTAACACACAGCTACTTAAGAAATGTTTGTCCAATTGAAAAATTATTGCTATTGAAAACTTGAAAATCATATGAAAAAATATTTTTGTTTGTAGTTTCAGAGAAACTCCATTGTTTATTTTCTTGTTACTAGGATGAACTCTAACTGGTACTGAAGGCAGATACAATTCAAAATATTCTGAAGCTGTGAAGATAGAAGACACCACAAGGAAAATATAAGGATAGTTACATTGAAGACAGGACGAGACACATGAAAACAAGTTGAGTTCACAGGCATACACGACTGTATGAGTTCTGTTAAACTGTGGGGAGATGAAAACATTTTGGTTTTGGTGGAGGCAATGTTTCTGCATGTCCCTCTTCTGATATACCAGCTACCTTCTTCCTGGCCAAACACTGGAGTTGACCAGAAATGTGGACTCTCATCACTTTTGCCTACCCATTTACTAGTTCCTTATATTTTTTTCTGTCTCTTCTCAAATGCTTTCTGAATGTGGCACTCAGCCTGTGGCTGAATATGCACTCGAAGCACTCTGCAATGCAGAACATAATGACGGATTGTCTATTTGAAAGACAAACAGTTGTACCTGATGATTATTCTGCTTTGGGGTTGCATTATTGTCTAGTCAATGGTTAAGAAATAAAATCAAGAACTGGTGGGAGGATATGTTTATTGAATTAAATTGCTCTTGCTCTCGAGTGGATTACTCTGTTGTGGCAGTGGTGATGCTACCTGGATGAACAGAACTTTGAAGAGCTTTAGTTGCTTGGTTTTGGGATTGTGTTTATTATTTTTTTTTTAAGTAAGAAAAAATAAAATAATTCAAATGTGGTATTAACTTTCAAAGTGTAAATTATGCAATAGAAGCATCTGGTTAAGTCATTAGATCATCACTTTTATCATTGTCTTTTTAAATATGAATGTATTCTGTGGGCATATTTAACCTCTTTTGGCATTACCACTTTCCCTTTCCCTGCAGACATATTTTTAGGTGGGTTTTTTGTTTGTTTGTTTATTTTATATAATCTTCAGGCAAGCAGGAGAGCAAGTGCCTTCTTTAATTTAATAATAATGAATACTGTACATTGCAGTGTCTCCTCATACTTCTTACTAGAATTCCTGCTCTAAAGAGTAATATTTTTCAGAGCTTCTCCATAGACAAGAAAAATTACAGCAGATGACAAAATGTCTGCAAACAACTGTTTCATGATTTCAATAAAATGCTCCCTAGCACTTGACAGATGGAATTCCCTCCCTGCTCTTTACGTATTTAGACCTAGCATGACTGGTCACTGTATTATGAGTATGACAAATTTGTAAATACATTGTTATTGACAAGTAACTTATTTCATGAAGAAGGCAGCAAGAAGTGAAGAGACAAGTAACTGAGACATTCAGCTGTTTTTCCCCTACTCTCAGGGTTGCCTCTATTGATTTTTCATTTTTGCAGCCTATTATTCTAAGAATGAAGAGACTGTTGCATCTATTTTTTAATAAAGTACATCTTCCTACATCCAAATTTAACTTCAAATTCAATCACAGTTAAAAATTAAAATTTTTAAAATAACTGTTCTGGTTAGTTTTTGCATATCACTGTACTGCAGTTCCCACCTTCCACACTCTTCTTGGAGAATGAGGTCTAGGAAAAGTTTTGAAACATATTTAGGCTGTGGGGAAGAGGATTTAGTTTAAATATCAATAAAGTTCATTTTGAAGATATAATTCTGTATCAATGTATTCTCTTTGTATCCAGATTTTTAAATTTGGTTTGAGAGACCAAATGGATGTGTATGGGTGGGGGAAAATAATCTTCCAAATTAGATGATGGAGATTTCTAAGATTTTGCACAATTTTCATGGATTTTTTAAAATAAAAATACTTAAAATGTTCTATTATTTAAAGTTTTCAAGAGGAATGCACAAGAATTTACTCCATTTACTGAAACTTGGCACCTGAAAACAGTGATGTTCCAATCCCCAATACTTTCAGCCTTGATCTTCTCTCTCTGCTAGAATTCACTACTAATTTTATATCCCCCTATATGTAAAGCCACCACAATTTTGATAATAAACAGCTAAAGGTAAATCATCAACATGATACTAAGTACTTACCCCTAACACTGAACAGACTCCTCCTTTTACTGCCAACTTTATAGGATCTAACAGACTTCTCTAGTTGCCAACAGATATTAATTACAGTTAGTTGAGCAAAAAAGAAGAATGCTTCCCAAATTAATGTATATGACCACTGTATTCTGCAGACTGTTTCTTGACTAAGACCACAAGAGCCATATTGGTTAAAATTTGGTATGTATTCTGCAGAAGCCAATACTTCCTGTAAGAAAATAACTACTTAAATGTCAGAGTTTCAAGAAAACATTCTAGAGCTGAATTAAGTAGGGGTTGGGTTGTTGTAAAAACACATTAGTTCTGGTGAATTCTTACTGTACAAGTGAGCTGACTTGGAAAATACAGCCTGAGGATACTCTGCTTTTTAGGTCTTAATAGACAAAAAGCAGAATATTGTTTTTCCATAAAGCAGTTCAAATGAACATGAAGAATATATAATTTCTGCATGTTATAGGCTGCTATGGAGTCACATGAAGTTACCTTATTCTTTTTCTACCTTAACAGACATGTTAACAAAAATACACGTCAGTCAGAATTAATTACAGCTCAACTAGAAATTCATATAGCTGACCTGATTTGTTTCCAGAAAATATTCTCCCTATAATATGTATTTTAAGTAATACTTATAATCCTGTCAGAAAAAGAAAACATTTTCTTTCTCTTGTTATGTACGTATGTGTTCATTAAGCAATCCCAGTTTTGCTGTGGTAGATATGTAACTCTTTCACCTGGCAGGTAGTTTATTTTAGTTATGACACAAGATCTCAGCCAGTACAGTAACAAGGCCATACCCAGGACGTTTCATGTTTGCTGAAGCCATAGTAGAAAAACATCCTATGTAAGCAATGGAGAAAAGTTACTATATTACCTTCCTGTCTTTTCAACTGTAATTCAATGCTCTTTTTGGTAATTGTGTTCACTTACTTTATTATCCTACCTTTGGTCATTGGATCATTATTTCTTGAACTAAGGCTGCATTTGTGCTTCTCAACTTCATGCCAGAAGCTCAAGTCCCACCACTCGTCTTGACACCCGCCGAAGGCAGCACTGCCCCTGAAATGAGTATCCCATCTTTTCCTTGCTCATACCCCCATGGGAGGACAGGTTGTGATGCAGTTTCATACTGCAGCAGATGAAAGAACTCACTCAGCTGGCAAAAAATGGTGACTGCACATAATACAGGTAAATACCTCAAGTTTTAGGTAGGGTTTTATATTCTAGGAATGAACAAGTCCCCTTCCCAGAACTAATCAAAAATTATTTTAAGCCTTAGTAAGGAGGTTAATATATATCAGATTAACATGAAACAATCAAGAGAATACATTTCTTTGCCGACCTTCTTGGATTTTTTTTTCTTTAGCTAATCCACTTAAAAGAAGATTATGGAAATACCTGGAATGTGTTCTGCACTGTGGCAGAACTGGGCAAAGGCACACCACCACCTGCTGGACAAAACTGGATCCCTGTCTCACACAGCACTGTGGTGGAAAGCAGCTGCAGAGAAGACAGAACTGTGTAAAAGGTTATTTGCACATTCTACTGCCACTGCCCTGGGGAGCTGGCCAGAGGTGCTACTCCATCAGCACAGCAGTCCCTGCACAGTGAGCAGTGGCCTTGCCTCTGATCAAGAAAATGGGGTGCAATGAGACCTAACTGCTCCACACATGGAACAGACTCAAGTATACTTTAGTCACTTTATTTGTATCTATATACATTACATTTTGATTCTCCAAGTAGTCAAGGCAATTATTCTCAAAGAGTTTAGTACATCAACTTTATAAAATACAGCTGAACCAAGTTAGAATAGAAATGCATACATTATAGTACATTAAGTGCTTTGAAGAATGACTAGTCTGGCCACCAGCTAGTGAACAATTCATTTGGTTTTGGTCATTCTCACAGAGGAGACTCCACAGGTAACTCCCCACAGCACCCTAGAACTGCTCCACCAGCAAGAGTCCCTCCATGTGCTTTCTGGGGACAGAATGCATCCCTGGGCTGCTAGAAGGCATTCTGCTGTCCACATGCTGACTCAAAGTCATTGCTTCTGACTTGGACAAGATTTAGACATTTGTCTCAAGGCCTCAGATCAAAACAACAGAAGAGTCAGTGTAGCTCTGAAGAAATTCAGTCTTCATATTTGCAACTGGGATTTACATATGCTAAACCTGTGTTAGAAAGAAAGAAATAAGCTCTGACCAAAGGGTTCATCCTTAGGAATTCTACAGGGACACAGACTGAACACCGTAGCTCTCAAAGATTTGTTCTGCATTAAGTACTGCTCTCCTTCTGAGAAAATTAGGCTTGGTAGCAATTGAAATGTCAGGACAACTATCATACTGAAAATGGAACATTTGAGGAGACCCATTCAGCTGCTGGGATTTGGACTAGAAATGTTGACAGCTTTGTATCACAGAATACCCAAGATGACCAAACTCCAGCTGATACTGCAGCTACTGTGATACTCATGACCAGTAGTTTATACTCCAGTATAATCAGAACTAGTCTATCAGCCACATCCTGGCCAAAAATTAACTGTTGATACCAGCTCAAGATCATTCCTACAAATCTCTCCAACTGCTGTAACTTCAGCCCAAAAAGTTGGGCCATGACCATTCACATGTCTCTGGCTCTGTTCACAGGCTGCAAAACAGTGGAAGCTTCTCTCTCCCTTCTGCAGTGCTGAGGGCCTCGTGCTGTCACATTCAGAGGAGTATCAGCACCTGTCAGGTGATGAAGCTGCTAACAGCCATCTGCTCTGGACTCTGGCACACAAGCAGCACAGAGCAGCCACACGTCCCAGGACAAGGATGAGGGTCACTGGTGACAGAGTGGGCTAGCACACCACATCAGCCTAGTGCAGCTGCCATGCCCACACTCGTGCTCCATCCACCAATCCACATACTGACAAAGGTGGAAGACAACATAATTAGCTGCTGTTGGGTCACCTTAGCAGGCAAGGACAGTCTAGTTTTTGCCTGTAAACTGTAAGAAGGGAAGTAAGGGAACACATGTAAACTTCAACTGAGACTGGAACATAGGCTGCATGGCAGGTTCTTTCACACTGATGAACAAGATAGTAGGTGAGACAGAAGTGGGAGCAGCACTGAATTAATGGACTGGTCGACCTCATTAGACAAGGCCACACACACAGCCAGGCAAATTGGGAGAACATTTCAACAGAAGAGACAAGATGCATCCCAGAGGTGATCAGCTGTACCTGATGTGCTGTGTTGGACTGAAGCAAGGAGTACTGTGTCCTCTTTCCACAGCACACATCACTGCAGCCTTGAACAGTGCATCCCCAGAAACAATTCTCACATTGCACTGAGGAAATCAGTACACTTTCTTTTCTGCTGCTTCAAGGCCAGCATTTTTGCTCATCCTCTAGTACAGTGTTGCTAATAGGGTGAGGAAGGCTCCTTCCAACACAAATGACTGTCGCCTCCTGGCAGCTCAGACAAGAGCTGCACTGGTTGGTTTTGGAGCAAATAGCTCAATTCTCACTGCTGGCCTTTTCCTTTCTCAGTGCTGCCTACTGCTGGTCACTCCTCAACAGCCACCACCATCTGCTGCAGAAAAAAATACTGAACACAGGAGAACTGAACAAAATGCATGTTCCAATCCATAGTTACAGTGATGAGGGCACTATGAGGCAACTGGTTAGAATGAGCAAGAGATCACTAAGAGATATCCTCTCCCAGATTCCATGTTCATTTGATGTTCTTCCATCAGAGACTGGAAGTCAAAAGACAGTATTCTTGCCTTTCAAACTCATTAAAGTTCCTCTTATTTACTGGCCTGTATTATAATGAAACTAAAAAGTAAACTCATCACCTACAAAAATGAGTAATTTTTTTTTAATGGAAAGAAATGCTTATTGTAATAATATAGAGACTCACAGATCTCTGCACATCTTATGCATCAGACAAGATACCTGTTAGTTCAGGTTTTCCTTTTTTCAGAAAACAACAACTACATTCATCTCCGTGACCACAAAAAATAATGTCACGAATGCAAGACAAACATTCTCCTGGCAAAATTTCACCATGAGGTAATTGCATTGCTTGAAAGTAAAGGGAAACTGAAATGGATTTGAAATGATCTGCCAGGAATGATAGTTGCATTAAGAAGAAAGTTGCAGTATGCACTTTGTCTAGCAACTTATTACCTTTACCAAGGAAAGGGTTAATCTGCTTCATAACTATAATCAATCAAGTCTTGTTAAATTAAAGTGTATGTTAGTTACCTGTTTCCAGGAATTTGAGCAACATTCAGACCAAAGTACTGTTTAGGAGTGAAGGGATATGTTTTGAGTTTTGCAGTATACTGATGACTGACAACCCATTTTTATGGGATGCGGCTAAAATGTGATTATGACAGATTAACCAGAGCTGTACTGCAGTAACATAACATAAAAGATGGAGTCATAGGGCATTATAGATGTGGAGCTGCCATAAAAAAATACTGTTTACAGTAAGAATTAAAACTATGGAGCATAAACAACACAAGTTATTAATGGATCCTATATAGGTCAATTACAGACCCTTGCAACAATAGCAGAACTCATGAATTAACTTCATTCTTCTCTCCCCCATCCACATTTTGGGGGCTTATTTCACATTTTCAGTACCAAGTATCCACTACAGAAATATGAGCTGCTCATATTCAACACCATTTTGGCAGTGCAAGACTTCCAGAGATCACGTAGTTCTTCATGTACCATCAGGATCTGGATAGAATCTCAGTCCAATACTTAGGAGATAGCATCACCTTCCCTACTGACAGCGGGAATGTCACTTATCAGTGCTGTTCAGTGGTACCTTACAGTTTAGATCCTTACTGAGGCTGGTTTGCTTATTATCCTCCAAGGGGGGACTAAAGTGCAAGCAGATTTCACACTCTGCAACATGATGCACATGGTCAGTGTAGACACGGAACTGCAATCCTCTTGCTGCTGGACAGACCACTGCAAGAGAGTGGCCTATAATGCCATTGTCCTCTTGTGCTTTCCCAATATGGGCTTTAGCTCAGCAATTCAGGCCCAGTCCTGTCCAATGGTCTGGCACCATCAGGAAATACTTGTCCATAGCTTCACAAAACCTGGTCCGGTACAGTTCTGGAGAGACCACAGTGGGCATCTTACCTAATGTGTAAGAGTCAAGAGCAGTTAGAAATGGACTAAAGATACTGCAGTACAGACAGATGTCACAGGAGATTACACCAGCAGACAGCATAAACTTGAAAGCAACAAGATAGAACCTTATAAAGTTCAACAACAAACAAGCATGAGGTTTTGCACCTGGGAAAACAATGCAGGAGCACGGCACAGGCTGGAATCTCCCTTCGGGAGCAGCTCTGTGAAAGGGACCTGAGGATCCTGGTGGGCAAGCAGCTCAGTGAGAGTGAACAGTGCTGCTGTGGCAAAGAAAGCCACCAGGAAGGACACTGGGCTGCATCAACAAGGACATCATCAGCAGAGACAGAAGGACAGAAGTCAGTATCCCACCAGTATCCCAGCATTATCTTCCACCTGGAAGGTGCTACTTCCAGGCCATACCTGGAATACTGGAATCAGTTTTGGTCCTGCTATATTAAAAAAAAAAAGGAAAAAAAAAAATGAGGGACAGGCTGAAGAGGGTCCAGAGAAGGATCACAGAGATGATCCAAGGACTGGGAAGCCTGCTATATGAGGAAATGCTGAGAGAACTGGGTTTGTTCAATCTTGGAGAAAGGCTGCTTAGAGGAGACCGTATCACCATATTCCAGTATTTATAGGGTAGCTAAAAAGAAGCGGAGACTCATTTTACAAGGAGCCACATGGAAAAGATGAGGGGTAATGGACATATGTTATTCCTGGGCAGATTCCAGTTAGACACAAGAGGAACATTTTTCTCAATGAGAACAACTGGCCATTGGAATAGTCTTGCCAGTGAAAGGATGGATTCCCCAACAGAGGGGATTTAAGATTCAGCTGCACAGGGTGCTGAGCCATCTTGTCTAGACTGTGCTTTTGCCAAGAAAGGTTGGATCAGATAACCCTTGAGGTCCCTTCCAACCTGGTATTCTATTATTCCTTCCTCTGTTCTCGACAACTTCATCTTAAATTTGCATGGTGGGGAAGTTGTGACTTTACCAGCAGCGTTATAGAAAGTTTCCATGTAACAAGGAAACATGATCCAAATCTTTGCTTTCAGTCTGAACTTACCTTGTCCTCCCAAGATGCCAGTTGACTTTACCACCATTTCAAGCTTTTTGTCCCAGGTAAAAGTACGAATATAGTCTGTTACAATAAAAAAAAAAAAATCCACACACAAATATGTTTTATTTGTTTTAGTCCAAGTAACACTGTTTTAAAATGTATTTGTTTCCTCCCAAAGAGGACAGGAAAGCAGCAGTGCTTTATAGTCAGAGCTTCAGTATTTTCCCTACCTTGCCCCTTTATCTGTAGTATTGATTACATTTGGGTAGGGTAAGTACAGTATCTCAAAAGTCCAGCAAGATCACAATCAACTCTTCCTGAGTCCACAAGAAGAGGGTGCCCAAGCACGTCTGTCTTTATCCATGTTAGTGTCAAGGGCTCATTTACAAGGGTCACTTCACTCACCCTCATCCCAGAAGCCCCACTAGAAGCAATGAGGCTTGGAGACCTCTCCATTTAAACCAGTATTTATCATTACTGCAGCCACCTGCAGGTTCGATAACAGAATGGAAGTGATTGCCACTTTATGATAGGGAGGACTGGAAACATCACCAGTGACCCTGACTGGCAGAGGGGGCAGCAAGAAGACAACTTCTGAATTGTTTCCAAGCCCCTTCAGAGAAAGCATGCTCAGTCAATACAAGCACATGAACACTTGGGCCTGCAAAGCTAAAGCTGCAGTAAGATCAGTTTTCAGAGACCTAACTTACTTGTTTCCTGTATCACATCTCAGTGTGACAGGATCTAAAATAGGTGGAGATACTGACCTCAGATTGAAACACAGTCCAAGCTAAGATTTTTTTAGTTGCAGTCCAACACAAATTTAGCTTGAGTACTTTATAAGTTCTCAGGGTATCATCTAAAGAACATTCTGATAGCCTGATACAGCAGACATGTTCTCTCTTCTTGATAATATTTGTGCTCACCAAGTTCCCTCAGATATCTGTGTTAAATGCTGAAGGAACTGGTAGCTTTAAATATCATATAAAATATATCAGACAAGACGTGACATAGGGCAACAAAAAGCCACACATACAGGAGAAGCACATGGTCAGTGTAGTCCCATCCTGTTTGTTCCAATATTCAAGAGTCTACAAATCTAGAAAGTAATAACAACTTGCAACAAACAAGAGCTTTCTTTGTAGCTGGGACTTTAATACTCAATTAGAAATGTTATTGAAATGGCTTTTGAGCTTTATCAGAATAAGTGTAATCCAGACCTCCTGTCCTGAGATCTCATCTGGAAGCATTTATGAGCTGGGTTTCAAGACAGTTTCCCTAAGTCAATTCCACATCCTGCAAAATTGCCTCATCTCTAAGTCTTTTATACTACAGAAGTTTGTCTGTCTAACCCATCTCTTTTTCTGTCTCTACTTTCCAGTCACAAGTCAGAAGATGCAGCAAGGTAATTACTGCATTGCCACCCACATTGTCCAGGTCAGACTACATGATTATATGAGATCCCATGATGTTTAACTTCTTTCTTCCAACCCTACCAATACTGTTTCTCCTTAGAGCTCATCCACACAAGATTTAAAAAGCCTATGTAAACATGACTAAACTAAAGTTTACAGATTAAACACAAAAACATACAAATAACTCAAGTGGATTCAAAGTGTAGGTTAAACTACTTTTGAGTCCTCCTGCATATACTCAACAATGCAAATGCTAATCTGAGCCTATGAGAGACCTGGAGACCTGGAGAGAAGACTTACTGCCTCCACTTTGAATACTTGTAAGAGATGAGGGTGGTATTCCACCAGGGAGAAGACAAGATTTCCTGACACACATCTCTCTGGTGGTGGCACAGCTCTAAGAGCACTATGAACATCTAAACCAGAAGAAAACCATTTCATCATCTGAGAGCAACAAAATACAAAAGACAACCTACCAATGATCCCAACGACCAGCTCGTTGTTGGTATCATCACGACCCACCAGCAGGGAATAGTCGATGATGAGATGGCTGGAGAGGAACTGGGAGTCACTGTGTATGGAGGCTTTCAGCACAGCTTTGCAATGGGAACGGATGTACAAAGGATTGTCCCGAACCATCTTCAGGAGGTTTTCATCCAGCAGGACCACATCACAAGTTTCCTTGCCTGTGTCTGTTTTAACATTTCTATTCCGGAGGGAGCCCTTCAGGTCAAACACCTGAAATGGAGAACAGCACAACTTTGTTTCATTTTTCTGGGTTAAAGACTTCAGTACCTAGCACTTGAGAAGGCAGCATAGCTGGCCAACTCTTTCCTTCTCTTTAGGGGGAAGACAATCAACAAAAAATATTTTGTAGAGAATAGCATGTAAGCCTGGGTGAAAGCTCTGCCATCTCAATTCACAAGTTTTAGGCAAGTTATTTCACTAATATTTAGTCTAAATTAAGAGAAAAAAGGTGCCTCTACTTTTTATATTGTTTAGGTAAACTTAGTTTTCCAGCCAGTTTCTACAGAGTTAATTGCTGACAAAAGCTAAGCCACTGAAGAGGGCGGTGGGTGGTGCATGAAGCACCAGTTAACATTGGCAAGGCAAAAGACAAACCCATCATGAGGCTGGAAATTATCTCTGGAATTCTCCAGTCCAAAGTCCTGCTTCAAGGACTTCTGCTTCTACCTGTTAGAGAAGGTTGTTCAAGTTCTGTTCAGTCGAGATTTCACTAACTTGCATGGAAGAGAGTCCACACTCTGTTTGGGTTTCTGTTTTGTAGTGCAGCCCTCCTCATTATTTAAACAACAGACAAGCAAAAAGAAAACCCACAACATCCTTTACATCCATCTAGAATTCCCTCCATCCACCTCCTCCCACAAACATTCCCTGTTTGAGGTCAGGCACTGATATGTAAAGTGGAAAGAACTGATATTATCAAAGTTTAGAGGTGATGTTTGTTTGAACTTCCTTTTCAGCTTCAAATCTCTATTTAAGAGAATTTCCCTCTAGTAATTTTATTATCTTCATTCTAGTGCCTGATAAAGATGGCTTTTCCTTGACTAGGAGCAAGACTGAACTCAAAATCTTGTCCCACACCTGAAGTGGTTCCAAGAAAAAAGAGCAGGTTGAAAAAATAATTAACTCCCCCCACTACAGAGTAACTCTCTCTGAGTGAGGCTCGCAGTCTAAACAAATTAGTCTGTAATTCCAGTCAGTTCCTCTGAAAGTTTTGTAAAATAATTTTACATTTTCATAACCAGGATAGTAATGCTTTCTCTCAGACAACAGGGATACAGGGACAAACAAGACTTCTAAAGACAGAACCCTGCACAACAGCTATCTGAACTAGCCAGTATAGGCATCAAGCTCCTGAGGATCACATAACAAGGAAGAGGCACAAACTGTCACCTTTGAGGTCAACAGCACATGCAAAGTTCAGTCACCTAGATGGCTACAAATGACCCTGCTCTTTCTCCCAGTCACAACTGCACTGCAAGGAACAGAACACTTTGCTCTTACCTGAGCCATTTTCCTGCCATAGAAAAGATTTTCCATGACAAGCAGATCCAGCTTCTTTTCAGTGTTGTTTTGAGAGTTCTTGTAACCAATTCGATACACACCAAGGATTTTAGCCAGTGCTGTGGGCTTCTAATGAAGACAAGACATGGGTTAAGATCCGTGTAGAGACAATCAGCAATCCCATACTAGAAGCATCACTGCTCTGTGTATTACAGCTCAGAAGTCCAAGCGTAATTTCCACTTTACATCTTAAAAACCCATTATTAATGTAACTCACACCCTCCAAAATTTTCTTTTATTTAAATGAAAAAGGTTAAGAGAAACACTGCCTAAAATAAAAGGCATTTTTTTAAAATACCTTCTGCTGAACTGCATTCGTGATGTAAGTGAAATAGTGTGGAGCAAAGTCAAGGAATGACTGGACTTCCAGACGAGGCATTTGCTTCAAGATGAATCTGTCATCTGTTTCAACATCAGACACAGGCAACAGGGTTACATACAATAAGTGATGTATATTTGCAATTTTTTAGGACTGTCACATAGGTGAAATGGTTTAAAAAATTAAAGCACTACAATGCTCTTAAATCCTTACTCTCAGAAGCTCATTTCTAGATTCTTTTTACTTCACATACTCTGAATTTCAGCCTCCCTAGATTTCTACCTTCCAGTAAATCATGGACAAGAGACTGACTACACTAGCTCTACCTCAGCTATATGGGCTTCCTATATAGCCAACAGAAACAGCCTACAGACCATTTTGTTCAGTACTTGTTTTACACAGACGCCTAGAAATGGCCAAAGTTCTAAAAAAAAATTAGATTAACAATAGCACATGAGATTATAAGAAACACTGTGTCTTTAACAACAAGTTTTCCTTGCATTATACTCAAGTGTTTGTTTTCTGAAGCCTGCCTGAGAGTACAACCCTTCTGTTCAATTGGCCTTCCTAGCTGCTAATGCTGAAAAACAGAACTATATTTTGTTTTCCTGCACATACAAAGAGACAAATAATTTGATACTAAAGACCCCAGAACAACTCACTTAATTTTCCTTTCTTAGTGACCACTTAACAATCAGCAACCCTCTGGACAGAGGTTATCAGGGATTAAATGACACACTAACCACCACCATACAGAAATAATACCCCTAATTACAAGGAGGGAAGAAGCTGCACTTACCCTCAGTCACATAGAACGCAGCTCCAGATTTGCCACCTCGTGCCTGCCAGGGCATCGAGTGAGAGAGGGATCGGATGAAATCCTCTTCACTGCTCCCCAGGATCACTTCACGCATCCTGTGAAACTCCCCAGCATAATAAATCCGGCAGTAGAACTTGGCATTCGCATCTGAGAACTCTGCAAGAAATGGTTTTCCTCAATAACAGCGCGCAACATGCACTGACTGCCCTAGACAACACTGAGATTCTACTCGTGTCTAAAGGAGCATTATTGTGCTAACCAACTCTCATGCTTATTGTAATTCAGAAGTTTCAACCAATGGGATTTAAATGGAAAATTGACAGGAAAGTCAAATCCCTCTAGATAAGCTCATAGTGTATGTCATGGGGAAGTGTTCAGACAAAATAACAATTTTTAAAAGTTCATGGAGTAGTTTTGCAAAAGAAATTGATTGCAGTAAGTAAAAATTGCATTGCTCTTTTTCTTCATTTGCTTTTCCTTCATGATACCAAGAATACAAAGAAAAAAACCACAAAAAAAACAACTATTAACTTCAAGACTGCCACTGCATGTGCCTGAAGAAATGAGTTTGCCAGCTAAGACTAAGTTGTTATTTACAACTACTCACGGAGTTCCACATGGGGATTCACCACCTGTTTCTTCTGTCCATCTCCTCCATCTCCATCATCTGAAGGCATAAAGGGCATTTGGTCAGGGTTGTTCACTATTATTACCAGGAAGGCCACATTAGGTACTACTTGTAAACTCACTTCACAAGAAATTTTTTTTTCCCCAAGAATACAGAGAGAACTATACACAGGGAATTAGAAATACAGCTATTATTGTATAATATAGTACATATGCTAGAAAGGCACTGCTGTTTATGGACCCAAATCCAGCCTCCCTCTTCATGCATTTTCCATGAGCTAAAACAATGAGAACAAAACAGCAAGTGAGAAAGACAGGGCTGCTTAACTAGAGCCAATTCAATCCAAAGGCATTCAAGACCAGACTACTCCACATCCCTATAGCTTGGATTTGGAAGATCCAGTTTCCCTTATCACAAAGAAAAGCAATGTATTTAGGAAAAAAACATATTTGATGTTCAAATGATTAATTTTCAATGCATGCTGAGTAACCTTGGACTGTTGAAAAAGTACAAGCAGGAGTGCATTTGGGGCCTTGCACGGATGAATGAGGTTAGGGAGAAGTACCAACCCAAGAGAGAAGAAGAACTCTGCAGTCTTGTACCTTGAGCCTCTGCTCCTTGGTTTTCTGCTCCCTCTTTGCCCATCTGTCCAACCTGGTAGTAAGCACTATCAGCACCACGTAAGGTCTCTTTCTTCTGGGAAGACAGGTCTGGGCTCTTCCCTCCCGTGCCACGGAAGAAAGACAAAACACCAGATGGTTTCTTTGCTACAGTGAAAAGGAATGGAAAAGATGGTGTTGGCATTTCCACAGGCAGTTTAATAACAGCATGACTCCTATGAATATTCCCTATTCATTGTTTTATGTGAAGAAATGATGCCATTCAACTATAACTCATTTCCTATTCTTCAGGCAACTAAGGTCCATGAGGGTGGATGATTTAGTGTTCTGAGTAGCATCCTAGAGTGCAGAGATATTTAAAAACACAGATCAATAATAAGTGTCTTTAATACAGTGAGAACTTAATGTCTGCATTTCAAGATATTTTAACTGCATCTCCTTAAAGAAGGCAATGCCAAAAGAAGGGCATCATATCCCACTGAACAGACTAGATTCAAGAACAACCCTAGGTTCACTACATAGTAACATTAAACCAGGGAATGACAGTTTGATCTCATAAGAATAATAGTTATCATAAGAACTACTGATCTCATAAGATCTTCATAAAACTAAAAAACCCACACACTCCCATCCCTCTCATGTGTTACATTAAGTCAACTCTAAGACTAGTCACAATTTCAACTCAGAATGCTGCTTTTTCTTCCCCACATGAACTAGAATCCAGGTTAAATGGACTCAAGTCTGAGCTGAGATTAGCACCATGGATGATTTTGGCAAAATGGTCTTACGCTGCTCTGGCTCTGCATTGCGAAGGGGACACATGTTAGCCTCAGGCAGGCGGACAGGGCTGCTGCTCTTGGGTTTGCTGTCTGACATGCTAAAAGGAGAAAGAACAAAAAACTGATGAACCAACAAATGCTGCCATCCAAGACACTACTGCTTTATGCCTGGACATTTATTTCTCTCTCCTGCCTAAACACTAAAGGAAAAAAACACCATTTAAAGGTGTAACAGTGTGGGACTCTCCAAAGTTGTCCTCCTCTATCATCCTAAAAAGTATCTCTCAGGTCCATAGCAATAGTTTCATCCATGGCCATAGCAAAGGTAAGCAGGCCCAGTATTCCTACTATGCATGCGGCCAAGAGATTAGGTGATGGAGCCAGCATGGTCCAGAACGTGAAATGCAAATTCACATACTGAAATGTGTGTTGGTAACATGGAATGAGTCAGATTCCATCAGAAAGCAGACACCCTAACAGGGGCATATTTTGAGGGTTCTTCCCCATCCTAGTTTTGCTAATTCACTACCATCACTACGTCTTCACTCTATGTACTGTAGTTCCTGCATGTAACCTGTTTGGTTGTAGTCCTTCTTCAGAACTGCTCTTCAGAGATGCTTTGGACAACTCATCCAGGGCATTTCTGTACTCCTTGCAACTGATGGGGAAAGAAGAAAAGAAAGGGAAAGAGAAAGACCCAAAATAATTAAGCGTTCTCTTGGAAACTCTGCAATACCAGCCCAAATATTCAGTTCAGAGACAACCATAGGAAACAAAACACCACAGTAGAAAAAACTCTGTTTTATTTTTTCTTATTATTAGAAGTTTTTTTTTCTTAGAACTAAAGCTGCTCTAGACAATATGCAGGAAAAATATCCCCTTATTTTTTCCCCTCCCACAATTTAAGAAGGCACTTCTTCAAAAATCTGCTGCCTTGTGACACGCAAACCCAAAGGTTTACTGAAGCAACTGGTGAGAAGAGCTGAGCATAACAAGAGCTGCTACAACCGAAGGTAGGCAAGAAACAGACTGCAATATCAGTACTAATAGCTGTTCCCCAACTCAGTTGCACTTCCTCCAGCTGGAGAGGCTGAGCAAAACGTAGTTTCACTTCCTTCTCTAGTGATAGATATCTCATTAAAAGAAACACCACACAACTAAGTCATTTTTGCATACTAGAGTTCCACTAAAAGTCAAAAAACCAGTTGCACTTTCATTATCTCAGCAGTAAGAGGAAAGAATCCCATCTCTGGCAGAAACTCTAACACGGCTTAATGCAGAAATTCTGTCATGCTTGTTCCCTATCATTAAAATTTATATATTCCTCAAACACAAAAGCTGCAAAAGTACAAAGTATATCAGATGAAAAGCCAAATCACACCAGTACCTGAGAGCAAAGGCGATGATGGAGCTTGGTTCTTTCTCACAGACTGCAATAGGTACACGTTCATGCTCATACATTAAGTAGTGCTTATCTGGGTCACTAAATGAAAACAACAGACTGTTACTAGATCATAAAAATTTGTGTAAAGAAAAGAAGTTTTGGAAAAAACCCAGATCTCATCACTGCACTCCCAGGCACAAGCTGCAAGTCTTAGCATGGAACCAAAGCTCCCCAGATCAGCTTCTCCCAACAAACACATTCATAACTCTGTGGTTAATTCTAAATGGCAGAGTGTTAGGGCAATCAGCATTTCAAGCAAGCTGCTTGGATCAGAAGACCAGCTTCAGGTTAGAATAAGAGTCTCTTTCTGTTTAGCAGCCACTGTTTCTAATGGCACCAAAACCTGCCTGAATTTGGTTTGACTATCCAGCAGCATAGCCTGTAGACTGAACTTAGGGAACAAACCTGGACTCTTTTCTAAACAGGCAGTTTATCACAGAAAATTCCCCAAAACCTCCTGGATTCTTGTATGATTTTTTTCACTGATCTGTAGGGTCAGTCATTTAGGTTTTACCTCATCAGCCCAAGGCCTTATGCTGGGGGTGGGATTCCCAAGGTAAACTCAGGCTGCCAAACGTTAGGCTCATGTCAAACGAGAAACACTACAAAGCACACAGACCAAGAAAGACTTTCCAGCCTGCCCATCTTCACACCAGAGGGACACTTGAGGGCACATGCAGTAGCCATTGAACCTGACCTACACCCAGACAATGCCAATTTGAGTCCAACCCTTGGAAGAGGTCTGGAAGCAAAAACAAGATGCAGGCATGTAGCTTTAGTTAAGTCTTTGCTAAGGAAGGGCATTTCCACTCCCTCCCTGCAGCAATGAAGTTAGGAGGCACCTTTCTCCTCTCTTCCCCACCCCTTCATCTCCCACAAGAGCTCTGAGGAGGCATGCCTGTTAGGAGAAGAAACTAATGCTGGCTTTACACAAGGGCAGATCATTCATAAGAAAGGTGGTTAACCTACAATCAACTAGAATGGACACAGAGAACTTCCTACCTTGACAAAGTTTTCTATCTTACTCAGGCAAACTCAAGTAATGACTTAAATTATACACTGAGCAAAGGAAGCATGCATGGCTCTGCCTGCAATCTGACAAGGCTGCTGATTTTGTACATTTTGTACATATTATGCAGTACTTACAAGGGAAAGGGAATGGGGTTGTAGTTGTTTCCAGGCAAAAAGTTAGCCAAAATAGCTTTCATAGTAGATTTCTCCTTCACTTGGCTGTCTGTAGATCCCAGCGAGTGTCCATCAAACACATCTGGAACAGACACATGTCAGGTCTGCACCACAATATCAAAGTTTAAGATGTAAATTCAGAAGGATGACTACAGACCACAGAGTTACCAGTTATCTGTCATTTCCTAAAAGGATCTTGTGGACTTGGCACAGAAAAGCAAGAGAAAGACAACTGAACTATACCTTCTGAGCTGCTTGTTGTGTCCTGTTCAGAGAGTGTGTTGGCACCAGTCATATGCTCTGAGGCAACCTCTGGAGAGGTGGGCAGCTGTAGATGGGTGGAGCTTGTGGAGCTCTGACTTGATAAAGTTGTCAGAAAACGATCCTCTGAGAGTTAAGGACAGAAGAAATAATTTTACATGGCTGTCAAAAGTGATATTGTTTGCTCCCAGCCCAAGCTATAACCAGCACGTGCTTTAAGAAAGTTGTTACTTAGAAAGCAGGTAAGGCCACACAGACCAACGGACTGGGCAAGCTCATCAGTGTAGCATGTAACCTCCAGAAAATATATACTCTTACAACTACTACCTTCAGCTCTCACAAACTCTCAGTATACTCCCAGGTAAGAGATTTCAGCACCCAAAACCAGATCACAAAAGAGGGAAAAGGCATTTCCCAAATTCCATGTAATTATTCAGTTAATTAGAAAGCTTCTGAAAGTTTTTAAACTAAAGTTCAATGGAAAATTCTTGTGGGCCAATCATTAGTAATTCAGCTTCATATTAGAAGCAGATGGCCAACTTCTATCTTACCATTAGAAAAAACAAATGTGACATGATGGGGATTTGGTATTTCTCTGATTTATCAAATTTGACAAAAGCTCCCATATTATGTCAGGAAAAGGGCTATAATATGCTTCTATTGGCATATTATGAAAAATAAGTAACAGACCTTTCTCTCCATTTTGCAGAGCTGGAGAAGCATTGCGTGGGGAAGCATCCATGCTACTGATCTAGGCAGAATAATAAAACAACAATGTTGGTGCCAAGCTCTTTACAGTTCTATTTCTTCCTATGTGGAACACTTACAAAGGCAGATGTATTATAACAGAGCACTCCCACCCACTTCTCAGCCTCTGCATGTCACTGTATCTGTTACCATAAAAAAAAAGACAAGGCAACAGCAACTCAAGTTCACAGGATGCTTATGATGGCTGTTATCTGTGTATGCTGGTTTAAACACTACACTCCCTCTCTAAGACCCACTTCCTGCTAGATCAAGGTAAGGTTTGCTTTAGCACCTAACAAATATGTGTTAAGTGGAAGGGGCATTTGTGCATGCAGCAGAGCAATCCAGGGTCTCCAGGAGTTTTTAGTGCACCTTGCTATATAGAACTATTGGGAGTTCAGCCTCTCTGTATGATGCTTATATTGTACTGCCTTGCAGCCCAGACATTTCCTCAGAGCTCCAGCTCCCCAAAGGGTGGAAGTTCATCATGCTGGCATGTGTATCCTTGGACAGAGCTCTTGAGGCAGCCGTCCAAAATCCATCCCTTCAGTCAGTTCCCACAGGATACATCACAAAACATCACATCCTGAAAAGCCATGATCAGTCCCTCCTGCGTCATTTGCTCTACCTCTCGATATTGTCATTTCTTTTTCACAAGAGGTGCACCTGATGGGCAACAACCTAGGGTTGAAGGAGATGGCCCAGTTCCTATCTAGGCACACACTCACCAATGACTGCAGCTCTGCTGGCAGTGCTCATATCAACCCTACACAAACATCACAGAAAATCATCAACTCCTACTCATGCTTACTCTTCCTCTCCACAATATAGCTCTTAGTTCACATCTTTTAGGAAAAGATACATACACTAGCACAAAATTTAAGTTGAAAACTAAAAGACGCAGTGAAACTAGTTTAATAACTGTTAAAGAGAACTCAAGCCAGTCTTAAGACTATTGTGCTGCCCCAGGAAAAAAAATGTTTAAGAGGTTTAGAGCCTGTTAGCCATACCTTGCTTTCTTCACCTTGCCTCAGTCTCCCAGGGCTGGGTGGTACTGATGGACGTTTTCTCCCTTTTTCTTGTTGGAAGAGATCCTGCAATCTTGAACAAAAACTAATAATAAAATAAACAAACAAAAACAACCCACACAAAACCACCACCACCAAAGAAAAATTAATCAAAAGGTGTTATCTCTGAATGATACAGGTTATGAAGTTTCTCCATAACAAACTCCGATTGCTGCTAACACTTGCCAAAGATGCATCAAATGGCCAAAGACAGCACATTTTCTTTAGCTCTGAGACTAAGTCTCTTTTTCTGAATGAAAACCCAATCCTCAGGTCCCATGCACCCCTCTTCCCATCTCTTCCACCACTACTCAAACGAAAATTTCTCCTCCAGATGTAAGTTGTGCTCTACAACACAATGCTTTTATCATATGGCCTCAAGTGATTTTCTGTTCCAACTGATCAGAACTGGTGTGTTCTCAACCAGTACAACACATTCAGCACAAGTTCTATACAGTAACTGCTCTGCAGTGAAAGAAACTACAGCTGAACTTCTTCCCTCCCTGAACCAACACTGTATCATTGTTGGTCATGATTCCAGCATGTGTCCTCTTACAGTGTTGGTCATGATTCCAGCATGTGTCCTCTTACCTATTATTCCAGGCTTGTAGCATCTCACAAAGTCCTTGCTTTTTAGCTATCAGGGACTCAAAAACAGATTGCAGCTGTTGAGGTGTGTCCAGTGATGATGAAAGCAGCCTTGCTTGGATTTTCTCAGTCCAGTTTCGAAACTCTCCTTCTTCCATCTGTCAAAATGAAAACTGTCATTTTTATCTCACCAAGACGACACAAGATCTGAGTAGCTCCTCCACACTCTTAGCCTATGGATCACTGATGCAAAACTAGTCTATTACCTCCTTTTGGGCAAAGAGGTCTTCCATCTTTTCTTCCCTCGTTTTGCTGAAGGTATCTGTTTTCAGAGAAGCAAGGCGATCATCCACAGCAAGATACACTTGTGACACCCTGCCAACAGCAATGCAAAAGAGTTAAGCTGTAACTACTTGGAGCTTCTTCAACATTCTTTAAAATAGTCTGAATGTGTTTAAGGTTAGCATTTAAGAATACAAAACACGCTACATGACAGCCTTCCTGCATAGTAAGCCATCCAACTGTATTCACAGAGGAAGTTGGAAAAACTTCATTAGTAATAGGAGGAATCTGGAAGTTACGTACACTGACTCTTGTCTCCACAATTTATTCTTAGCAGTGGAAGTTGTCAGAGAGCAATACAAATGTCTCAAACATTATTAACAGAGGGGAACTATTGTGTCATCTGTGATTAGGAAGAATCTGGGTCTGCAAGCTACACATCTACCAGCAGGGCTCAGAAAAAATGTGTATCTCTATTTCAGCTCTAAACAAAGCTCCACAGGTTTTGAAGTCAGATGGTCACAGAGACTTATAGCAATACAGGAATGCTGTGACCAGGCAGAACAGCAGTCTGGCTGGATTTTATACAGTTTTCATCCTGCCTGTTTTCAACTTTTTTGTTCCTACATTTAGAAAATATCTAGGCTCATGGTCGTTCACCTTAGACTACAAGGTAGAGTCTGCTTGCTGTTCCCATATTCAATAGCTAACAAAGGCAAAGACTTCTATATACCAGAGTTCTATTGCCACATGACCAACAGAATGACAACAGTTCTGTTCAGACAAAAGATCTGAGCAAGGTCTTTGCAGTTTTTTGGGGCTGAAGAATTGAAACTCAGTCAAACGTTCTATTAAGGAACATTAGGGTAAGAGTACGTAAGTATAACCTGCAGTTTTCCAGGTCGGTCTTCTAGGACCATCTTTTCATTTTTAGCATTAGATGAAGAAATAAAAATACTTTCACCAGGCATTTCATAATGTAATGACAGACACCTGCTGATGGTCAACCTTTCAGTAGCTTGGCAGCATTATTCAGAAACATGCTATATGACTCAGACATCAGTGAAACATTCAGGGATAGAGATGAAAAGAATCTAAGTTTCTGCTGGCAATGTTTAACCTGACTTGCCACCAGACAAAGAGCTAAGACATTAGTACAGACAGAGCAAGCACAGGTAACAAAGATTTCAATACCACTGTCCCTTGGAAGTACATATGCATATATGTTTTAAACTATTACTTTTCTATCAAGTAATGAATATTTAGCCAAATCTCATCATATTAGAAAAATTGTTATGTGTTCTGCTAATCAAAATACAAAATACAAATAAGATTAAGAAGACATTAAAAACAGAGCTTACTTTTGTGAGAAATCCTTGAGATCCTGCAAAATAGTAACTTTTAATGGGGCCTGTCGTTTGATGTAGATCTTGGGGAGTGGGACACACACTTCCAGCAGCCGGATTGGAGAGTAGCTGAGAAGGCAATACAACAGCTTGTAACAAGACCCACAGCACACAGTACCAGTTCCACACCATACTGAGTTTTGAGGCCCTTGTATGAAAAAGGGCACTGTCAATGTATGCAGGGCTTTAGTTACTTTTAGCAGAAATAACACTGTTCATTCTCCTAGGCAAGAAGTTAAAGCACAAATCATATTGCAAAACCAAAATTTAGAAAGCATTTGGAATTGGGTAGGGAAAAGCATTTCCCTTCTGTATCATGAAGAGGAACCATCCACTCTTGGAACACTGCCCACCACAGCTAGGACAGTGATGCCACCCACAAAGCCCCTCTGCAAGCCAGCACACAATCCTGCACTTGTGGTTATGGTACAGTTATGCTATCCCATGCTATACTCACAGTGAAGGACAGAACTGATGAATTCTTACTACAGCCATATGCTTCATAGAGTACCAGAGAGAGAAAGAAGTTTTTAGCAGTGGAACTCACCTGAAAGATGCCACCATCTGATTATAGGAAAAATACTGGTGATAGTCGTGGTGAATGGAATGCCCACAAGGCTCTGCGTTGGCCCTTCGAGTGTACTGGTACCCATAGAACCTCAGCTCAAGGTATTTTGCAAAAGACATAGACCAAGAGTCATTGGAAAGGGGAACAACTGGTGTCACCTGAAAAATTGGAAGGCAAGTATCTAAATTTTATCCTTCAAACAAGATTAAGGAGAGGATAATCCAGGCAGCAATCTAGTATTTCTAGTACCAGAAGTGACCCTGAAACATACTTAAAAACAAAGACAGCATTTATGCATAGCTAAGGCCAACACATAGTTAAAATAAATCTTTTAAACAACTGCTAGCTGATGATGACAGGTGCTAAGCTGGGGGAGTCCAAACATACCCTCGATGGAAGCTTATTTCTGGGATGCTATTTCTCTGTATAGAGTCAATTTTCAGCAACCCAGCCAGCAGCAGTGGCCATATCATATACTTTTCCCTGGTGATTCTGCAGCTACAAATGAGTTGGTACTGCTTTGCAGAGTATTTCAACTTCAGAAGTGCTTACAAGCTTACACCAGACACTTTACACACACTTAACAACCTCAACCACATAAGTGTTTACATGAGCACACAAAAATAAAAGGTTACAGAGCAGCTATATACACAGCAACACAGGGCTTGCAGTCAGCAACTGTGTCAACCTCCTCCAGGCATCTGTACATCCAACACCCATGTCCAAGGCAGCCTAAGTAGGTGACCTGAGTCATCCATATGGGTAATTCAGATGTTCTGCATTTCAGGTACTGCATGAATCTTTTTTCATTATGTTTTATTCTCATCTCTTTGAAGGCTCTTCATGTTTAGCAAGACATGAGTATCCAGTTAGCAATGTTTTCTTAGCTAAATTACAGAACAAGCTCCAGATAATACACCATCGTACTATCTTGTGGGCTTTTTAAAGCAATTTAATATTTCTCTAATGAAGATGTTACTTTCTAATGACTACTAAAGGAACTCCAGACATCACATTGACGCAGTGTAGGCTGTTCAGTCCACAGCAGATCAAAGAACAGGAAGTGGCTTCAGCCAATTACTATGCCAGTAGGTCTTGGTGTCTGCCCTTTCCAGTATGCTCATAAAGATTCACTACATGAAAGGGACCATACTCTTCACCTCTAAGTGAGCAACTCCATTTTTTCTGCTTAGATCTCTCCTCTCAGAGTCAGTTTTGACACTTTCTAATAAGACCACCCCACACAAGATTTTTCACCCTCAACAGCCCCAGTGCTAAAAGAGGAATTTGTAGGTGACACGAGAACATATGTACCAGTAACAGGTTTTCTGCCAGTTTAGCCATAGCTCCAGGCATGAGCACTTCCTCAAAAATGCTGCCTTTCCATACAAAGCCAGTCACAGCAAGAATACTAAATTGGCATAGCAATGAGTCTGAAGTCCACATCCTTACCTGTTTGCACAGTCTGCACCAGGAGTAAGTAAGGATGGTGTGCTGGTACCCAGGGACAGGGGAGTCCAGCTCCTTTAACACGATCTGCACACAGCCCTGCCCATGAACAAAGCGACGGATGTGGTGCACCATTGGTGTTTCACAGAACATGCTGGGGCATTGGTAGGAAGGCCTTACAGAGAGAAATAGAAACACCTATAAATGATCACATATCAAGCACTGCTGAAGAACTGATTCAACAGATCTAATATGCCTTATAATATCATGGTATCTTCACTGTAAAAGAGTTTTCTAAGCCTGTAGTGAAGGTTGTATCTGCAGAGCAATTTAGAAGTAGCACACAGTGAAGTTTCATCAACAGCAATGGCTGTATAGATCCCAAAAGCAGTGACTGATACTGTTTGCTATCATCTTTTTACAATTAATCACTTTCTACCAATGTATTCTGTATAAGGATCAAGGCACCAAATTAAAAGACTGCTTTGGCAATGTACCCGAGCAAATAATACCAAGGACAAAGATGTGACAAAGAGCCTTAAAATGGCAATGTTTCGCTCCTGAAACAGTAAAACCCATGACCTTTCTTTTTTTAAGTCACAGATGAAAGACTAATACCAGAAAAATAAAAGCTGAATTGTTGAGGTACCAAAGTAAGATAAGATATTCTCCAAAACCAGAATGAGCCTGAAAAGGCTCAGGTTGTCCTTGCTCAAGTGAAAAAACAAAGAATTTTAATTACTGAAACTATGGAGATTGAGAAGCATTCACTTTAGCAGACACTACCTAATGAGCAGAGAGAAGCAGGAATTTAAAAGTGGGCAGCTAAGCTCCTTCTCACTGATCACCACAAGGAGAAATACTTGTTCCTCCAGAAGGCCAAACATCAACAGCCTTCTGCTGGTGCAAGTGGCCAATGGAGAGAACAGAGTAAGCTCGTCTTTTGAGCAGGTGACCTATCCAGCTTCCCAGACTTCTGAGACTCTGCATGGGGTTGTGACAGCACCAGTTATTACAGAAACATGACAACTTACACCTCTGAGATGAAATAAATGACAGAGTACTTTTCCAGGGCTCAAAGTGTTCTGGACCATTTACATTGGCCACCTTGCACATATGACAAAGCCTTACTCTGAGACACTAAATGAGTAGTGTTAGCCAACACTTGTATGAACTTTCAAAGAGGAATCTCAGAAAACTGTGACCAGAACAGTTGTCAGTCTTGAAAAACAGACAGTTGGAATACATGTTCAGACTCTTAACTTGGCCCTTAAACCCTAATTGCTACAGAAATGTGAACACATTTGTCTTCATGAACTTATAAACTTCATTTCATAATCTGTTTCACTTCCTCAGGAAGGGAAGAAGGACAGGGCCAAAATATGAAAGCAATGGATGTATTTACTTGTAACAACTGAGCATGAGTGAATTAGAATAAATTCCTCCTTACCTGAAACAGTAGCGCTCCAGAAAAATCCCTAGAGTTAGATCATTTTTCCCATAGAACTCCATGGTCACAATCCTAAAGCAGAGAAAAAAAAAAGCTTTAGAGACTGGATGCCATCACCATTAGCTGTGCAATAGCCTTTAGGAGCACAGATCTACACCCACTGCTGGCTTGTTTACAGCCCTATATAACTTCAAAAATCTTTTTTCCACTTGACTACCCCTCTTAGATCCCTGCTGTCAGGTTTGCTAATAATAAGATCAAAGTCCTACTAGAACAACTTTCAACTTGACATTTAAAATTCCAATACAATTCAACTGCACTTCTGAAGATTATTTTCAAAAATATCTAGGCACAGAAGTCTAAACAGCTTTAAGCTTCAAGCACTAATGTTTAAACAGCTACAAAAAAGGGTACATCCAGAACATGAAAAAAGCCTCAAGAAATCCTTATTCTTGTAGAATATTTAATAGCAACTTTAGTTTCCCCAGAACCTGAGGTGACCAAGCCATTTAAATTGCGTATCAGTTTAAGTGTCATAATTCAGATATCCCTAACATCACTAATTTACATTATCTCATTGTTGCTGCTTAGTGAGCATATCACCATCTTCTTTGGTTCATTTCTAAGCTTTTACAGGAACTTTAGACCTTTTCCTGTAAGAGGGTCATCTCTTTATTTTCACCTAAGTTAAACTATTAAAATCACCTAGGCTAATGATTAAACACCAAGATCTGTCCTGTTTAGTAGAGACAGAAGTGTGTCATAAGTTGCACACAATTAGTAAATTACAGCCCCCTAAGCTGGAAATAAAGCTCTTAATAGTGATGACTATAGTATGAAAAAGATAGCAATATAGTCCAATGCCACTGTTGGATAATGCAATCTACAAGTATGCCAAGATTTTCACAAGGCTCACTTTTGGGCTTGGACATTGTCCTGCATCCTGTGTTCATTTACACTAACTCTTCTCCACAAGACTGCATGCAATGCTCCCCACACAGAAATCATTACTCTGCAGTGAAACACCAACTAAAGCATTTGGTTTCAGGCTGGCCTTTCTCATTCATGCCTTGGGTATCACAGAGGTTGTGCAATACTGCTGTAGATTCACCTGATTACGCAAGACAAAAGTCTTTTGGCAAAAGTTCCTGTTACAGGATGAGCACAACCTACCAAGGAGTCCTCAAAGAAATACTGCCATGAGGCAAGCACTGACTCTGACTTGGGGAAGGAAAGAATAGCAACTATCCAAGCTGTAGAGGAGTAGTTTTTATACCAGGGGCTAACACAGGCACTTGGAGCATTGCTGGACTGAGCAGAAGAGCTGCTGAAGAGAACACAGAGCCTCTGATGGTTTACTGGACTCAGGCAATCCACCTAGTAGAGAGAAAACAACTCATTCACTGGTTACAGACTTCTCCATTCACACACAACTTCTGTTGACAAAATTCTGTTCTAGTAATTTTATTCAAAGACAAATCTCTACTTTCTCCTTTCGTACAGATGAACTTGGCATTATCTCCCAGCCTCAGGTAAACCTGTGCTATGTATAATTGCCAAGTGACATTTTTAGAACAACATAACTCGTAACAAAACCAATGAACATGCATGTGTTTCTGTGGAAATGAAGCCAAGAGAAACAGAAAACAAAAGCCCCATGACAAACATCCAGACATCTCTAAATTACTGTATGATGTAGGACATCTTAGATTCAAAACTCTGCCAATATATTATACTCCAGTTACTCATTCAGGCTATAGAAAGATTTCCATCTTTCTATTCTCTGGGAAGAGATGTACCACCACACCCTGCAAAACTATGATGTTACCAAATACTTGTCTTTGATCACTGAGTAAATTTAAAACAGCATCAGCCAGTCTGATCCAAAACAAGGGCTACTCTTAGAGTTTGTAAGATTATGGCCTGTGAAGCTACAGAGATCTACATTGAAGTGCCAATTAAAAAGCGACTTCTGCTCATGAACACAAGGGCTCATTGGCTCAGGGACCAAAATGTTGACTGTTTCAACAGATCAATTCTGCTACTCTTGTTCATAGACATTTTTCCTAAACAGATCACAATTCAAGATCTCAAGATTCTTTTCCTCAGATACAAGTTGGTTAGTTTCATGGCAGTTTACCAAAACTTTAAATATTTTTATTACAAACACATACCCCCTGCTTTGAAATTTCAAAGAAGATTCCTTTCGCTCCATTATGTGATTCTCGCTTTTCTTCAGACCACCCAAACTTTTACAATCAATCAAGTACTTTAATGTAATTACAGCCTACTGCTGTTTCTATGACATAAAGCCCTCTGAAAATTCAAGTACATTTCTACAAATAACCAAATACAAGGAGCAAGAAAGGTCAGTTTAAGAAACTTCTTAAGGTTTGCTCCCTCTTCATGGACTCATTTTCAAAAATCAGGTACAGCCCAGTCAAACAGGCAAAACTGATTCTGGGCTGACTTTGTGCATTTCTCAGAGAAATTTTGCAGTCTCTTGTTCTAATTGACTGCAGAGCACTGCAATCTAAAATGGAGTTATGGCCAGTCAAAAAAACAAAACAAAACCACAAAAACCATAATCAAACAGAAAGAAACAGACAAAAACACATCCCCTCTGGTTTAATATGAGTCCCTACACCTTCTGTATACCATGAGAAACTGATGTAACTTGAATTTTGAGCAGCACAACTCAATCTTACCCTATGAGACCAAGAGGATTCACTCTGAGCCAGTCCCTTCTCCTCCTCTTCAGTTCTGTTCCCAGTTTTTCCAGTAGGGACACTAGACACATCCTTATTTTGGGCAAAAGGATCTGTGCTTTTCTGTAGTATCCTACCTCCTCTGGCCCGATAGTCAGCCAGCATTCTGGCTAAGCTCTGGCTATCACGTAGATGTTCTGCTATTCTAGTGTTAACCAACTCATGAGAAGGTAAGATTTGGATAGCCTTGGCTTGGATACTCCCATTCCTCCCTTGTAGTCCAGAGAAATCCCGCAACAATTGCTTCTTCCTTCTGCTCTCCAACTCCTTGTATTCCTTGTTGAGGAGAGGAGACCAATAAACTTGTTCGGGAAAGTATTCCCGGGCAGGGCATCTCATGCCTTTTTCAGTCAAAAGAAATGGTTCACGGAACATCAGCACTGGAGAAATGCAGAGAATTACATCTTTCAACTCCTGCTTAAATGCTGCAGAGTAAGTTTTGAGACGATCCTCAGACGAAGTTACCTCTTCCGTGACATATAAACCAGTATCATCCTGGAGAGGGTCTCTGAAGACTCTCATCTGACTCTTGGACTCCTGTAAATCATCTGCCTGTGGAAGAGGCTCTAGTGCCTGGTCATCCAGAGTGGCCAAGTGCTGGTCCATGCCATGGAGGGGCAGTGGGGATGTTTCAGGTATTGCATGAGGTACAGGGCTGAGCACTGCAAATGGTGACTCCGCTTTGTGGTGCTCTTGCTGCTTGGAGGACACCATTTCCAGCTGACTGTTCTCTTGGTCACCTCTGTCAAATATGCTTCTTGGTTCAGGCAAACTGACCTCATCAGAGGACACTGATTCAGAGATTACAGGCAGCTTTTCAGAGGATAATTCAATGTCTTTGACTGCTGTGCTGAAGTCCTCACCATTGAAGAGGTTCTGTTGTTCATTTTCATCTCCTGGCTCCTCAATAAGGGAGTGAAAGGAAGTGTTTTTGGTGAGAGTAGGGGGCATGGCAAACTCATCCATAAGAAATGAGATTTCCAGCTGGGAATGATAAGCCACACAGACCATGAAGATCAGGATCTCCTTCACACGAGCCAGCTCGTACTCTGCAGCACCACACAACTTGATAGTGCAACCCAGGTGCTGGGGACACCCTTCGAAGAACATCAGGGGTTTTGTCTGATCTAGAAATAAAACATGGGAGTTAGGATGACAGCTATAGTTCATCTGCTTTTAGATACCTCACTCACCCAAGAGACTGTAAAGGAGACTAAGAGCAAGTAACATTGGTAGCTGCAGAAATTCATATTACTGTACTAACTTATTTTAGCAAGAAAAAAAAAATAAACAACAAAACATTTGCTATAAATCTTCTCCTGTTCTATAAAACAGGCCATCAAGAAGTCAAAGTGAAGGCCATATGGAACACTCTGACCACTCAGTGGTCTTATAAACAGAGTATTATAAGACCACTGTAGACTCTGCATCAGTGGGCAAAAGAATCACTTCCCTTCCAGGCACATTTGCTCATCCTTACAACTCAAAAGCCTATGACACTCTGAGGGCAATTAAAGGCTGGAAGGGGCAATGAGGAAGTGGAAAGGAAATTGTTCAAGGACAGATTTGACTGAACTTGGAGCAACTTGGTCTAGGGGAAGGTCTAGTTCCTGCCATGGCAGACAAGTTAGAACTAAATGATTTTTAAGGCCCCTTCCAACCAAAACCTTTCTATGATTCTATGAAGAGATGCAAAGACTGCATCTCCACGAAGATCTTCATCCACAGCATTCATGTGTGCCAGCACCACTGGTAACCTGTCAAGCAGCATTTCTTCCTTCCTTTGTAGACTCCCATTGCCTAGGGGAGTTAGAGAGAAAAAGGAACCTTTCTTAAAGGTGCACAATAACTAGACATGGAGAAGTGTGCACAACTTGCAACAAGGCAAATTTTGATTGGATTTGTTAAGGTAGGACCAGATAATCTTTTGAACTCCCTTCCAACACAGGCTGTTTTGTGATTCTTTTACTTCAATGCAGAAAAATTCTTTACAGTGAGGATGGTGCCCAGACAGACTACAAAATCTCTACTCTGCAATATTTTCAAGAGTTGGCTGACAAAACCCTAAGAAATCTGATGCAGCATTGAAATTAATCCTTCCTGTTTTGAACAGGAAGTTGGACTAGACAAACTACAGCATGTGGGAAGAGAAAAAACAGCTTGGAAGAAAGAAATCAGTCTAATTAAAATCTATAGAGTGTCTTTTCTTAATAAGATCATACTTTTCTCTACAGGCAGTTCACTGTAGTTCCAGCAAGTAACAGAAATAAAATGAGTAGGATTATACATGATCACACAAGGAAGCCAACAGTTCAAATCTCTTTAAAAAGGAGCAAAGCATTCATCCTTTCACAGACATAGGCTAAGGCACATCAAGTTTTACTCACCATTGGGCAACTGAAAAACTTGCATATAAAATTTATGACAGGTCCCCAGCTGTGGTTTGGTCAACAGTTGATCCATTGACATCACTAAGTCGCCCTGGGTCATTCGACTTACCCGGTCTAACACTTGCTGTAAAATTGGAAAGAATTATAAGAATCTACAATGCAAAGAGGACACTTGCATCCTTGTCTTGCTCTTAACAAACCAAAAAACACCAGTGCAATGTATAAAATCTCTCACTGAGATGCAAACTCTCAGTTAAACTCAATCCCACAATCCAACATCCACAATATACAAGAATCTTAGAAACACAGTTGGATAAATAATTCTGGTGAGATTGTACCCTGCCTAGAACTTCTCACTTGACTAGATCCAGATACCTCCAGGAGGTGCAGTGCAGTCAGCATAATTCTGGCTCTGCCAGGAGCTCAGCCAACTCCCACAGCTACTCTCTGTTTGGCTGTCTGTACCCTGCCTCACAGGGACAGAGGCTCTCTGGAAATAGCTGAGGACCCACACATAATTTGCTATAAATGGATATCAAAGTCAACTAGAACTAAACCAGGGTACAAGGACCCATCAAACAAGGACACAGCACAATAGCTGTGAAGACCTGAGGAAAAAGTAACTCTACAGATTCACCTGTCTTACCTTCTTGGAAGAGAACATTTGGTTAGAGAAGAAAATAAGACAACTCTTGGCTATCTCCAGGGAGTTTGCTACAAGGAGTCATTAGAAATCTATGACAAGGCCAAGTCTAACTCTGATCAGAAATGCTCACCGGCTTGACGTTGATGACCAGAGTGATACCATGCTCTAAGAGCATGTCCTGGGCAATTCTGGACACAGTCTTTTCAACAAGGACCAAATTGGGCTGAACATCAACTATCCGCTGTACATAGTTCTTCAAGAACTCCCTTTCCTGCAGACAGGAACAAAGTATAGCAGTGAACGACTGCAAACCCATCTGGAAAATAAACCCACTTTAATGCTCAATATTCCTTTTCACTTGATTTATATACTGTCCTCTCCTATAAAACAGGGAAAACAGCTATCCTGAAAACACTATTAGTAGTCCATTGTGAATATCTTCCTATTCCCCCAGCACAACACTAGTTTATCAGTAATATTTTATAAGCATTTCATAAAGAAAAGATCTGTGTATTTCAGTGTTTTCATATTTAAGGCACATCCCTACTCACAGGGGCAGGGCACCTGTTCCAAAGTGACATTTTCTAGCTCATCACTCCATTAGGTTGGTGGTTGTTCCATTTTTTCAAGCCTGACCGAAAATAACATGGGTGTGACCTAACCCTAACCTACATCAACTTTTCAAATATTTCTTCACACACCTAAACCTTATCTAGCTCTAATACTGTATAAGGAATGTACAGTTCAGAAGGTCTCAATAAAAATAAAAGTTTTCTAAAATGCTACACTGTGAGAATCAAAAGCTCACATGTTCTCAGGACATGTAACTTGAAGACAAAAACCCTCAGTGCAAGGCTTCAAGTTTATACTACATTTACTGCAGCAGTTCTCTTAGCTAGCTTATTAGAAGAGGAAAGTTCTTCCTTTTCTATGCAATCTCACTCATTCAACTTCACCTTACACACTGAAAAAATTTGCACTGGTCATGGTTTTGTTGGTGCTATTTTAACCAAGAACAAAAGCATATGCTCACCTGAAGTACTATAGGCTCTATGCAGGTAAACTTTGTTTCTTCTCGATAGAGGTACTCAATTGAGCATTTTAGCAGAAGAATTCTAGGATTTTTTAAGCAAGAGTTCATCTAGAAAAGACACAAAATAGTTACAACAAAAATACAAATACCCGGAGAGGAAGAAGTACAAAAGAAAAAGAGACAGACTTCCCAGGATTGGTCCCTGCTACCCTCACCTCCCTTTAAAGTGTCTCAGCTATCCCCCGCTTTATACCCAACTACACATTCTTCCTTCTTCTGAAGTTGTTACACCCAGTCTTCGGAATTTCACAGGTACTCTCCATAAGCAAGCAATGCTAGAGAGGATTTCCAGTCCCTGCTAAGGGCCCCAAAGTCTTCATACACTTGAGTCATGCAGCTCACTTCTATCTTGCCCTCCTGCCTTAGAGACCCATTTTACTACACTACTGTAAGTCAGAACAACAAATGCCTTTTTCTGCCTAAAAGTTGGGATAATTATTAGATGCCTCATGCTGTGGTAGGGATGGAAAGTTTTTCTATACATGCATGAGGAGAGTTTCTCCCCCAAAATCTCTGGGCCAGAAAACAAAACAGCTTGGAAAATAAGTGCTTTAAAAGCCATTCTTTTGGGGGCTCAAAGCAGAGAAAGCTCACAAACCTCCAAGGTGGTGAGAGAAGCTTCCTGGCACAAAAAGCAAGTCAGAGCACCCTTGTTTCCACAGCATACATTACAATAAGATTAATCAAGCTGCATTACCTTTTTGTGCGCAACATTCTTAGTGCAAACAAACCCATTCACCACCATGGAGTCAAATTTCTTTCCACCAGGGATCTAACAAAGCAAAGAACATTTTTAGAACTGTCATACACTCCCACATCTTGTAGTGCAGTAAAGCTAATACAAAGGAAACCTATTGCAGGTGATGTACAAACTTCAGCTACACCTGCAATTATCAGATGAAAGATCAGATACAGTCATGCTGGACACATAAGTCTTTCCCTTTAAAGCCTGACAAACTCAGGACAACACGAAAACTAGTACTGAGTTCTAGGATTTCTACATCCTTCCCAAGAGATGCTTATTTGTTAAATGAGTATACTTCAGCACATGACAAGGGAACCTAATTTGGATAGGCTATGAGAAGCATACAGCTTTGCACATGCCATTTCTATTAACAACAAAAAAATTGTAAGCAAAGGGAGGAAAAAATATAAAAGAAAGAAAGAAAATCAAAAAAACCTCTTCCCACCAATTGAACACATCAAACAGTTGACTGGTATGCCTGCAGTCACAGGCAATCCCAGGCATAATAAACAGCATCAAGCAGGTTTCTGAATAATGTGTTTCAGAGGACATTCATATTACCAGCCTGTGAAAATAGCAGACAGCTATGATGAGCTTTCACCTCTGAACAACTGCTCTTTGAACCGGAGTTTCAGGAGAAGCAGGAACAAGTGCTGCCTGAAGCGATGCCACAGAACTACTACCAGAATCAGAAGGTTCTCCTCAAATCTCATATGGCTTTCAAGTAGAGTACTGCTGAGGTGAATTTGGCCAAAGAAAACTAAGTCCAAATCTTCAGTCCTCAATCACACTAACTCCTTGGATGTTATTTTCACATCAGACTCTCAGAAGGAAGTTTGCATGCTAGAACTCCAGACTTACAGCTCAACAGTGTCAACACTGGGCCATCTGGCAGAACTGGATACACCATTCCATAACAATTAAGTTTTGCTCTTGAAGAAAGTCATCATACTTGGCACGGGAGGAGTTGAATACTCCCTAATGGATAGGTACAGGGAAACAGATTGCTGCACCATGTCCTGCAAGCTACTTATCTCCAATTCAAGAGCAAAACAAGCAGAAACCAAAAAATGAACCAAGTAACTACAGAGGTGTTACTCTTTGCTACCTTCTGCAGCCTACAGCCTGAAAGAAGAGGTCAGCCCCAGCACATTAAAGCACTTTTCACAGCATGCCAAGTTCCCTCTGTGCAACTTTTTCCAGAACCCCACCTTATCCAAAGGCCAAGTCATTCAATTACAGTACTGAATATGCTGGGGGCAGTGGAAAGGGGACTATTCTCTTCAAACAAGGTGCACTGCCAACAGCTGCACCCTTTTGTTTCCCTACATCCACTGCTTGAAACTTACTTTTTTGATGTGGACAAACTGGCGGATATCCATGTCATCATCTCTCTTCTTGACATCTGGCCGTACCGTCTGAACTACCTGGCAGACCACGGGCACAATAATATCCCTCCAGGACAGTGACAGGGACTCATTGTATAGAAGCTGCTGAAGCAGCGCCATCATGTGGTTGTGATTAGCAGACCTATAAAAAAGGCAAAATAGATTTCTCATTATAAAATATAAAAATACAGTGCAGTGATTAGCTGAAGTAAATTTCCTAACATTTACAATGCAGAAGTCCTCTGAAGCAAAAGCTACCTAGAATGTTCTACAGTCAGCTTTGGTCCTGTACTCTATATATAAACATCACAAGATTAAAAAAAAAAAACAGCAAAATATATGTAAAAATGCTGTGTTCTTAATGCAAATTATTTCCTTGTATTGCCTACTGTAGCTCAAGTCCCACTGAAAGTTGGTGGAATAGAGGGGCTTCAGAAATTGTTACTCAAGATATACAAATTCCTTTTTCTACATTTCTTACAGCAGCCTTTCCATGGCTTGTTTCTCCCCATTCTCTTCTCTCAGCAGATCCAGATTGCTGTGGTGCCAGCCTAGGGGTGTGAACAAGAGCTCTTTGGACTTCTCCTCCACCCTCCTGTTGAATAACGACTCTGCAAGACACAAACAAACGTTGTTAATGGAAGGTCACAGTTGAATGCTTGTGTCTTTCTGAAAGGCTGCTTCAAAAAGGAAAGAATTTACTAAGACGTAAGTCCCAGTAAGTACTGAGTAAGTACTGAGTTTAAGATAGATATCATGGTCCTCAGTTTGAGGGGGACTGACACTTTCAATTACTATATTGTGTAGTAATTCCTTAGAACTGCTCTCTGTTCTGAGTACCAAAATTAGAGGTTACTTCACCACAGTCCGTGCTTTGAAAGAGTTACTAGGTTATTTCCTGCATGGTTATTATGATATTATAGAGGCAAATTATAAACTTCCACATTGACATAATGGCTGACTATATTATAAGTCATTTATACTGGTAGTGTATAAATGTTCATCAAGCAAGTATGTAAGCCTTCAGAGATGAAGCTTAAAACTCCTCACTATTAATCAAAATCTTTAGACAATAGCAATCCAAGGAGGACTACTGAAGAAAAAGTCTCCTAAAAAACAACAATTAACTTCCTCCAGGTGCTCCATGCACAAAATTAGCTGTGTAGAAGATTAACAGAAATTTCATTGATTTCCCCCTTTGTTCTGCAAAAGCTCAATTAAAAACTAAACACCAATTTAATCCAAGACTTTATTTTTCAGGCTAGACAGACACTGGGGCTTCTCCCTTATTTTCTCCTCTTATGAGGGCACCAAAATCAATAGCATTAACTGGGAAGAAAAAAAAAAGCCCACAAGTGCATCTGGCCCTGATACTGGAAAGCATGTGGGTTTACAAACTCATAGGTGCATGTAATGGCCTTTCATTTCAGAAGTAGTGATGACAAGAAACCCAGAAAGATTTAAGAGAAGAAGCTTTAAGCTACTCTGTAGAAGCAGTGCAATTCATTGTATCACATCTTCATTTGCTTGCACAGGAAGTTAAAATCAGTTACGTAAATTTGTTGGTGGAGAAACTGTGAACAAACTTGCCACTTACACTCATTTTTTTAAAAAAGTAAAAGCTTTACTTTAGTCTTTTTGAATGCAGGAATCTGAGAAGTAAAAGAAATTTAAGCTTGAAAGTGCATTCAAAAAAAGCCAGTATAGTTTATACATCTGTTTTGCCATAAATAAGTTCAGATTTACTGTTGAGTAAATATTTTGAAAGGGTCAGTGCTCTCTTTAAGGAGTATCAAGGAATTTCCATCATTATATTAAAAAGCACACAACAGCAGCATTTGAAGTTTTTCCTTACCTTTAATAAAAGCGTCACTTATAGAGAACATCTGCTGCCCTCCGTTTTCAGGATTCAAGTACTCTGAAAGAAGAGAGAAGAGGGATATAGGTGGAGACAAAAACAAAAAAAAAAAAAAAAAGACAGGTTACACTGGTGTGGCCATATAATTACAATGTACACGCCCACACCAGAAGAAGCAGCATTACTCATCCAAGTGTTTAGTCACCAATTTAGCAACAGCTTGGTGAGTGGTTAAGACAAGAATATCCTCTCATTCTTGTTCTATCAAACAATTCTACGATGACAAGAAAACAGTGCTTATTAATATGAAGAAACAAAACAAACAAAGTAGACATGAGCCAAGACTGAACTAAGAGTGCACTTTTCCAACTGACACGGACCATCCTTTTCTAGACCTGAATACAAATGTGTTAAGATGTGACCAGACACCATGGCAATGGCCTCCTCACTCAGGTCTAAAAATGCAGCTTCAGAAACCATTGTGGTCACCCACTCCATTGAACCATCACAGACTGAGGGAGAGATCAGCCATAAGGTTTATCGTATACAGTGCAAAAACAAGAAGACAGCCTGCCTTTCAAGAGCTGAAAGTCTCAAGTCCAGAACAGTTCAAAGTGTTTTGAGGAATCCATGCTGACAGAGATGGACTCCCAGAAACAAAGCAGAGCAAGAGACAAATCACTTTACACATTGGAAATATAGTTATAGCCTGGTGCTAATAATGCCAAGGTTTTGGATTCAATCCCTGTATGCACCATTCACCTAAAAAGTTGGATTTGATGGGTCCCTTCAACTCAGAACATTCTGTGATATCTGTGAAATAGGATGAAGCTCCACCTGCTACCCTCATTTAGCTTGCAAGATCTTAATCTTTCATGCTGACTGGTTACAAAAGCTTGTTTTCTCCAGAAGCCATTACTTTTTGTGACTTTAGTTGGCTCCTCACTTATACAAAAAGGGATTCTACAATGAGAAAACAAGAGCAGTAGCCCAGCTGCTTATACAGCACAACTACCTGAAGCCCAAAGCCAAGCCTTTATCATCTTTCCTGACAATGCTCCAGACCCATCACAAACAGAATACAAAGCCAGGCTGCTTTCAGACACCAACAGAAAGCTGACAGAACATAAACAATCACAAGGCTCTGAGCAACAGCACTCAGGAGACAGCTTTCATGCCACCATTTTAAATATCTGAGCTTGTTTGCAAATAGATACTCAATAGAGGAAAAGTGTACCCAAGAGAAGTTACAAGCCTCCTTTGTAGATTCCTGGTTATTTGAGATTCCTTTCATCTCTTGCTTAGTTTAAGAGTTCAGCATTACAATAAACTACTGCTTGATAAAAGCTGGCCCACCCTCACCATTCACTCACTCACTGACTATCTAGAGAAAGTCATGTCATGCTCTACCTACACAAGAGCATGTATACTAGCACCCCCATCCCTCTCCATCTTGCAACAGCCTCAGGGCATCAGCTCTTACTGTAAACACACTTAAATTAGGTCTGGCACAGACCCCTGACTGGCACAGCCAAAGCACAAATTAACCCCAGCTGAAACCTAACTTAACCTGAGTTATGCTCTGGACAGACACAGGTAGCACCTCCAAGTCACTTCTAGATTTGCAATGATCTAGGTTCATTCATCTAGGTGATCTTTAAGGTCCCTTACAACCCAAACCACTCTATTATTCTTTTCAATACAACTTCATCTCCCATAACCTCACGTCTGATTGTTTCCCAGGGGAAGTTCCTGACAAGGTAAGATACCATACCCCTTCTTAGCCCAGACAGATAACACACTCGTAAGTGTGAGTCTGAGATGGTTTAGGGTGCGTAACATGCACATTTCTTACCTCACATCATTCCTACATGCATCATGCTCCACAAAATGAGGAAGGGGTATAGGGAAATGTTCCTGTAGCTTATTTTATAACCTGAAAACCCAAGTACCTTCGCAAAAGAAGAACCACACTGGCTCCTGGCAACAGCACAATGAGCCTTGGCAAGCAACACTAAAAAGGAACTGCATATGGTTACTCAAATCATCTTCTCTTTCCCCCTCCTAAATACTTTCAATCATCAAAAATACTCAAAATACCTGGTACCATGATCAAGGATATCTGTCTGGAAAGATGTTTATAAAATAGAATTTCACATATTGTTAACTGTATCTCTTCAAAAATAGCAACTAAACCCCATATATAAAATTGATCATGTCATCTCTTCTCCCAATTTAAATGCAGAAAATAATCTTACTTTGTTTCCCTTCCTGATACATACTATGTCTTTAGGCAGATGATATTATAAATGAGTCACTATTCTCAGCTAACTTGGAGTCACCCAAATTTCATGGAAACACACCAGACGTTAGTCAGCCTGCAACACCACAGGTTCTGCCATTAGAGTATATACAAACCACTCTGTGCTAAATCACAGCTGGTGGATACATCATGGCCCTTGCTTCAAAGCAGCTGACCTCTGTGACTGGGAAATTGCATATCCCTTAATCATTAGAAAAACCCCTGAATAGCTTAGATCAAAGCTGACCTGAACTTCCAGCACTTGATGTTTTCTATTGGCAGTTCTCCCCACAATGCAATTACTGGGATTTACACAGTCCTAAGGAAACTAAATTACAGCTTCAAAAGGAAGGTGGGATCTTCAGTTTCACTTCATTATTTCAAAGGAAGTCAAGTCACTGTCACCCAGTCTAAGGACAAGAAACAACTCCAACATAATCAAGCTAAATAAGTGTGCCCATAACAGTCAGAGGGAAGTTACTGATGCTGACAGCGGCAAACACCTCATGTCACTGATTAACTATAGAACTCTGCCCTTAAAATAACTACCCATTTTACACAAATGCTTATCTATCCAGTTTTGGCTGTCTAATCACTGGGATATTCTGGCATCTTTTGTTGAATATAGCCAGGATAATCAGAAAAACAAGGTGAAAATCTTCATATTAACTTTATATAATAAAGCCTCTGACTTTAATATTTACAGGACGAAGTTTTAGTAGTCATGTATTTCACTACCTTAAGCACTGCAGCATTCGCTGTAGGGTTTTGTCCCTCCTCTCTACCCACAAAGTTTCAGTCTGTCTATTGCCAAGAAGTGTTTCTTGCTATTCAAGGTATTGTCATTCATTTTAATTTGTTGCTCCCTGGTTAGGTCTTTTCTCTAGAGATTCTCATGCCAGGAATTATAAATACAAACAAAATAAAAAAGGTTCACTAACTTCTCTGTATTTGCAGATACAGATTTTTCACAAAGCTGCAGGATACCTATCTATCCACAGTGCACGTCCATGACAATTCCACCCTATCCCAGTTCTGGGCCTATAATTGGTACTATCCCCTCAAGGGAAATCCATTCTCTTGGAAGAAATTGTTGCCAGCTTTCTACTGCCAATTACACTCCTACAGAATAACTTGGTTAAGAGACCACATGTTTTAGGAACATATACCAAACACCAGCAGAGATTCACTAAAGACAGAGTGCTGCCAGCATACACAACTCAAAGGCAGAAGTCTTTCTCTTTTCAGTCCCCTCATCACTTGCCTTTTCCGCTGATCTTCTCTGAGCTCTCCACTATTAAAAACTTTCTCACAAGAACTCACAAGAGTTCTGGCTCTGAGCAGCCTTGATTTGGTCAACAGTTTCCAAGAGCGAGAGGCTCTCTTACATTTCCCCTTCATAATGTACTGCTCCTTGTATAAAGAGATAAAGAGTGAAATATGTCTGAAACCAGACAAACACCCTACAAGTCCTTTAACATTTGGCAGAGCCAAAGTGACTATTTCCTGCTTTACTGTCATCACAAACTGGTAAAGAAACCTGCTACAGCTGCAAATTCATTGGATACTGCAGCACACCTGGGCCTGTTGCAAGCTCACTTAATCCAGCACCCTTCCTTCCTAAAAGGAATTCTTTAGTATATCTCCCTCTCCTCAGCTTTCCTTCCTGTAGATGCATTAGCTTTTCATTTGATTAGCGCATCAGCTGGAAACAAACTGAAAGGAACCAATAATGAGCAGGTGTCAGTAGTGCTGACAACCCATTCCCAATTTTGGATCATCTGACATCAATTCAATCTTTTGATACTGTTCTGCTTCTCTCTTTGGCAGAAAACAAGCAACTAGAATTCCTTCCTTCTAAGCACATTTTTGGCCATTAACAAAAGGTGACTACAGTAGGCATCAATAGATGTCCCCTCTAATTTGTCGCATTCTGCCCCACATGTCTAGCACACTTGGAAAGTCAGCTAGGATCACTTCTCCTCCCTCACTGCCTTCAGAGACCATTTCAGTTTCACAATATGCAATCTATATGCAAGCTTAAGGCTGCTGTTCCATTCTGATTCATAGCAACATGAGATCTGCTAGACTTCATAGAAGAATGAATTAATTAGGAGTGCAAATTATTTAACATTGGATATCTTTTAAAGTCAGAAACACTGAAAGGATGGGGTGAAACAATAATTAAGAAACTACTTAGAAGCCGCCAAAGAAACAAGTCTACAAAGCTGATGTAACCTTATGTAAGGAAGCAGAGCAAAGACATCCACTACTACCCAACATGTAAAGCGACTAAAATATACTAGACCCAAGCCAGTGGCAAGCCCCATTTTCAGACAGGCCTTGAATCATTTAGAGAATGCAGTTGTCAACATGCAGGCACATTATTTCTTCCATAAGGATGTTGCTTATAGAGTCTTTAAATTTAGTACTTCTTTAGAGGAAAATCCTTTCAAAAGCAGCCTTCAACACCAAGTATTTGATTTCTTCCTACTTAAGTGGATGGTCTCTTTTGAAGAAATGTTATGTATATGGATTAAGTTAGGCCTTCTTGTTTATCAGTTAATATTCTTCTGTAAAATGTAAGCTTATAAAGGTAACATTTTAAGTCAGCACAGAACTCTTCCAATCTTGTTCTTTTGTTCTCTGGGGTTTTATTTCTTGCTTGCTGTTTTAAGTTCCATCTCCAACTGTAGAGTCACGTAACTGGTTTATGTGTGGATTATTTTTCCACCCCAGTTAGCCAGAACACATAGGTGGATCTGTCTATTATGCATGGGCAAGAGACTTTGCTTCAACGGCAAAGAGAAAGTCACAGGGGAAGTTACACACTCTGCAGAGAAAGCATTTCAACAGGTCTGTTGAGCCTCCTCAGAGGTGAGCACATCAAAACTGCAAGCAAGTGCCAGTTAAATATCATATTTTCCCCTCTGTAAGACAGCCATGTAAGCAGTGTCCAAATAAGTCAGTAATATTAGGGCCAGCTCTCCATCATGTGCAACTCCAGCTGGTGACTACCTCGTACCTTTTTGGTCGGCAGGGTGAGGGGGCACATGTGGGTACTTGGAGTGCTTCTTGATATGGAAGTTCACGTTGTCCAGCTCCACGTTCAGGCTGATGGAGGCGGCCGAATCACTGTCCATTGTGGACTGGAAGCTGCTGACTGAAGTGCGCTTGCTAGGGCTGGCGGAGTCTTTTAGTGTTGGGTGAGGGGGAAGATACAGGGAGGAGAAGGGTTCACATGGGTATTATAAGGGTGCCAGAGAGGAGAAAAATTGTCTTTAATACATGAAGACCAGTGTGCAATAATACAGGAATACAGTATTTTCATAGCTTTAATCTCGTCTTCATGTGGGCATGCTGACATACTGGACATTCTTTAGTGCACTACTATATGGCCCAAATCAAGCAGAAGTCTGCCTGAGAAACAGAAGACAGCAATTTACATGCTTCTCCTTCATTAGAAGTATGAAGTTTTACCAGTTTCACTAAAATCAAAATACTGCATCCATTGTGAGAAAGTGGAAGACTAGACAGGCTATAGCTCTCTTAGATCCTTATGGCCCCAAGCGCACACACAGAAACACACACAGATAAAGCAAGACATGGTTAAACTACTAGGTCCTGAGGGACTGCAGACAACAGGGGAGAAGGCACAGTGAGAACAAGACTCAGGTGAAACTTACTGGCTGAGTTGTCTTCCCCTTCATCAGCAATCTGCTCTGTGTCACTGTCATCAAACTTGATGTCTTTGAACCAGGAAGGCTCAGAGTGGCCCTCTACAGAGTTCACAGAGTCACTGTCTGGAGATGGGGTTTCTGAGAACTCTGTGCTCTAGAAGACAAGGAAGGGAAAAAAGTTATTAAAGTGCAGCTCTGCTGAAATATTAAGCAGCCTATCACAAATGCAGGTCAGGCATTTTAAATCCAGAGGATACTCTCAGTGGGCTGAGCCAAGTTAGTCATGGAGTTACCTCCTTTGGCATGAAATAGGAACTCTTTGGGACAAGAAACAAGTAATTCTTTACAATTCTCAGTCTCTGCCTACACTCTGCTTCTAAACAAATTGTGACTAAGTGGCACTAAAGGACAAGTTTATTATACTGCACATTTTCTGTCATCACATCCAGTTAATCAGCTTTGAAAGCTTGCTGTCTCCAGCCAAGGTGGGCGACAGCCTTATCCTTCACCCAGAAACCAACAGGTGCAGCTTTTGGTGGAGCCTAATTCTAAGTTACTGGAGAAATTCTTTAACTGACTAATGTAGCCCCATGAGTTTCAATCCAAGATGGACTCTAGCTGGGCCTACTGTGTCAAAGCAAAGACTGGCCAGATTGCCAGAGAACCTGGAGACTACCTAAGTAATTTCCATCAGCCTTTCTCATGTCTCCAGGCACCTCTAAACAAAGTTATCATCATCATCAAGCATTTGGCTGCAGTGAGTGCAGCAAGCAACTGAGTCAACAACACCACTTCTCCAGTCTCTTGTCCAGAAGAATTGAGATCAGACAGTGCTTCCAGCTGATGAGAACAAGAATTTACTTTAAACATATAACACAAGCACTTTACAAATAGGGATGCATAAGGACTTGCTAGTTAAAGGCAAGCTTTTACCAGGACACTGAGACAGCTGACTAGCTGAGATATCAGATGAGCCACAGAGTAATCAAGGGAAGTCATGTGACTGTGTCCATATGACTGAAATGCATGAGGAAGACAAATGCTGTTGGCTGCAAGCCTTCTGTCTGAAGCCCATGGGACAGCTAAGCCATTCATCATTGTAAGAAGCTGAAGAACATGAAAGGCTCTTAACTGAAACAATGTTTTCAGTAAAGAGAGGCCACAGAGCTATCTTGTTCAAGCTAAAAAACCCAATATAATCTCTTAGGCCAGTGACTGCTCTTACTCCTCAGTAGGTTTGATTCCAGTGAAGTACAGTAGGACAGAATCTCTGGTCACTACTTCCTGCCTCCCCTCAGGTAACTAGTCCTGTTCAGGAGGCATGAAAAGACCCCATCCCAAACTTGGATCATGTGGCTAAGGTACTGAATTCCTTATTACTCCATCACTGGAGATCAGAAGGTTACCAATACAATATACCTAAAATATCCATTTAGAATTTTTTTAAGTAATTTTGAAACAGAAGATCACCATTGTGTTTCCATCATCAGTAAGTGCACACAGATTCCAAATTCTGCACATGACAAATTCTGCACATGCCACAGGCACAGACTGCGCCACCTTGAGGCCTCTGTGGAAGATGCCCACCACGAGAGGCCTGGCTCTGCTGATCCTTTGCCTCACTTTAGGCAGCACCACATGTAACATCTCATTCTCCACAGAGGACAGCCCCAAAGCTTTCTGGGCAAATTAAATTTCCTCAGGCTTCAACCCACTAAGGAAAAAGGCGTGGCCCCCTACTTTCTGTACAGGAGACCTGATTTAGAAAACATACTACAGCTGTTGAGAACAGGATTAGAAAATATTATTCTAGTCAACAGCCAAATCCAAGAAGAATGGTATCTTTCAGCTTTCCTACTCCTTTTACCTGCAAAGGTCTGTAGAGAGCATATTCATCTCTGAAGAGCTGATCATGATGACTGACACATTCCAGCCAACGTCCATCAACCAGTGCCTGTCCTATTGCAATGGCCTGGACCCTGGAAGTATAATAGAGATGGTTTTCTATGTTTTGCTCTAAACACGTATGGTTTATGATACAAGCACACTACAAAAGGGAAGAGTCATTTGCTATGCACTGTTTGACCTGTTGGTATTCCATTCCCATTTTTACACAAACACTATTTACAATACTGTGATGAGGCAGCACAGTGCACTAATTCATGCATGGAGGTAAATAAAGAGACTGCCAGTACTCTGAACTCAGCTGAGGTGTCCAACATATGATTAAGACATGTTGCTTGTGCTCCTCCAGTATTGTTGAGTTATGTATACTGATCATCTCTGAGGGAGGACTGTTGCTCTACACTTAAGAACCATCTCAACTTTATTCCATTATCATATAATTAAATACACAAGATTGTTTATATTCACCTACATGGTTAAGAGTCTGCCAGCTCCACTGAAAATTTAGCTATCCAACACTATTAGCGGTCTCTGATCCCAGAGGCAGACTTGCTCTTTGGAGTAGCAGTGAACACTTTAGGACAATTCTTGTAATGCATGCACTGTTCTCCATGTGAGTGATACTTGTCCCAGGCTACCTCCCATACTGGTTCCCAAACCAGAGAGCCTCCTGTGTCCTGTTGTTTGGGGGCACATGGAATCAGAATGGAACCTGCTCTGGGGTAGGCAGTAAAGGGAAGATTGAACTTTTCTCTCTCATCTCCCTGCAAAGGGGCCTATCTCTGCAGTCTAAGGTACACTACATCAGCTCAAACTCACAACCTCCTCTCATACAGACAGAGGACACCTGTTGTCCTAAAGCATCAGGGCTACCTTGTGGTTATGTGCCCATTTCTCATGAGCCAGTTGACCAGCTCTTTTCCCACAATGCAGTTGGGATGTGTCCGCAGCCAGTAGCGATGGTCTTGAAATTCCATACCACTATTATGATGGCAGATTTTCTTCCACAGATCTTTCAGCTGGACTGAGTCCTGGACAGGGAGATGTGCAAATTAATTACCAGTCTAATCTCAGCAATGGTTCCAAGGGCATCAACCCAGGCCTTCAGATCAGCTTCTAGATTAAAAGCCCTCCATAAATAGGCACAGAATCTAAGCCATTCAGCATAACCTAGGCAAAGGTGCAAATAGAAATAGCAAACAGATAAAATCAAGCCATTACTGCAGGTGGAAACTGGGATCTGGAATTATTTTGACCAAGGAGCACACAACCCCAAGGTGTGGAGAAGAGATGCTGCAGGTCACTTTCTCAAATGCCTCATTTGTTCTATTTTTGTGTAACAGAACTTTAATTAAATTTTAACTGGTTTCAGCTCTCCAATTAACTGTCACATTATTGCATTTTCCAAAGAGTGCCCTGAGGCCCAGGAGTTATGCTCCACTTTATTGCTGGACTGGCTTTCTGCTTTCAGTTCCAGCAGTGGCTGTTCTGGGTATTCCCCTAAAACCAATGCCAGCAGCTCCCCTTCCATACCAGGTATGGAGTCAAATGGATCAGTACCAGAACATGACAGGATCACACAATTTGATGCAACTGGAGTCTCCACAGTTCAGCTGTCTTGAACTGGTGAATACAGTAAACTGAAGAAATTGGCAGAACAAAGCAAATCCTTCCAAGTCAAGGATGTTGACCTCTAGTTCACTGAAGTGTGCGCTTATCCCAGTGTACATACAAGCTTCTCTACCTTTATTTCATGAACAAAGTTCATTAGTCTTCTGAATGGACTAGGTTAGGATTTAAATTAACTCCTGACATAGGATCAACTCCACACAAGGATAAGGATATTAAACAGTAGGAATGCATAGAAAATCCTTCATTAATTGACACTGTCTTCTGCTCTTACATGAACAAAATAGTACCAGTCTTCTTCCTCAAGAAAGGAAATGGACAAAAAAAAAAAAAATCAAACAATGCAAAGCCAAAGAGCACCAAGACTTGAACATCTTGCTTCAAGTTGCATCCACAGAGGTTTCAATTTCCTTTTTCCTGCATTAACATACATCTGTGAAGCAGGGTGGTATAAAGACGTGCCTTAAACATGTTTCTCCCTCAGGTGTTTATCCATTTACACAGGAACTAGGAAAAGAGTTTTGCAACTAAACAGGAGTTAGTGTTTCTACACCCTCAGGCACACATGAATGCATACTGCTGGCAGCAGGCAGAACCTAGTAACACAAGAATGAGCCTGATTTTAAAGCGGCAATGAGGCACAATCTCGAATCTTTCAATGTGTGAAAAACACTGCCTTCCCTTCTCTGCAACTTCTTTGCCTTATTTGCTGGAAACACTTCCCTTTCTTTCCCTCAAAGAAACAAAACAGTTTTTTACTGTTTAGAAATTTATACAGTAACTGCAACCTACAACATTGCCTCTGGGGGGAAGGGATAATAGGATTACACAGAACACTGCTGCACATAGACTTTTCTTTTAAAAAGTACATCATTACAACCTTCTACAAAATCTTTTACTTATTCTGCAAAAAAAAAAGAGGGGCCAAGTTATATTTTGGCCCAGTAAGCAATATGAGCTTTAATTTATTCATCATGGTGTAACTATTTCAAAGCACCCACTTAAAGCTCCTGATTACGCAGCCTATGAAAAAGAAAACTTGAAGAAACACAAAAACAGGTCACTGTATTACAGCTGCAACCACGACAGGTTTAACTCAAAGATCCACCATACACCAACTCCACATTCAGCAAGACTAAAGTTGTAAACATTTGTATGCAAAAACCCCATGAACCTATGATTTATTTCAGGAAGACAGTAATGTCCAAAGCAGCATCAATATTCTCCATCTCTGCTCCCCCTGGAGGAGAGGTCCAGGTACGAGTGCCTAGAGAAGAGCCTTAAAAGTCAGCAAAATACTCCTGCTGCATGACACAAGGAAGGCAAAGAGAAGCATGAAAGGTACCAGAAGGATTTTGCGCTCATCCTCGCTGGTCTCTGCTTTCATATGAGTGCGAGTGGCCTGGGGGCTGACCGACGTCTCGTAGGCAGGCACCATGGGTGAGCCTGAGCGATCCAGAGACAGGTTAGTGATGCTGGCTGACCTGCAGGGGAACAGAGAACAATTCCAGTGTAAGCATTCACCGTGTGGGGCTTCACCACAGCTGGCCTTTATCTTATAGCATACTAAAAACCAGCTCAAGCCTAGGACGCTGTTTACTCTTGTCAGTACAGACTGCTTAATGCTTCCTCCCTTGGCAAAGCAGAAGAAAGGCTCCCCAGGAAGCAAGTGTATTGCTTTGGAACTGCTAAGGTAACTGCTAAACTTCTGTAAAGATCTAGTATAAAGCAGCTGGAACTAAGTTTAGGCACACCAATTCATACATGTCTGTATTTAAATTGACTGGGGAAGGGATGGCATGCTGGGTAATTAGAAGCTCCAGCAGTTTGGAGAAAAGACAAACGTCAGCAAGGGTGGCCAACGCCCAGATCCCTGTAACAGAGCACTCAGATTTCCTCCTCCCCTTGTCCCATTTAAAATTCCTTGTCCTCAGCTCTCAAACACATGGCTGAAAGCTTGCAGAGTCTGAAGTCTGAGCACTTGGTCCCCAGAGAGGCTAAACCATTTTCTGAAGCTGGAGGTCACTGCAGCGGGCAATCCCCCCTGTACCGTGACATGGAGCACCCCCCTTATCTTGGTGCAGCTGTTAAGAAATCTGAGCTGTGCACTCCAGCACAAACACACATTTTGCAATTATCATTGCAAAGTTACAAATGCAAACAAGTTCCAGATACCTTCTGCTCCATTAACCCACAACTAGACCTGAGACTCTGAATAACCAGAGTACAACTTCTCATCATATAGAGGCAATGGCAGTGTAACCTATTGGTGCTAACAGCACTCTGAGGAGTGAGGATGGAAAACATTTCTGCTTATATCAACAGGGAAACTCAAAATGCCAGTGCTGAACTGACTGAAGAGGCTTGCACCAACCTCCTGAAAACAGTTGCCAGCCTCTAGCCTTTGGAATGAAACTTTGATAACTTTGGAGAGCTTGCTAACTGGCTAACAGACATGCTATAATTATTCCCAAAAACTCTCCACGGATGATGTGGCTTAGCCCAGGCGTGAAAAAAGTAATGTCACTCTATTTCAGTTTTTATACTGCAGAGTTATGCACTTTAACAGAAAGCATCCTAATACACAAGATGAGGCTGACATGGAAGTCCATAACTAAGCACTCCTCCCAGTTGTTTTGCAACAGCTGCTTTAACTGTGCCACATACCTGTAAGCAGCAGGGATTTTTTATTTGGGTGTAAGCAAGTTAGAACAGTGAGATTTCACATCTGTGCCTTTATCATAAACAATTACATCTGGGCCTTTATTATATATATATATATATTTAAAAACAGAGAAGGGGATTTTGCCATGGAAATGCTTATCCTTCAGAAGGACCTGCAAGGGAGCAGTTTGAACCCTGCTTGCAACATTTGACTGTTCTGCTGGGGTTTTCCCCCCCTCATAAAAACCAAGACTGAGAACAAGTAACACATTTCCCATCCACAGGGAAAACAAATAGCAATATGTAACTTCTGTTACCTGCCTCTAAGAGCACTCAACCTGCATATTTTCTCCTTCATCTCCTCTAGAAAGAGGAATAGTCAAGCTTCTCGCAAAGAAATGGCTACAGCTGCTTTGGGAAGATCTAAAGGCTAACATCACTCAACCCAAAGCCAGCAGCTTGTCTTCCAAAGGTTCAGAATTTTTAACAGAGAGATATTATACCTCATCATTACGTGTGTCCAAACAAACAAGTACTTTTGGTGACGTCATGAACAGCCAGAGTTAAAAGTTTAACTTGAATAAGCAATCTGGGCCTGCCAGATCAAGATTAGAACCATCCAACTACGACATGTTCGAGCAAACAGCAAAAGCCTTTTAAAATAAAGGTACATTCAAACAGCAAGAAGGAGACCATCCTCAAGGTTTCAGACATTTCTTGATGTCACAGCAGTTATTTAGCTCTGGACTTTTAACTCTGGACTCCTTGCCATGTTTGCCCAATATTGATTTTTGGTGCTCGTTTACTCACCAGTATTTTACTCCCCTAGGTGAGACCTTTGGGTCTCAGATGTACAGTCAGTGTGCATCTCTTCCTAACCATTCCCATCGCCTAGAAGGATAAAGGCTGCAAGCAGTCCATTCTCCAAAAGGTACACCTAACATCTTTGCCAGCACATCCAGCATCCTTCTCAAATGAGTTCCCCTGTCTTCACTGGTCCTGCCAAATCCCTCCAAACTGCTAAACATTGTGTATTCCTCTAACACCAATGCAAAGAAATCACTGAATGTCCCAATTCCAGTTTTGAAATCTGGATTATCTTTGCTCTGTTCCTCACCTCTCTGCCGTACCTTCATTTCTTTAATTTAACCATAAGGGAAGCATGCAACTAGCACCATAGCAGAAGCACTGTGAAGTGGGAGCTACTTTTACTTCTAATACCAGCCTATTTAGTGGGATTAAGCTCAAATATTCACAAATTACACTAAAGCTCTCATGAACCCTTTCAAGTTCATCCTAACACTCTTGCATAAAGATCTATGAAGGGATTTTAGCCTGAAGAAGTTTGGTAATTTAAACAAGATTATCCTTAATGGAAGAGCAAAGGAAGTAGATGGGGATGCATACAAACAAACAAAAACCACGCCTCTGCTCCTCGTTGACCTAAGTCTTTTTGTCTCCCATCACCAATTATGTGTTACTCCCTTTTCTTCAGCTTCCTCAGAACTGTACTTTTCTTAGCCACTTCCTTCCCCTCCTGTCCTCTTCACCATCATTTCTGCTTGACCAAGTCAGCAGCAAACTACAGGCCCTCAGAAGCACATTTGTTAACATGAATACATACACAAATGGTTCTTCCTTATAACTCCATACGGGCAGTGAGAAGTCCCATTTTGGACATGAAGCAGCACTTTCAGTAAAAACGAGCCTAGAAACCCAGGCTTTACAGCAACGAGTAAGCTAGGAGCGCATCTAGAACAGAAAATACTCAGAAATTATTAGTTTACCTGTTTCTAGCTGGTGACTTCCCGGCATCCTCCTGGACAGACCCAAGGCGTGCAGACAACGTGGTAGCTGAAGAGTCTGGGTGAATCAAACTGCAGGGAAAGGAGCACAACAGAAATGATTGAGATATTTGTGACATCCAGCACATCAGAACAACTGTAATTAACGTACAGTTAATTGTCATGTTACCTCTCACACCCATGATTGTTAAATCAACAAGGGAACAGGGAGAGCTTTCCTCATCTGTAGGCCAAAGGTATCTGGAAGACAGTGCTTCTTCCAAACTCAACTCTTGAACAATACAGACTATTCCTACTTCCTGTATCATCCTGCTTTCCCACCTGCTTCCCCAATATCCCTTTCTTACACATCTTCCTTTCCTACAGGCTGTTAGTAGATGCTTTGGCACTAGACCTCTCCAGCACACCATCTTTGCAATCCAAGCAACACTATCCACAGATACTGCTAGACAGCTTTGGCCAAGACAGACTGACAATCTTCTGTAATTGTTTAACCTGATCCCAATCACCTCAGCCCTCCTTCTGTTTCCACCCCAGGAGACAAGACAGCAGATGTTCGAGCACCATCTAAAGAAATTGCTGTTGGCAAATCTGTATCAGACATAAGCCACTACAGGCCAACTGACACAGCCACCCTGCTGTGCTCTACACAATAAATGCTCCTAGCCTGATAAATGTTCTTCATGAGAAACTGTAAGCAATGCAGCTTTGTCTGAGTAGCTGTACTTATCCAGAGTACACCACTCCTTCACTTTTAAAGGACATGGCCCTTCAAATTAGTTAAAGCAGGAACTCTGTGTTCCAACTGTTCAAACAGCAGAGAGACATCTGACAAGTACATGCAGCATCAGTCTCCCTAAATGCTTCTCTCGCTGCTTTGCAGCATCTTATCTCAGATACATTATTTTGGAAAGAGACAACTCCCAAGTTTTCTTTTGAAAAAAACTACTTCTCATGCAGAAGCCACTATTAGAACACAACTTCTGCTCCATCATGAAGTTGTGAGTTGCCAGTTCCCATTGTGACACCATTTAAATTCAGTATCTTGAGTTTAAATATCTTAAGGTCAATCAGGAACTTACCAAACAGTATGTAAGAAAAGCACTGTAACCCACTGCAAAGTGCAACAAGCACTGATGAAAATGTTAATCCTGCTAAAGCAACAATAAACCAACTAATCCCCAATCTCTCTTCCTCTCACAGATAAAAGAGGTCCACATTTACTCAGTGCCTCCCAAAAAGACTGTGTTCCATTATAGAGTTATAGGTCTTTCAACAACAGGAATCATTTTGAGTGCTGCAAATAAAGATATAGATTCTTTCTTTACATGCTAACGTCTACAGGCTGCTGAACTGTCGTTACAAAGGCACTAACAACACATCTGAAGACAAAACTAACAATACCTTCAGGATTTTGTGCATTTGAAGAGAAGATTCTGAGAACATTTACTTATTCCCCAGTTCAAAATTTGGCAGTATTTATCCTATGCATTGGCACATTACCACTTCAAATGACCATAACATTAAACCAGGAGTACTTTCCTTTATTTGGGCCTAAACCTGATCATTTAAATGTTTCCAGATAGAAGCATCATATTCTGAACAGCAACATGCAAGGCAAGAGTCAGGGCATTTTCTGAAGACAGTAAATGGTTTGACAGGTTTTTTTTAAATTTTATCAGAAAGCTGCTATGGGGCTTATGTCACTAGCACTACCACTCAGATAGACAAAGGTTCTGACTCAAGATTTCCTCAGTAGTTTCGCGTCTGCCTGCTCTTCTGTTTTAGGGAAACGAGCACAAATACCACACCTGATTATTTCTTCTTCCCCACAACACTAAATTAAATCAAGGTATTCCAAAAACATCATGCATAGCACTTGAGAAGTACAGTGCTCTTTTACTCATGGTCCAAAAGTAAAGATCCCCTCATTTGAGACCAATAGGAATTAATATACCTTGAAAGGAGATTGGAGGACCTTTATAGGTCCTCTCTATTGTCCTTTCAATCCCACTTCATCTGAAACAGGTGGTTACTTCCATCACTTCTCTTTTACCTACACAGAGAGCACTTCTTATGCTCTCTCGCCCAATTCAAAACCTGACAGGTAAAGCACCAGTGTTACATTGACTTGCCTCTCAATACAGTGGTGGTTAGATGGTGTGATTTTGATTCTGCCTTTTTAAACTCTGAATACAAAAGCCTGCTCTGTCGCTGGTACAGAATCACTGAATCAGTACATTAAAGGAAAAACTGCAAATAAATTAAAACTTCACTAAAAATGGTTCCACATTTCAACTTAAAGAGAAGAATATTACAGGCAAGCATAGAATTAGATTATTTTTACAGGAGCTGGAATGTAAAGTTTACTAGGTGGAAACCACCAGCTTTTGTCTAGGCAGCTGTCAGCCTGAGAACAGTTGAGATTCCAGAGCTCAGCATGAAGCACTGCCTTTACCTTTGCCAGGTCAGATCCTCCTCCAGGAAGATGTTGCGGCTGGCTTTGCGGCTCCCAACCGGTGTGCGTGGCTCGCCAGGATCCAGCACGGACACAGAACACGCAGAATCCGACAGGGCATTTAAGTCTTCTCCAATGGAGTTACTGTCTGTGGAGTGTGCATAGCTTAAGGCTATTTTCCGGCAGTAAGTGCAGGCTCGGAGATCCCCTATGGAAAAGGGAACCAGAGAGGGTAAGCGAACAGGAACAAATAGTACTCTGTTCCTACAGGATCAGAGGTGTATAGTGGCGGAAACAGAAGGATTTTCTGTTTCAAAACCTCTTTGCAAGTCTAATTCTCATACTCTCTTAAAGGGCAAAACCCTGGATAATTACACACTGAGGGAATTTTTCCAAGGCAAATGGTATCTAACACAACATCAGTGAAAGAGGAGAGAGGAGACAAGGAGAGAAAGAGGGAGGGAGGGAGGGGAGGGAGGGAGAACACCCATGCATACTGAAATGATGGCAGAACAATAGCCAGTTAGATATGACACACCAGCTGATGTCTAGACTTTGGTAACTGGTATTTGAAAGACTTTCCCCTGACCCTCAATTAAAGCATGTGGCTCATACTTTAAAACTACTGTTACTCAGAGAAGCTTTTCCTCGAGCATACTTTATTGAACTGCGCACTCTTGTTCAATAGTAGCCATATGTTTTGTAGAGTGGTAAAAATTAGCAGGCATGGCATAATCCACCGTCTTTCACAGAGAAACTGGTAGAATCAGGTCCTGTGATTCTTTTTTCTTGTTTTTAAGCCCACTACAGACCTGCACAACATTTTCTAGAAGATGCCATGATCTCAGATGCAGTAACCCAAACAGAGATGAGCACACAGAGACTGCTGTTTCCCAGTAAATAAACCTTACCTGTGTAACCCATGAATTTTCCAGGGATTTCCTGATTGCAGCATCGACTACAAAAGATCTGCCCACAGAGTCGACAGTGGTGCCTCCTTCGGAAAGTGGTGAATTTCTCACTACAGTCGTAACATTCTTTGCACTGGCTGTCAGGCATCCAGTACTGCTTCAAGTCACTGTCCTACAAGAGAGGACAGCAGATAAAAGCTTTTTCTTTTGTAAACAGGAAAGCATGTTTAGTTTCATAACTCTTTCTAGACTATGCGTATGGAAAAGAAAATTTCATATATTCATATATACGTGCACGTGTACACATGTTCTGGCATAAAGGCACATAAAGGATTTTTCATGTGGTTTTACAGGGAGTCAGCAGGCTGAGAGTTCTGAAGAGAATAAATCCAGTAGGACTTTGCCTCCTTGATCCAAGATGGAAGCAAAGCAGAGTAAAACTATCATAGGATGTAGATAGAAGTCAAAAATAAACAAATACATGAAGTAGTGATTGCTCTCCCCTCTCATTTGCCCACAGCACATGAGAGGTCCTCAACTAGCACAGTTTAAAAATGAGAAGGAAAAAAAACCACCACATATCAGTTGAAGCTGTTATCTAGGAGTAAATCAAGTTACCAGAAATTATCACTGCAGAAAGATCATTTCAACAGCTAATATTAGGACATGTTTTTAAAGGATTATAGATACATGTAAAAAATCTTATTATTTTACCAAATTCTTCAACACTTCAGTAAATAGCTGTAAAAGCCCATCCCAGATTGATTTTGATTCAAAACTCCAGGTTAACTACTCTGTGAAGAAAACTGAAATTCACATTCAGCAGATAACAACGTACATTAATTAACAGCATTGGTATAGCCACAGGAAAAACATAATCTTCAAAACAGACAGTTAAAACTTCCATTGGTGTTGAAGCTATAGAGCAAGACAAGCTCTCAGTTGTGATTCTGAGCACACCAGCTGCAACTCCCATGGATGGAGGCAACTGCTAATGGTCACATGACAGCCCTGCCTGTGCAACACTCTTTGCTAGAGTTCAGTTCTGGAAAAAAGCCTTTTCAGAGGGACTGAATACTCCAGGATTTTCTTAGGAAGGGAAACTGCTGCAAGCATTATCTCAAAACAATCAGAGAAGAGAGTAATCATGCAAAAGAAAGGTGATCCCTGCTCTCGTTTTCACATGATCAAAAAAAAAACCATTGGGATTTATTTTTGGATATTCACAAACTAAAGTTTGACACAGCTGCTAGACCAATTTTGAGAACAAAGCAGTTATGATCAACAACACAACACTTTCATGCTGTCCTCAGCCAAGAAAACCCACAGAAAGAGGTTGAAGACTGCTCAAGACAGTCTAGTGTTTTAGAGAAACTAGAACTTTTTAAGACAAACACTCAGCTTTAAGCAAGGAAAGTTGGAGTGAAGAGCTTTGCCAAGGAACTGCTGCAAAGCTGCAGGGGATGCCACATAACAGTTTTTGTTACAACTCTGCGTGATAAGCCAGGTCTCTGCATCTACCACATAGAGAGGGGCTGTTCCAAACACCAGTGCTGTGCCCCACTTGCATGTGACCCACTCACTGCTGGTCACACCTCCCAACTCTCTGCCCACCTTGCAGGCTGTTCTTGTCATGAGGGAGGGTTCAAAACAGAAGTTTGGCCTGCCTTAGCAGTAGAGGCTCATTAGAAAAGCACCTTCTAGAATCTGACACAAGCTTTCTACAAAAGTAAAGAGGTCTCCTGTAGAGACAGGCCAAGCCCACAGCAGGAACAAAGTGCTGCCTGAAGTGACTCAAGCAAAACATGGCTGCAAAGGCAGTGATGCATTACCTTTTTACAGAAGTTAGCATGCTGACAACTAACAGACTGTTTCCAGAAGACCTGGTCATATTCATTTACTGCTGTATCCTGTCTGTTTCAGCACTCCTCCAGGAGCTTCAAATACATCCGAAAATCTCTAGGGCCTTCAGAAGTTGCCACAAACTGAAATATGAGTAAGGGGCATACTCAATGCCCTGCTTACTGCAATGAAAGGCTTCTGCTTCACTCTCAAAAATCTTACCCTTTCTATCAAAGCAAGATTATTCTTACAAGCAGAACAGCACTGGAAGCTAAGTTTACTCAAAGTCTACCTATAAAAGCTATCAAGCCAAAAGCAGTTTCCTTCCTCTACCAGTTTTTAATTAAATGTACTTTTGCCTGTTCATGTCTTGCCCACAGACACAGCTATTTATATCATCACTTATAAATAGGTGTGGATTCTTCCCTCAACTAGAGCCTTTTCTTAAAGGTATGGTCCAGCTGAGCAGATGGAAATGAAGTCAGCAAATCAGTAGCAACCACCAGACTCTTGTCTATAACCAAAACTGATTAATGGTGCACACCTTTCAAGCAAATATTGCTGACCAATCAGTACCACAGTAAGTAGCAGATTTAAATCACTCCAAGAATTCTCATTCCTATTTGTGACAGTTAATGTGTTTCACCTGTGCTTGGTTAGCCTTCTAGGGAGAAAATTATTAGGGTTTTTTTTTACTAGATGGGGTAACAAATAAGTGGGAAGGAGTCTAAAAAGAGAGCATCTGGTCCAAGCACAAGAAACTAAGTAAACACAATGATTCATTCCCCAATACGACAGATGTTTGGCAAGTCAAAAGACAGCATCAAATGAAATTGTTTCCCCTGCATTCACACAATGCTTTTTGAGTTTATTCACTCATCCTTCAAACATCCAGGAAAAAAATCCCCATGATGTATCTAAAAACAAAGCTCAGAAAAGCCCAGTAAAGAGTTAATTTTCTAGATGGTTTGGCCCACAAATCCTTCTAAAGAAGTACCTGGCTCTTCCCCTCCATGATTTCTTTGAGGCGTTTTAAAACAGTGCTGAGGCTCCTTAACTGAACTGCAGTTCGAGGGTCATGACCTCCGAGAGGTGGTTCTACTTTCCTTCGATTGTCTAGAAGGGAATAGACAGCAATATTCATTTCTTCCATGATACATCAACATTCACATCACAACACAAAGCCCCATCAGAGGGAAAAGCATTCACATATATATACATTTCACAAAGTTACAATGTGTATGGCTCCTTGCCCTTGATGCCAGATAGTTTGCTGCGACTGACATTTTAAATACCACCCTCTGTGTTTACAAGAAGCCATTTAAGTTCTCTGAGAAAGAAAACATCTTTCAAAGAAGTGATTTTCAACCTACTAGATGAAGCTTGTAGTAGTCTGTTACAAAGCACTGAGGTCTCATTTTTAAAATGCCCTCTAGGACACTAATTACTTGCAAAATACTTGCTGCAATATAGACATTCATTCTAGGAGTAGTATAAGTCAATGCTTTGACCTGAACTTATTAATAAATTAATACAGCAAAAAATCAGGACTCGATTGCTCAGTTCCTATTAAAAACAGTAATTCAGAAGTTCACATTTTTGAGCAGTTTGGGGGGTTTTTTTGTTTGGTTTGTTTTTTTTCTAACAAAAACATGTTGCTGAGAACTTGTACAGTTATTCTTGATTAACTATAGCAAAGAGACTCCCTGAATAAAAATGCAATGCAGCTAATTTCTTTTACTTTGAAGCACTGCTGAACAAACTACAAATAGGCTCCTTCTCTCCAGGAAGATTTGAAATCACAGCTCTCTATTTACCTAAACACTTAAACATTTCCAGAGTCTCTTTCCCAGATTAATAACTTTCTGAATAGTTTAAAGTTGCTTACCAGCTTCGTTGCTCTCCATCTGACTAGTGTTTTATTTAGCTTGCCCCCAGTACAGGAAGAGCAGACATGGCTGCTCTCTGTTTACTGCCTGAGCTCTCCCTGATGTCAGCAGGAACGCTGACAGCTCTGCCTGCAGCCCGTTAACTGTTGCTGGGCAGTAACTGCTACACTACTGCTTCGTGTGCAGCAGACCAAAACCCTCCCTTAATGTGACTAAAACTGTGGGATTCCATGCCTCCTCTTCAGCTTCTTGGGAGGCATTTTTAGTCAATCAGCCCACACTTTGCTGCTAAGTACAAAGAATGCACAACATTTTCCTTTTTAAGAAAAGAAACCCATTTCTGTAACTCGCCACTTGGAATTGATTTCTTTTTAAAAATCAAACAGACTTTTGGGCAGTACAAGGTTCAGTATTTTAGGGTGATTAAGGGGACCTTCATATTTCAGGAAGACATTGATAATAACAGAGAAACCTCTGGCTCCTCCTTACTTCTATCACAAGATCTGTGCTGCGTTTACTTCCTTGTACTTCCTCTGAATTCAAGAGTATCTCCTTTCCAGGAATGTTGCTTCCAATTCAAAGAATTATCAGATCTACTGCCTAACTACCAATAAATCTTGTCACGCAAGTGACTTCCAAAAACAAACAGCACTGAGGAAATGCCACAGGTACTTGTGGAACCAGGAACTCCACACAATGTCAGAATTATGTCACCCACATAACAAAAAGCATTCCATCAGCAGTAGCAGCACATGGCCAACCTGTTTATACTAGAGAAGCTGACTGATACTCAGATTAAAATTCAGCTGGTTCTTTTCCTTCTCAATCTCAAAGGGAGATTTCTCCCTTTCTGAGGAAAAACACTGTATAGCAAGAAAGTAAGAAGTGATCATTCCTGCAGTAAAGGAAACACTGTTTAAAACACCATCCTTCAAAAAGAATTCCCAAGTATCACAACTTAGGTTAACTCTTACCCCTGATCCAAACTGCATTATTATAAGTTAAAATTTAACTTCCAGAGCTAAAAAAAAAAAAGAAAAAAAAGAAAAAAAAAAAAAGGTAATTTATTTCAACAGTAAATATCATGCTTCCTATATGCATTTATGGTTGCTGATCCTTGGTAAAACCTATGAAAAAACTCCAAAATATGGAAATATGTTTTCACAGTGTTTCATGACTCTACAGTATTTTAGCATTCATTTCACAGTGAATGACAAGGAAAAAACACCACAAGAACTACTTTGTTGCAACCTATAGTTTTGGTTTGTAGGAGAACTGACCACACACTAATACAAGAGGTATGGATTCACACAGTTTCAACAATACAAAAATACCCCTGCCAGAGATACTAGTTTCGCTAGTACAAAACAACACAAATTGCTTTTTAATTACTTGTTGCCACAGCATAAGATTTCATATACAATTTCACCACCACAGTTCAAACATCACATCTTCCTCAAATCACTGCCATAAAAGTACTGTCATGAAAATTAGGAAAACTGCCCTTAACTTCATTTTATAGCATTCATTTTCATGTTCCAAAATCTTTTTGATTAGAAAAGATGCTGTGGTAGTACTTCAGGCTCCACAATGGTTTCCGGTAACTATCACATGCTTTTCTCAGGCCTTCTTCCCCTATATGATCATTGGCCATTCCTTTGCTTCTGCTGAACTCTTTTGCCACTCCCTATTACTGCCAGTCTGCTACAATTGTCTAGCACTAACAGCATTATCCTGCATGACAGGGGAACAAGCTAGAAGTGCTTTTACTACCCATGCTCCTTCTGCAGCAGTCAGCGTTTCCAGTTCTCCTTAAACAGGATTTGCAAGCTGTGACATTATCTCAGTGACAACAGTCTCATTGTTGGACTATTTTGGTTCAATCCAGCACCTTGAAACCCTTCATCTGACAGCATGCAGTCCAACACAACCAGCACACAATGATGCAACAGACTACCCAGGAGAGAGACCACAGGAGCCACTGTGGAGTCTCAGCACTGGTTCTTCAACCACACAACCTTCAGAGTATCTTTGACATGAGCCAGGCATCCAATAGCTCCTATTTTCACAGAAGCCAGTAAGGAGCTATTATAACGTTTTTGTGTCAGCAGTCCTGAAGGGAAGCACAGAACTGAAACCCTACATAACTGCTGCCAGACAGTGTCCTCCAAGAGCCACCATCCCTCCATGCTGTTCTGCACTTGCAGCTGTCAGACAGCACGGGCCCCAAGCAATGACATGCGCTGCACAGACACTACAAGCTAATGGACAGATGAGGGGCAGGGGTCAGCATCTTCAGGAGCAATTTCATTTCATCACTATTTAGAGGCACCAGAAGCAACCTTTTATTTATGTATTCCTTTCAGTTTGCTTAACAGGATACATTATTTAAGATCAAGTAGGCTAGAGAGACCTTTGTGAAGTGCTTATATATTTTCCTGCCTACACTTGCCCATGCTATTAAGTACCTAGGTAATGGCAAAGCCTAGAGAGACATTCACAGGCCTGTGGATACAGGGCTACAAGAATACTTAATCAGACACCTCTCTGTCACTGAAGTGGGTGGCCCAATTTACCTGCTTTTCACCATTGAGATAGGATAATAATTTCTAAGATTATTTGTGCAGGCCAGCATCAGCTGCAATAGCAAAAATAAAATTCTCTGCTACTCGATGAAAATCCTCAAAGACCTAATTATTCAGCACCACTTAAGGTTGAAAAAGGAAAGAAAAATAATTTTCTAAAGTTTGCTTAAAAAACCTAATACCTGACTTTTAGAGAAGGAAAATGCAAGTATTTTTCCCCCTCTTCAAATAAAGTGAGATGGCCTAAAACACTCCCCCAAACCTTCTCACTAATCCAGTACACTTTTACATGTGTTACACAGAGCTCATGTTTGTTACAGCACCAAGGTTGTTTGGGAGAAAATACTCAACAGCAAGTCAGGCTGCTCAGCACATGGTACCACATAAATCTCTTCAAAAAGTGAGCAGCAATTCCTGCTTGTCCCAACTTTACTTCTTTACAGGCTAATTCATTATGACATTTTTCCAAGCATACTTGCATCCAAACCCAGAGATATGAATGGAAGTCCTGAAAAAGAGCTGGAATAATACAGAAACAGTTCCTCCCACACACCTTAAACTAAATCTTATTCCTGGGCTGCCTAATCCCAGAGGAAGTCAAACAGCCAGATTACTTCTGCCTTCTGAGTATCAAATAACATACTTCACCTGAAGGCTTCTAACATCTAATCCCCAGGCAATTTCCAAGTGATTTACAATAGGTACCAAGTAAAAGTAAATTGGCTCATCAGCCAAGAGCATGTGGCTGTTCTTGAGACACTTGAGAAAATTCTTTAAGAAAGAGCCCAAGAAAACAAAACAAAAACCCCAAATTAATTAATTAATTAACCCCTTTAATTGGTTCACTGGAAGCAGTATAACTAAAAAGATCAAATACTACTACAGAGCAAAGAGGACGATGATGAACATGTTTAACTAAGCATGCAAATGACTTAGGTAAAAATGCTAGTTCTCTGTACTAGACTTTTGCCTGGCTACCAAAACTACACATCTTTCTGAAAATCCCATACACATTAACAACATTTAGGGTCTGATTTGTTTGCACTAGGTACCACATTCTTGGAAATACTGCCTTGCACAAGATTGTTACCCAATTTAGCAGTTTCCTCAAGGCTATCATCAACAGCCAAGAGTAACCAGTCAGATCTCAAGAGGGACCTCTGTAATCTACTTCCTAGCTCTTTCACATCTTCATAAAGCCATTACACAGTTGGACCTTTGAAATTACAATCAATCCACATACCAGCTAAAAGATTCAGTACAGAATCTGGCAATAGTTTAAGCAGGATTGAAAAAAAAATCTTAAGCACAACTTCCTATTCAATTCTCCTCAAAACAACTACAAGCAAAAACCTCCATTTACAACTCCCTTGAAGACCCAAACACCAAATCCATCCAGACTAAGCACTGAAGTTAGAGTTCGCATGTGGATATTAAGAAACTGCAGTCTCTCAAGATAAAGCAGAACTGTTCAGGATCAAAGTTCAGGTGACTTTAAAACACTGGATGTGTTTCGGTAGCCTCTTCTGTTCCAGACTGTTTTTGAATTAAAAGAGCAGAACCCCAACAAGAAGTTGTCTTGCTAGAACACCAAGAAGGGTGGAGGGTTATGAGGTTCAAGTCCAACCTCACTAACAGAAGCAGTGTAGCCTGATACTAAATTCTGCTATGAATCTAGACACTCAGTGAGCCTTTGTTCACATCCTTCCACCTCACCCTGAAGCATCCTGGCTAGTGCAACATTGCCTTATAGAATAAAGAGCTGGAATTACCCAGAGTTGCAGAAGATCTTCTTTGCAGCTCACCACTCAGTTGTTTTTTGTAAGGAATTGGTGATCTCAGAGACTGAGCCCTCGTGGGATGCTGAGGACTGGACCAGCCACCACTCAATGCTTGTGCATCACTCTGTCCTGCCTCTGCTCTCTCTGCTGGGGATGAAAGCCTGCCATCATCTAGAGTTGACAGAAAGCAAGAAACCACCTGTTCAGACGTGACAAAGAAAAGCAGTAGTACATGCAAAGCTAAGGTTAAAAAACTCTCACAAATAACTCTTTTGGATCATGATTAAACAAAACAAATGAATTTTTAGTTTTAGAAGTACTATACACATTACATAAACAGGACAGTAGGCTGTCTTCAAGCCTCAGGCTATTTCAGAAATTCCCTAATGTGAAAAGTGTCAAAAAAATTCGTGGCACGTTATTTGTGAATATGAATGATTATTGCTAAATAGAATAGCTACACTTGACTATCAGCTTCTGCCTTGAAAAGAGATTTTCAGTTATTTTACAAGCCAGTACTGAGGTCACAGTAAAGTTACCACAGCCTTTAATTTCCATCAGCAGATCAAGTACAGACAGGTTCTCATTGATTCCAGTAAGATGCACATTTCATGTGTTGTTTCAAGGTTGTTTTCCCATTCACATAACAAAGATATTGCTGACTCCAGCTACATTTGTCAGAAAAAAACAAGTGAATCCAATATTGACCACATTTTATGCTACTTCCAATAAATTAGCAATGACAGGTGCTACTCTAGTATGCAAACTAACAGCAGTCATACCAAGTAATTATTTTTCATTCTGCATAAGAAGAGTCTGAACAGATCAGTTACACAAAAAGCTGTTTGGCTCTTTTCCCCCAGCTCAAACACTGCTGAAGTATGCTTAACAAAGCTGGATAATGAACAGACTAAACAAAAGCAGCTGACCAGTGTGCCATCTCCAGTAAAGGGATATGCAGACTTTGCACAAAATCCAGGTGCATTCATTCACCATTCTTTGCAGGATCTTTCTTTAAAACAAAAAGGAACTCACACAGTTCTTTCAGAGTTTGCCCACTGAGAACACATTTAATGACACATGCAGCACAAAGGCCAAAATCATGTAATGCTTTTTAATATACAAAACTTTCACAACACTTCAGACTTCTTGATAGGGAACACCTAAGTCATGCAAATTAAGTGTGGACTTCCTGCTTTATTGCAGGTCAGCTGTCACCCAGCTGCAGGTACGAGATGCACAGGAAGGTGAGAGGTGGATGAAGTCTGAAGTAAGAACTTGCACTGGAAGGACAAGCACACATTTTGCTCATACAGGCTGGCAGAGGGTTACTCCTACTTTCAGCCCAAAAAAAAAAAATCATACAGGCAAAGGAAATTCTGATGTCAAGCTAAGAATCTATACAATACTACCTGCTAACTGGATTGTCTTTGACTTTCATGGGCAGCTACAAATAGCCAGCTGCAAGACTCTGGCTATCTTCTCTCATAATAAAGCTCTCCTCCATCACCCAAAAGCCAGATGTGACACCCCTCACAAAAGAGCTGACATCAGCCCTTTGACATTATGCTTCTATGTTCAGAGGTGTTTTTACAAGCAGCAAACAGCACACACAAGCCATGCCCACACATCCCCCCAGCACTCACCTTTGCTGAAACGGAAGAGATTTACAAAAGAACTGTAAGCTGATTTAAAAGGAGGCTCATCCTGGTCAGGAGTCAGAGGTTTGAAGTGAGTGAGATGAGATGGACTGCTGGGAGAACGAGGTAGATCACTGGTAGAGTCCAGTGTGGGAGAGCGTTTGTCATCTGCAGCCATTTCAGGTGCCCTGGAAAGAGGTCAGCAACACACATTACACAAGGGGTGGTGAAACAGAACCTCTTCAGTCTTCTGAGCAGGAGATGTCTCATTAGATCCCAGAGGACAGACATTCACCCAACTGACCACAGGCACCTGCTATTAGCTCAGATCAAGAATGCCAGAGGGGCCCATGCCCCCTGCCCAGCCACTGACAAAGGAGCAGCACCTCTGCAGAGTGTAATTCAGAGTGCCCAGTTAAACATCCAGAACAATAAAATACACAACCACTACACCGATGACACACCACAGGAGAGGTTTATGAGAACTTGAGTTTTCAAACGGAGACTCTGCAGGCATATCACAAAGAAGTTTTAACTTTGACAGCTTTTCTCCTAATGTTGTGAGTTCTGCAGCCCTTGTAACAAAACTGAAAACAGGCATGCCTGAGCATGCACAAGGCAGACTTGTTGTTTGGCCAGGTTAACTTCAGAATAAACTACAAAACAAAAACAGGACTGAAAGATTAATTTTGGTGGGAAGCTGTTTCCCTCCCCTCTGCATTACAATGCAGGCCCTTGTGCAAGTTACCAGGGAAGCAACCCGAACTGTGGTTTACTTGTCAAATCTAACACCTTCAAGCATCCTCGTTTTCAGGAGCAGCTCCATTTAGGAAAAACAAACAAAAAACCCAAACCACTTTCTGTATTAGGAGAAGCCATACTTGTAAACCCTGTTTTCTGTGTACCAAAGCTGCCATACAGCCAAGAGTGATACTTTTCCCCAACCCACACTCTTTAAGCTGATCAGACACCCAATTTCTTTCACAACACCTCACTCAGCCTGCATTTCTAGCCTACTAGGCTAAGGTGCTTACTACTTTCATCTTTGTTTAAGAAAGATTTAGTGAAATGTTTGAGAGAGTAGGAACACAAGGAGCTGATGGAACCTATGAGTGACAGCTGATTTTTACCTGTGCCAAGGATCAAAACCCCTTATGAACCTACTACCTGCTTAGCAGCTGATACCCACATCTTCATGAAATAACGATATCCAGTTCCCACAATTGTTCCCTAGAACTTACAGGCATATACTGCTGACTAGAATATATTCTTCCAAGTTCCAAGAAGCCACACTGAAAGAAATTTGTGCAGTCCAGAGAAAATCAACATGATCAGCAGGTAACACTGAAAGTGCTAACAAGCAGCTTGTGTGGCAAGGTTTGACTTTTCCTACAAAGAATGCCAAAAAGATGTATCTGCAAGTCATTCACATGACTTCTCAGTGGACTTCTGCTTGTTGCTCTGTACAGTAAGCACCTTCAGCTCAGAGCTTCTTTTGCTATTCACATGTCCTCAGGAAAGAAATCAGAGAGGCATCATTTACTAAGTTTCAAGATAAACTTTGCTCAGATTCTTTATGTAAGGCTGAGTCTTAGCCTTCGACATCCCTCTGCCCTGTAAATCAGGGTATGTTGTTTTGTTGTTCATTTCACCAGTATTATTCAAACAGGTGATTTGAATGTACTTAAACACCAGAGCTCATGGAACATTTTCCTTGAAACACACTCTTCGGGTAAATTTGGAATTGTTTCTTCAATCTTAAGGCAATAGTTTGCTTTTTAAATGTTGAACATACAACAAGGGTGTACCTTCACAAACACTACCACATTAAAAATCCTACTATGAAGTCAAACAGTTTTGTAGGAAACTATGTTCCTATTTCAGCAACTGACTATAGCCTGGCAAAATAAGAGTTACAAGCAAGTCTCTGAATGTGCATTAAATATGTATATATATGTGTATAGATAGATAGATATAGATATATGTATATATATATATATATATATATATATGTGTGTGATTATAGAAAAACTTGCATTTCAAGGGGGTAAAATCCCATAATAACTGCTTCTGTCACAGCAGTATTGGTCTAATTAAAACTATTAAAAAGAATAGCATTATACCTAGCATTAGCTCCAGAAACACCAAAATCTTCTGTGCTGTACAATCTATTGGCCTTTCTATGCTTTAGCTGTCCCACTAAAGGGAAAATACTCCCCCCATCCCACCACAAGAAACCAAGAAATAGTCACTTCTTTGTATAATATGGGAAAGGGGAAAGCAAGGTGCACATGTCGGTCAACAAGCACAAAACCAGAGTACATTCCTCACAGGATCCTCACCAACAGCCACGGGAATGTATCTAAAGCCACTCGAAGCTGCAGCTTCAGCAACCACCAACTCATCACCGCTACAATCCGGAGCACGAGGGTGAGCCTCCCTCCGCACAGGCCCTGCCGCTCCCCGCAGAGCAGCGCCGGGACGCTCCGCGTCCCACAGCCCTGACCACAGCGGCCAGCGCCGGGAGGGCTCGGCCCCTCCTGCTTACACACACACACCACCGCCGGGCACCGGATCACACACCCCGGCTGCACGCCCCCCGCGATTCAGACACAACTGCGCGGCTGACACGCTTCCCCTCCAACCTCTGCGCAGCAGACAGCTGCTTCGCTCTCCCCTCCGTGCAGGGGACACCGCCGCCTTCCCCCGCCCGGGATGGCAGACCCGGGGATCGCCTGCGACGGGACGGCGCGGACGCGGTGAGCAGCGACCCGCGGAGAGCCGCCACCGGCCGCTACCAGGGGCCGGCCCGGACAGCCCGGAGAAGGCCGGCGGAGCAGGGGCCCCGCGGCGCGGCCCTGGCGGGCGGTGCTCACCTGCTGCCCGCGGCTGCGGTGCCGGTGCTGGGGCGGCACCGCCGCTCTTCCTTCACCGCCCGGCCCGGCGGCGCCGCCAGCCCCGACCAACCGCCCGCCGACCGCGCCGCTCCCGCCCAGACATCGCCAATCGAAGCTCCGCGCACTTCACCCGCCGGCAGCGCCCGGCCCCGCCCCGCGGTCCTTCGCGGTGCTCCGGCCGGGCGCGGCTCACCCGGGCTGCTGCCTCGGGAGCCGCCGGCAGTGCGGCGAGCCGGTGTGTCCCGCGGGAACTTGGAGTGCACCCTATTTCATTAATATTCCCTTCTCTTCTATTTCCGCCCCGTGGTTTCTCCCCGGCCACTCTCCCCGCCTCGCCCCAGCCCCAGAGAGGTGCCCGCTGCTGCCCTCGGGGCCGTGGTGTCGACACCGCCGCCCCAGCGCCAGCGGACCAGCCCGTGCCCGGTGTGGGCACCGCATCCCTGCGCTGGGCTGCGGCGCTCTCCCGGGCCACGCCCGAGCCCCCGGCGCCGGCGGGCTCCCGGGCACTCACTGCGCGGGGCCGCCAGAGCGCGGAACGGGCCCGGCCCGGAACGGCAGCCGCACGGTCCGAGCTGCCGCGGGCCCCTCGCGCGGGGGCACCGGCGCGCGAGACCGGGGCGGGCCCGGCTGCTGGCCCCGCACTAGCCTCGCGCTCCCTAGCGGCCTCGCGCTGCCGCGGCCGCATAAAGGGCCCCGCGCACGGCCCGGCCCCGCAGCGCCGCCGCACCGCCGCACGGAACGGACCGGCACCGGGCCTGCAGGTAAAGGGCAGCGCCACCGCCCCAGCCGCCGCGGCTTCGGCGGCCGCACAGCACCCTTTGTCCTTTCTCTCCTGGGGGCGGCGCCCAGCAGCGGGTCCCCCAGGGGTGGGATTGTGTTTAAGGGCTTTTTTCCCTCGGTGCGGACGAGACCCCGCGACCGCGCCCCGCCCCGCCCGCCGCGGCTGTCGCTGAGGGTGCTGCACCCCGGGGACAGGGCCAGGCTGTCTCCTCACGTAGTCCTCGGGTCTCCCGCTAGTCGGTGGTGTCCCTGACGCGGGCTGGGCTCGGGGGCCCTCGCCTGTCCCCTGCCGCTTGGGGAGCGGCCGCAGTCGCGGCCGTGCCGGGGTTTCAGCCTTGGCCGTGGCGGCGGCTGCTGCCCCCGGCCCGGTGGGAAAATCCCCAGCGTGCCACCAGATCGCCTTGTCAGAGGCGAGTGCAGCCGAGAGAACTCGGCTGGTGCCAGCGACCCGCTCCGTGCCCCTGCGAGCCGCCTCCTCCAGGGAGATCAGCTGTGCACCGGAGTTACGGGCTTGTCGCAATAGTTAATGATTGCCCGTAGGCCCCGAGCCCTTGCTCGGCACCAAGAGGTATTTGGAAATAGACGGTTTCTTTAAGTTGCCTTGGCTGTGTGCCTGGGTTAAGTGTATTTAAAGAAGAGCTGCTGCAGGGGAAAGACCTTGCTGGGTTTTGGCAGTTCAGTATAAAATCAGAGGGGACGAGTGACAGAGTTGAACTCTAGGGAATGTGTGCTCTCTAGAGGAACCTCTCGGCATGTGGACTGGTGTGCAGAAGAGGGATGCTACTGCGGTACTGCCCCGGTTCATAGAGAAACTGGGGACACTGGTGACTGAGGATGGGAAAAGTGCCAGTACCTGGGCTGTGATCCCATAAACGTGTTGGATGCTGTCAGAGTGGTTGAAGAAGCTGCTGTTCCCACACATCAGTGGAGGTGTGTCTCACCTGCCTTTGTGTTCTCTTCGTGGCAGCAGCATCGAATGGTTGTGGAACCAAACCATTGGTTTGATTGCTATTACTGACATCGTCTGATTTGTATTAGTTTAGTGGAAGCAAACCACAAAACAAGCAGTGTTTTCTGGGTTTGTGCCTATCTACATTTTTACTTAAATGAATCAGACTCTTTCTCAGATTGTGCCAAAAGCAAAACTGAACTCTCCCACAGTAGTAATTCTGTGCCTAGGCCATGGACTATGATACAGACCTTATTATTTAGATAGTCACAATTGAAAATTGGGTTCAAAATACTTGCATAAGTAAACTGATTTCAGATAGAGTGAGATCATGTGAAGTTCAAGTTCTCCTTGAGGACTAGAGAGGCCCAATATAAGCCAAGGTACTGTCTGTGTTAGGGATAGAAATTCCTGATCTTTTAAACTGAGCCTCAGTAACACAACCTTATTTTACTTTTTCTTTGTTTGTTTTTTTTTTTTAAGAGTTTTGTGTTATTTTTTGGGTGGGTTTTTCTTTTGTTATTGTTTTTTATTTGGAGGTGTCTTTTTTGATGTTTTGTTGGTGGTGGTTTTTTGGGTTTTTTTTTTTTTTTAGCTTTTGCACTTTAAAAGGTTTGGATAAGCTTGATCCTGTGAACATAGCTTAGAAAGTTTATTCTCTTCCCAAACTAAAATTGTTTAATAGATTGGATTTTGGAAACGCAGCACAAGTTACTTCAATTTAAAAACAAAAAAAATAAAACTTTAACCCTGGGATAGTCTCCCAACATGGTTGTAATGTGAGGCCCTTGCTCTGCAAGCCTCACACCCCCCAGTGCCTTGGTCTAGCTGAACAGATCCCGTGTACAGTAGGACCCTTCATTCTGGATCAAGCCGTTCCTGGCCCTTGCTCTCTGGGACTGCAGCCTCAGGCACAAGGGCTTGCCGTCTCACTGGAGTATCCCAGCAGCTGCACACAGCAAACGACTGGCTGAAGGAGGAACTTGCCAAGTCATAGCTCTTGCATAATCAGAGCTGAGACCCAAGAAACTGTGGCTGTTGGAAAGAAGGGCACTTTAGAGCAGTTCAGTGCCTTCTAAGGTTTTCTTGACAAAGAACAAAGTGCGAATACAAAGGCAGAGTTCAAGTTCTTTTTTTTTTTTTTAGCCTTTGTTCACAAATATCTTGGGAAACCTGTGTTCCCTACAGCAAACAAATCTCTCCAGTATTTATTTTATCTGTAGAAATAAAGCTTGCCACAAGAAAATACTCTTGATGTGTAACCCTTGGATTTTTCTACCTGTTTCCTTCCTTCCTGGGGGACAAAGTTAATAAAGAAGCTTACAATATATTAATCTTAGTAGTTTCAGCAGTATGATGTGTCATTGAAATCATGTCCATTAACCCCTGATTTTCAGAAAAAGGTGGAGAAACAGGTAACTGGACTAGAACTCATGAAGTCTAAAAGTAAATGGTGCTCATCTATTTCTGTGGAATTTGGGGGAAGAATTTGGTCATATTTTAAATGTTTTTTTATACAATCATAATTATAGCCCATGCCCTTAATTGTCAAGACATTAACCCTTCTTTTTATCCTCACATAGATCTCTTTAGGAGCTGGGGCTTTAAGGAAAACACCATGTAGCATGAAACTAAGGATAAACTGAGGTTATTTTCAAGACTTTTTGGAGAGATCCTCTATGCTATGTTACTGCCTCACCTAGTTATGTTGTAAAAATGCAGGATACATGTATTGGTAGCTTTTAACTTAGATTGGATTTTTTTAATGCCTTTTGCAGTTCAAGATGTCTAAAAAAATCCATGGAGGCTCCGTTGTGGAGATGCAAGGAGATGAAATGACGCGGGTCATCTGGGAGCTGATTAAAGAAAAGCTGATTTTTCCTTATGTAGATCTGGATTTGCACAGGTAATGACTCTGTGACATTCAGCTGAATGTACTGAAGTTTGCATGTGTCAGTAGGTGTTGATGGATTTTCATTTAGCACCGGAGGCATGCCCTCCAGGGTTCCTCACAGCAGTAAGCAGTGCATGCGGAGTTGTGAGTTAGAGTTTTGCCTGTACTGTGCCTCTAAGAAAGTCTCTCAGAGACGTGGCCTGTATTTTCATCTCCTGTGCCTTGGGGTTTCCAGCACCTGGACAGTCTGCATGACTCCCTGCAGCCTAAACAGTGAGAAGAAATATGGGCTGTTTCAGCCACTCCTGACTTGAAGCATAGCATCCTGCACCCCTGAGTGAGCTTATGGCTTTTTGCCATGCCTGTTTGAAGATCTGCCCAGAGGACAAAAGAGTGTGTGTAGGGCACAGACTCTGCCCTGATGGCTGTATGCCTGAGCTCTGCTGTTGACAATGTGAGCAAACTGTTGCAATTACTCCCTGAAGCTAGGCTGTGCTCCTGTACTCCCTTCTGGAAAAAAACAAGTACTAGCAGCTGGGTACAGCAAAAGGGACGTGCTATCTATAGCATCTGGCCAAACAGAACAAATAATCTCCTCCTTTTCTGGCCACTGAGCTATAATTATTAGAGAAGTATCCAGCTACATTGCTCCTAGCCATGTGGACAGAGGCCTTTGGTGATATCTGCCATAGTTAAACCCACAAGTCTGACCTCTTCCCCTGCCACTGGAGTCATTTGTATGCCACCTACATCAGGCTTTCTGCTTGTTGGTGTTGGGAACCAGGCAGACAGGAACCCAGCAGCATAATACATGCATGCAGTCTGGAGAACATCCCTTTTCAAAGAGGGTGGGAGGAGGGCAAGCAAACCCCTGGCTGAGGCAGCACAATGTCTAGATTCATGTACAGCTGGCTGTGCTTCAGGGCTGTCCCTGGGCAACCATTGTTCTCCAAAAGCTATTAAAACAGTGAGTATGGAAATGACCTTCCTCTGATGTTTGAGAGGAATATTGGCAGTTTTGCTGCCAGAGCAGGATTGTGGGTAGATTGTCAAAGCAGTTTTTAAGTCTAGTACCGCTTCATGTGCTCAGTACATGAAGGAAGCCAGAGCCTTCAACACAAGAGGTGGCACACATTCATCTGGGGATTTTGCTGCTCCATACAGTGGAAACCCGCAACGGACAGGTGCCATTGCAGGAAGCTCAAAAGGCAAGGCAGAGGAGATACTGTCCTATGCTGGCAGCAAACCTTAGCCATAAATTGAAGCTCTCCTTTCTCCCATCTCCTACCAACTGCCACTTAACAGGAGAAATGTCACTGTATAAGTCTGTTTTCTTCCAGTCCAGCAGCATTTGCACTGGAAGAGGGATAACTTCAGTTGTTCCAGAATGCTGCAAGTACACTCACAAGCACATATGGGGTCTTGTTTCTTTCCTGTTGAGCACAAACAAATGTCCTGGGAAGTTCTGACCATATTTGTGGGTTTGTTACAGCTATGACTTGGGCATTGAGCATCGTGATGCTACAAATGATAAAGTAACTGTGGAAGCTGCTGAAGCCATTAAGAAATACAACGTTGGCATAAAGTGTGCAACCATCACTCCTGATGAGAAGAGAGTGGAAGAGTTCAAGCTGAAACAGATGTGGAAGTCTCCCAATGGGACAATTAGAAACATCCTAGGTGGCACTGTCTTCAGAGAGGCTATTATCTGCAAGAACATTCCCCGGCTGGTGTCCGGATGGGTGAAACCCATTGTCATCGGCCGTCACGCTTATGGGGATCAAGTGAGTCACTTCAGTGTTTACCCCTCTTCTTGTCTTAACAGGCTTATTCCTGGCTGGTATAGAGCTCCAAAGACTTAGACATCCCTGTGCTCCTACTCTATCCCTTGCATTCCACCTGGGAGCATATTTGCTAGCACTTAATTTGTATTGCACCTGGCAAGTGTGGGAGTGCCTGGTTCATGCCTCTCTTCCTTGAGCATTCAGAAACCTGTGCTTGGATTACACAGGCCTGTACTTAGACACTTAACTCTGCTAGGTTATTGTTCTTCACCTCTCTAGAACACTCCTTCCTACATAAGAACATCTTTAGAAAATACTGTTTTACACTGCCCACCTTCTTACTTTGCAGGACTTTCTAATTTTTTTTTTTTTTTTTTTTAACTGTGATCTGCTGCTTTAACTAACACAGCACATCTGCAGAGGTGGTATCTGACCTGGGCACATCAGGCTGTGGTACAGAAGTAGGGAAACCTCTTTTATCAAAACTCTCCTGACAATGGTAGTACAAGACTGTGGAAAGCCCTGGAACTGTTCTCAGTGTTGTGCCCTCTGGGTAGCCTGGAAGAGAAGAATCAGTGATACTGTTCTCCATGGGCAATCATGCTATAAAGCTTCTAAACACAGCAAAAGAAAAGTCTTCTAGAAGAGCCAAGTGCTTAAATAGGTGGCTAAACCTGCAAAATGAGGGCAAGTCATTAAATTACCTGCCATAGGAAGGTAAAATAATAAATTTTCTACAGGAAAGTAATTGCAGAACCCTGACATTAGAAAAGAATAGGATTCAACATCCTTAAAGGTTGTGAACAATTGAGAAGGTTAAAATAACAATAGGAAACAGTGGATTAAAGGGAAAGGATTGAAATCCTGCAAAAGTGAGATTAAAGTGAAAGGAACAATATAAGAACATACAAAGGACATAGGAGCAAGACACTAACTTGAGAACATCTCAGGAAACAGATTCCCTTGATAGGAGGGAAACTACATGAAAAAGAATCACAAATTTCAAGGAAATGTAACCTGAAATAGTACTGTTCAGGAAAATTGGGAAGATGAGAGAGCATTTAAATACTTAAAGTTTTTAACTTCAAAGACTCTTACTACAGATTGGCCTTTCCAATGTCATCTTGTATGACATATGAACCCTGTTACTTACAAGATCAGCAGCTGCAATATGAATGGCTTTTTTGAGGCAGGGAGAGGGGCTTTTCTATCCACCAACCACAGAACAGTCTAAATACTCTGCACTTTAAAACTTCAATACATCTGCAAAAGTAGATACTCTGCCAATTGATGAGGCCCAAGAATCTGTGAGCTTTTTCCCCTGAAGGGGAAGATGGCTTCTGAAACAGGCAGACTTTTGACTATTTAAGGATACAGTTTAGTGGTGCTCTTGGCAGTGCTGGGTTAACTGTTGGACTTGATGATCTTAAGAGTCTTTTCCAACCTAAGTGATTTCATGACTCACGTCTTTCTAATCTCTAGTAAAATAATCCAATGACAATAATGCTGAATAAAAAGTCTACTTAGTCATGTTTTTAGTATAGCTGTTTTTCTGTAACCTGCCCTCTCAAAAGAGGACTGTCTTTTATGGCTCTCTCTTCCTGATAGATAAATTATCATGGCAATTTTTTTTTAACAGTACAGAGCAACCGATTTTGTGGTACCTGGGCCTGGAAAAGTAGAGATGACCTACACTCCTGCAGATGGAGGCAAACCAGTCACATATCTGGTCCATAACTTTGAAAGTAGGTATTTTCTCTAATTAGTGATTAAAACTGATATACTGATATTTTTTGATTTAATTCAACCTTGAATTATCAGTCAGATCTGTTTGATGGTAAAATATGACTTTGAGGTAGAGTGGGGGAGAAAGTTTGGGCCTTCTTCATTTATTTGTCAAGTACTAAAAGTACCTTGAAATCTTCCTGGGATCAAAGATGCACATCAAGAACACAATCATATTAGATTGGCCACCTGTCATGCTCCTTATATGATGACTCTGGTAGCAGCATATATGTTTTTCTCTCTGATCAGAGGCAAACTTGCTATGTAAAATAGGCTTGACCTAAGGGGAGATATATCTGAGAACAATCCATGTGCAATTCTTTCGGGGTTTAGTTTGTTTTGCTGATCTCTATATCTTTGCAGTTCTTGCCCTTCTTTATGAAGCAGTCTTTTTATTTGCTCAATAGAAATGAGAATTAACACTTACTCTGTAAGGTGGAATTAAGATTTCACAAGAATGCTGCTGACTGTGTAGGCTGTAACTGTTTTAATAGATGCAGTCACAAAGGTTTTAGTGTCACTCTTCTCCCTATTGCTCTGCTGGTTGCAGACATTGCAAGGCTCAGGAAGAGTCCTGACGTTGCTGGGCTTTGTTAATGGAAGCAGTTACAGACAGGTTGCCAGAACTCAGGCTGTTTTCTCTAGGGGCAGGATTCAGGAAAACATCATGCAAGTCATGTCTCTTGTCTATCATTGATCAAAGGGTTCAGGATTTAAAGTCTTATGGTGATCTATTTAGCTACAAAAAAATGAAACCCCATAAACCACAGCATCCTTGTTTGTGTGCAGTTGGTTTTGCAAACAGCTACCAAGATTGACATAGACTCTCCTTTGTAATACTTGATTTCCCTGGCATGCTTGCTCATAAGAACCTGCATCTGTACCATCTCTTGTTGCATAGCCTTTCATCTGCAGTTCACCTGCTTCACAGCCAGTCCCAATCTGTTTTCATTTGATGGATGACTGGTGAGTCTGTGTTGGAGATGCATGGCTATCCAGCTGCCAGTCTGATTTGCTACTCTGCATTGCATCAGCAAGGAGAAAGCAGGGAAATGCAAAGATGGCAGATTACTGCTGTTGCTCTCTGTGGGAAGCTGCCCTCCCCACAGATAACTGTTGTGCCAGCATATCTCTCAAATTATTAAGGGAAGCTTGTCTTTTAGCTGTACTAATATGTTCAGCCTTGACACTGAATCAAGAAATTTTTAGGAGGCAGTAGGATTGTATGACTGCAATAAGGATTTTCTTTTACATGTATGAAAATAGCTGTTTGAATAACACTTAATAGCTGTCATCCAGCAATGGTGAAATCATGGTTCCAGAGGACAGTCTCTGTAGCTGATCACACCCTGAACTGTCCTTGACTCCATAGGGAAGAGGGAAGGTACAGGGATAACATGTAACAACAGGAAGTTAATTCTCTGCCAATATCAACTTTAAATGACATTGCTATCTTGGCAAGCACATAAACCTTCTCTGGCTTCCCCTCTTCATTCTGCATGTATGTCCATATAGTAACAACCATCTGAAGGTGGTAAGCACAAATGGATATTAGGAAAGGTATTTAAAAACTCTGGGTGTTTCTAGAATAACGATCCCTAATATTGGTACTGTACAAAAACTAGAAAGATGGTGGTAGTGAGGTGCTTAAAATTAAGTATATGGTATCTACTTTTCACTAGAAATAGAGTTGTGCTCTGAAAATGACAAAGCTTTCTCATGAAGGTCTAGACCCTATTTTCACCCACAATCATCCTCTTCTATGATCTGAGTGCTGCTTTCTTCTAGGTGAGCTGGGCTGCAAGTTAGTACACTTCCATTGGTGCTTCTAACACATCTGCCTTACACAATCTAAGTCATGTGAGTGTTGATAGTTCCTCAGAGCCTTCTCAGGACTTGCCTGAGCACCCACATGACTGGCATGTTCTTCCCACAACTTGCTAGAAGTGAGCCTGAGCGGGTGGATCAAAGTGTCAGGGTAGGCCACATGTGCTGAAAAAAATGCAGGAATTCATGTGGAGTCTTGTTTACCTGAGCTAGGCAGGTAAGTCTCAGTCTTTGCCTGCTGGAGTTAGTTCTGAAGTTGCAAAGCATTTAAGGTGGGAGCACATCCCTTTCTGACTTTGAGACCTCCTGCTCCAAACTGCTGCCTGCTGCTTTGATAGAAAAAGACTGTATTACTTAAATGGCTAATAGGAGTTCAGGTACATTCACTTCTGTCACAGTGTGCTTGAGTACTTAGCCTGGATTAGAACAAAACTTCTTAGAGGGATTAGATCACATTATTAAGGTGTACTTGCCTGTAAAACAAAACCACCTTCCTCTCCATGTGTCACAGAACTGCTGGAGCTTTGGCTGATAATGCAAAGCAAATCTTCTCCTGAAAGAGCCAACCTTAAATTGAGAACTAGATTTAAGACACCTGGGGAGAGCACCAGTCTGCCTGCCAGCCAGAGTATGCTATGGGGAGAATAAAATTCTTAAACCAAATCTAAATCTAGTTGCTTCCTGTCTGTTCTTCCTCCACTAACAGGCTGTGGTGGTGTAGCCATGGGAATGTACAATCTTGACCAGTCTATCAAGGATTTTGCCCACAGTTCCTTCCAGATGGCTCTGTCGAAAGGCTGGCCCCTCTACATGAGCACCAAAAACACCATTCTGAAGAGATATGATGGCCGCTTCAAAGACATCTTCCAAGACATCTATGACAGGTAATCGGTTGTGTACTTCCTCCTGTAATACATAAGTCTGCAGCAGGAACTTCCTCTCCAGCCTTGTGAGTTGCTTTTTCAGACACTCAGCAACACTTTAAGGGCACAGGGGGTGCCATCTCTGTCACAGTCTCCCTTATCCTGCAAGGCACAATACTCAATGCAGAAAGCTCTGCTAAATGTGGCTGTAGTGTCCATATCTTATAATAAAGCCACAGATTCTCTGTGTGTGCTTCTATGACTCTGAAGCAGCCTTGCTATAGCCTAGCAAAACAGACAAGGGGAAAAAAGAGTAAAGAGAATGCAGGGTTTTTTGGTTTTAATCTTACCTTTATGCACCTCTCTATGTACAAACTATGCAATTCCCTGTTCGTATGACAAGGTGTTTTGGTTTTTGTTTTCTAGAGAATACAAGTCCAAGTTTGAAGCCAAAAAGATCTGGTACGAGCACAGGCTCATTGATGACATGGTTGCTCAGGCCCTGAAATCTGAAGGAGGCTTTGTCTGGGCCTGCAAGAACTATGATGGGGATGTGCAGTCTGACTCTGTTGCACAAGGTATGAGGTGCTTCCTGTGCCACAGTGAAGCAGGCTTAGTGGTAGTCTCTTGTGTCCTTCTGTCGCATCTTATGGAATGGCCCAGGATGTGGTGTTGAGTCTCAAAGCTTGTATTTCAAACCTGTTGCCAGTTATAGAGGTATCAGACAGTCAAAAAAATTCTTTTGCTTTTACAAGAAAATCTGTTGAATGTAGACTCTGTAGTTGTATTTATTTACAGGAGGGAAGTTTCTACCACATGATAACTGGTAGGCTTTCTATTCTAATGGACAGTTTTTACACAGCTGGTTCTGTGTCACTGACAGCTTGAGTCAAGCTGACTGCTGCTGAGTGTGATGGCAGGTGCTCTGCAGATAATCCATAAAACTTTCAGGACCTAAAGCTACCTGTCAGGTGTAAAGAGAGAGATTGATGTGTTTAACTTTATGTAATTGCAATGCTTGATCAAAATCCTATATAACCAAGGTACCTGGTGCCAAAACAAATATGGATGCAGAATTCCACAGGACGAGACGTGTGGCTTTATGTAATACACTCTTTCTGAAGTAATGCCACTAAACTGCCTCCCACAGAACAAGGATGTGTGTTGGACTGCTAAACAAAGCAGCTTTCACACATGGAGATCTCTGAAACCTACAGGGTTAGAACTTGTGTGAATGTCCAATATCAGAAGTTGCTGGTTCCTCTCACAAGAGCAGATGCTCTTAATAAGAAGTTGTTTTGTTTCCTGTCACCCTGTGTGAAAGACAAGCAGTCCAACACTTACTCTTCTCTTACTGTACATTTTCAGTAGAAATCTGTCCAGCAAATTAGGTAAGAAAACTAATTTCCTTGAAATGGTGCAAAATGTCTGTATATCTGTATCTCATGGTTCAGCTGGACTTATGTTCAGATGTACTGTTATTTTGTTGTGTAGGGACTTGCTAGTTAATTGCAGAAGCACTACTGCAGCTCTGCTGTTCAGGGATTTTCATATCAGTGGGAAGATGTAGGGGGATTGTAGGATGGGGAGATGAAGGGGAATTTGAGGGAGCTGTCCAAAAGAGACACTGAACTTTTGAAACTGTATTTTGTAGGCTATGGCTCTCTGGGGATGATGACCAGCGTGCTGATCTGCCCTGATGGCAAGACTGTTGAAGCAGAAGCTGCTCACGGGACAGTCACTCGTCACTACCGCATGCACCAGAAAGGCCAAGAAACCTCCACTAACCCCATTGGTGAGCTGCTTTTCACTGCCCTTCATCATCTCTAGACATGAAAGAACAAGTTTAGAGTAAGAACATCTGCACCCTTTCTGTAGACAACTGTACCACTTAGTGGTGATACTTGCAGGTCATAATGCATTTTTCTTCCAGAGATTGTGAGGACCCTTAAGGGGAGGGAAGTACCTAAGATTTTTAAATGCTCATCGATCAAAAGAAATTACAAAAGTCAGAGGGTCTGCAAACAGTCAGAAAGTAGATCAGTAAATTACACACATGGCATGGAAACACCTACTATATAAGCGCACAGAAGTGGGTTTTGGATAAAGGGGCAGGGTGAAAGTGAAGAGGGGAATTAAAAGGGAAAGATGAATTAAAGAAAGTAAGAAAGGAAAAGAGAAATAGAAAAAAAAAAAAAGAGGGAATTAAAGGAAGAAAAAGAGGAGAAAAGAGAGAAAAATAGATCACTAGTCCTGGTTACAGCCTTGATCCAGCTGAGGGGATACCAATTCTGGTTTCAGTGCTGATCCAGCTGACAAGTGGCAATCCAGCTGCATTGGACAAGTGGCACCCTGGCTGCTGAGATGTCTAGGGCCCTGGGTGCACCACCTGGGCTTGGCAGGGCCGGGGTTGGTGGGGAGAGTGGTGTACCTTTTTATGGACAGGTTTCTTGCTTTTTATGTACTTTAGTCATCAAGTGCCGTCCATTCTTTCAGGCCTGTCTGGAAAGGGGTCAGAGGACTTTGGGTGTCTTTGGTCTCAGTCCCACGCTATACTCCATGTCTACTTCCTGCTATTCATTCTTGTGCTTGCACTGTACTATGTTGTGGTTCTTTCTCATGGAAAAGTGCTGTCCTGTTTCCACCTGGCCCCTCTTTTCCAATCAAATCTTGTTCTTTTTCATGGCATGTCAGTACCAAAAGTCCATGGTTGGCTCTACAGCTGTCCAGTTATCAGTGTTTGAGACATAATTGGCTCCTTCTCTTGAAGTGGGCTCAGTTGGTCAGAGCATGGTGCTAACAACACCAAGGGTGTGGATTCAATCCCTGTATGGACCATTCATGTAAGAGTTGGATTCAATGATCCTTCTGTGTCCCTTGCAACTCAGACTAGACTGTGATTCCACGTGTATCTTCTGGAAATCATGACCTCCAAAAGATGTCACTTTGGGCTGCTGTTTAAAGGGTTGTTAGAGAGTAGGGTATAGTATGCATTAGCTCCTTATAATTGAGAGCTTGAGGGGTCTCATTTTGGGTCACTGTTTATGGGGTCACAAGAGAGTGGGCTTTAGTTATAGTAATTTTCCATCCTGGCTGCAATTCAAGTTAGTAACTTTCTTTGAAAGTACAGTAACAAAAATATTATTCAACTTGGGCTGTTATTCAGACAAGAAAAATATCTTTCCAAGGCTATTTATTAAAAAAAGGTCCTCATTAAACACCACTAGTTCCTGGGTTTCCGATAAGCTTGAGAAGGGCTTAGGTGTGGTTTGCCAAGGCCAAATGAGCATTTTTCAAATCACAGTGTGGCCTGAGGGAGTCAAGGGAGTGCACCCCCACAGACTTCTTGTGACTTAAGTCAGCTTCTCTGGGTCCTACAGACACAGCTACAGTCTGAAGCAAAAAACAGGCTTGAATGGAGTGCGTGTGAGCAATAAGCTAGACCTAACTTAGCCTTTATGCGCTCACTCTTCAGGAAACAATTGGTTTATAGCCACAAGACCTTAAGGTTTCGGTTAGTTGTTTTTTATTTTAGTTCTCTTTCTGATGGCCCAGAAGAACCAACCACACCCCAAGCCATGCACACACTCGAAGTGTAAGGGTACCTGGAATGGGACGTGAGGAAAGAATCCTCTAAATTTGAATAGAGACCAGAGCATAATGTAGAGTTAGGAAAAGGACTGCACCCTTCTGTTACAATATTCTCTGTAACTACCAAGTCCTACCACCTGTCATTCTTTCTGACTTGGGCAGGAAGAAAATAAAATGGCATGCATAGAGAGATTACTGATAGCAATGAGTAGTTTCTGAGGTCTGCTTTGGTTTTGGTTTTTTTGGTTTTTTTTTGGTTTTTTTTTGAGTTCCACAAAAGGCAAAGGATACCTAGATGAAGATAAGTGTTCTTTCCTATACCAGATATTCTATCTTTTTTTTTTCAGTCTGCTTTCCATTTTATTGGTATTAAAAAATCCAATTCTTGTTCCACATGATGATTTAGAACAACTTTCAGGAAGTTCTAGATAGATAGATAGAATAACCCAGTGTTCTCTCTCAGCCTCCATCTTTGCATGGACAAGAGGCCTCGCTCACAGAGCTAAGCTGGACAACAACACTAGCCTCAGGAACTTTGCAGTTGCCCTGGAAGAAGTCTGCATTGAGACCATTGAATCTGGCTTCATGACAAAGGACCTTGCTGCCTGCATCAAAGGCTTGCCTAAGTAAGTGTATGAAATAACCAGCTATGCCTAGAGAAGGCTGTTTTGCGTGGTGGTTCTGAACAGCACTGGCTGGAATGTTATTTTTAGTGTGCTAAAGAACAGGAGTGTGTCTCACAGGACTTCCTGTACCCTGTGCTGTAAAAGGAACATGAGAGACTCCCTGACCCAAGTAGCTCTCTCCCTGCTATTGCACCATGAATGGGAGAAAAAAGTAAAGAAGGAACTGCAAAGATGTACATGTTTTTTATGACAGTCTAGCTATGGTGGCCAGATCCTAACAAATGAAGAAGACCTACGTAACTGTAAAATATCACCTGGCTACCTCTTCCCAGAGCCTTATGGCAAAAAAACCCAGCCTGATGAGTAGGAGAGAACTTTTTTGGTTTTAGAGGCAAAGCATAGAGTTCTTTGAACAGTCATCCTCTGCTTTGATTATCTGAGAGTCTGTACAACTAATACCTGTCTTGTTTTGTTTCCCCCACCCAGTGTCACACGCTCTGATTACCTGAACACCTTTGAGTTCATGGACAAGCTTGCTGAAAACTTGAAGCGGAAGCTGGCCTCTATGCCCAAAGCTTAAGGCATGGGTTACACTCAAGCTCCCCTAACAAAGTGTCTCCCACTTACATCAGAGTGTAAGTGGCATTGTCTCATTTGTTCTGCTTCTTTTAGGCTGTTCTTCAGCTTTGGCCGTCTGGTATTATCACACTGGCAGATACTTCCTATCAGAATAATCTCTTTGCCCAATTACTAGTTTTTCTCTTGATTTTTTTCTATCTGATAACACTTGGGTCTTCTTGCAAAGCACAGGCACTGGAGGTCTCTTTCCCCAAGAAAAGTGAATTCTGTAGACTGGAATCACCTGAGGGAATTTCATGACTTGAGAAGGTATGAACTGGGGGTTTTAGCAAGCTCTCCAAACTTTGCATCTCAAAGATAGGTCCCTTCTTAACCTGCTGCATTAAGTCAACACTATCATGACTCTGCAGTTGTGCTGGATTCACCTCATATGTACTTCAAGATCTTGGACTCCATCAGGAGAGTGGGAATGGTGCTCCACACCAGTCTCTATTCCATCAAAAGCCCCCTCACATGCCTTCTTTCTGCCCCATCTCACAGACTTCAGTCTCACTAGAATGTGTTACAACTTTTGGCTGAAGAAGCTTCTGTGTATTTTGAGCACACTATTGGGACTACTTTCTGCATTGTTTTTAATTGCAGTTGTTTTGTTTTTTCTTGTTCTTGCTTTCTTAGTTGTTCTTTCATCAGTTTTAGTTTAATAGGCTCGCTCCAGGTACATTCACCCATGATTGCTCAATCTTGCTGAATTTTTACAGTCTCACTCCCTCCAGATGTGAAACTATACTAATATGTAGATGATACTCTAATTGAAGGAGATTCCCATGAAAAGGTGTGAGAAGCAGCAGCAATAATAGGAAGCATTACATGAAGCAGAAATTGAAATTCAGCCTGAAAAATGTCAAGGACCAAGAAATAAATTTTTAGGCACTTGGTAGATGCAGCCAATGCAGTAGTTCCTTCAGACACATTAAAGGAATTAGAACAAATTCAAGTGCCCCCATCAAAGAAAAAATTACAAGAGTTAATGGGAACTTTAGGATATTGGAGAAAACATGTACCTGGCTTCTCTGTTATTGCTTGCATAAGTACGTCCGTATCGTGCTTTGTTGTGTAACATTACAAACACTAGATAAAAATTAACATAGACACTTTTTACACTTTTAGAAAATCATGTTTTCTGAAACACTTTGAGCTGCTAGACTAAGCCCTACTTTTGCCAAGCAGATGAATTTGATAAAAGCTCAGTATGGGTCTGGATTCCTGGTTTTGTTCGCAGCAGACCTGAAGTTTTTCTCTGTGACTTTGATGTATGTTTATCTCTTCCTCTCAGTCTGAAGGCCAGTTTGTGTCACAGCTGCGGTCAAACCATCAGTGACCTACTGTCCAGCAGACCTTAGAAATGAATACCGTCCTCCTCTCTTGAGTACTTCCCAGTGAGTATAAGTGAGTTCAGAGGGCTATGCCAGCTCTTCCGCAGCCCTCCTGAATTTATCTTGTAGTGCCAACCAGAGCACAGTGTCCTGATACCAAGGGATTTGGTTCCATTGCTACAGTCAGGACTGTAGCATTTGAGTAGCACTTAGTAAATGCTGGAAACAAGCCTTATAGGCTAAGAGCCTACCAAAGCCATGCTGCAGTGTCTAAATGCAGGCCATGCATTTAGTTATGCTCCTTCTGACTGGATGTGAAGCATAGGAACTGTTAACCTCTTCCCTCACCCTCCAATTCATAAAGGTGCAAACTTTTCTCCAATTGTCTGGGCTATTACTTACCCTTGTTGTCTTACGGCAAGTCATATCATGACTGTGAAAACTTATTCCATCCATGGTTGTGTGTTGGGCTTTTTTTTTAAGGAATATTTTTAATTCAAACTAAAATAAAAGCCAACTAACATTCTTTGTGTCTCCTTCCTTTGTGTGATTAGCAGATATGGGGAACCTGCCTCAGAGAGAGACTCCAGTAGCTTCAGTCCAGTACAGGCTGGGACAGACTGTTAGAATGTCATATAAGCAAAAAGTATCTCCCTTCTTGGAACAGAGTTTCAATTTGTTCTAGCCTAGGCAAAGCTGTCATGTGTGGTGTCATGGTAAGCATCAGGTAGTATACAAGAATTTGAAAATACCACTTGCAGTGAAATTTTATTTGGGGAGTAATACAAACTGATACATCATTGCTCAGCAAAACAGAAACTGTTACACATGAACAAACTCTCCCCCCTCCAGCTGACTGCTAGAGGTGGTGATTAGGATACCGATGCCAATGTTAGACCAAAGGAGCTACTATTACCCTGTGTTTGAAGCACAGCTCTGTAACTGCTAGCAGCTGTCTCCGTGCCTTGAATGTCAATGAATACAATCTACTATTCTGTTATTAGCACAAGCACATCAGTGCAGCTGGAAAATGTCCCATTTCCCCATAGAGGCAATGGAAACAATTACTGGGAACACTTGGAGATCTAAGTTCCTGGCCTGGCTTCTGACATCAGTGGGTCAACACAGACAGGTTCTAATACAACAGCATTTATAGCAAGTGTTATAAGTGTTATTTACTAGTTCCTACCTGGCTTCCAGAGTTACAGAATACCAGAGAAAGTTTGGTAACTTCCAGAAAACTGAACAAATAAGTAAGAGGGCATTTTTGAATCTCAGGCTTTTTGTTTCCTAGTTTTAATAACTTAACGGTACAGCTTAAATGTAAGCTATGTAGTAGCATTTCCCTGACTGCCGATGACACCATTTTCCCTCTAAAAATGAAGTTTCCAACTTCTGGAGTCCTCTGAATACAGAGAGTACAGCAAGACCCAGCCTATCCTCATGAACTGATAGATGCTGCTGAGGTGCTAAGGAGAAGGAGTAAGTATGGTAAGAAGAAAAGAGCAGCCCTCTCCTTGCTCTGCCACAAAGAGGAAACGCTTTTCCTGCTTCCAAACGGGCACTTTTCCTTCCCTTTTACTACTGCTGTGATCCCTTCTTTTCCCCACCACTCTCTCAAACATTTAGAATCAATAACCTTCAAAGTTACACCAGTAGACCCTAAAAAAGGCAAGTGCCTGAAGCCAGTGGGTGCTGCAATGGAAGAGTAAAGGATTTCCTGAAACACAGCTGGCCCCATCTGGAGTACTGTTGTCCAGCTGTGATTCCCAGCTTAAGAGGGATGTGGACCTGTTGGAGCAAAGCCAGAGGGGGAACACAAAGATGATTAGAGGGCTGAAATACCTCTCCTATGAAGACAGTCTGAGAGAGTTGAGATTGTCCAGTCTGGAAAACAGAAGGTGCTAGGGAGACCTTATCAAACTATCCAGTACCTCAAGGGGCTACAAGAAGGCTGAAGGAAGTACTTTTTCAACAGGGCCAAGGAGTGATAGGAAAAGGGGAAATGTTTTAAAACAGCTCTGTCCCACAGGACCTGCTCCTCTGATCACCTTTCCTGTAACAATACTCAGTATGAGACAAGACCTGTTTAGATCTGGTCCTAAGCACCTGGTGTTTCAAACATTCCTTAATGTTGGTTGGTATAGAGCTCATCTGCTGCTGCAGGGAGCTTTACATGGCAGACAGGGAGAGAACAGGAAGAAAGCAGAAGATAGCTAGGAGCTAATCATACAGCACATAAGGGCCATGCCCATCATTAAAGCAGACATCCATCAATTTGTGTCAACCACTTTTCCCACCCCATAAGTCTCAAAGATTTGAAAACAGAAGAAATGCACAGCACAAGGCTCCATTTGTCAAATTGGTCCTTGGGTTGCCTTAGTTGGAATAGTTCAGCTGCCTGGTCAGCCACCTCTGTCTTTGCTTGGGCCTCTGCATTCAAAGCGGTAGCCTTGCGGCTAAACACACGAGCTCCTAGGAGCTTCGGGGCTGCTTTCAACCACTATTCTAATCCTTTCTGTTGTTATCAGCTTGCCTGCCTTGGCACTGAGACATCCTTCAGGAAGCCATTCTTTGTTCTCTTTCATCTTCTTGGTCATTCCCTGGGCTTTGACAGGCTTCCTATTTTTTTTGTAGAGAGAAGAGTGGAGGAACTCAGTGTCTGTAAATGGGTCACCCTGCCTCAGTTTCCTGCAGAAACAAAAGGGTTACATTGAAGCATCAAGTATTCCTTGAATTAATGTATGATTTTAAAGTTTCTAATTTTAGTGCAGTTCTTCCCCATAAGATGATTAAGTGGTACAGTTTGTTTCTTGCCCAATACACAGTACTGGTGCAATATAACCAGCTATTTACAGAAAGTTCAAACTGGGACACTTTCCAGGGAAAAATACACCCAGTAACGTTATATAACTACGAAGCCATCATTTTAGTAGTACATGACTGTGCAATAGCCAGTGGATGTACTGAATCTACAGTTTCCTAGGGAAAAGATGCAGCTGTTTGTTTAGGTATATCTGCTAGTGAGTATAGATACAGGATGCTCTCAGGAGAAAAGTATTACTCAGGTGTCTAAAATTTTAGTTGTCACAGAATAAATGAATTTAGGGCTTTTGCTGGGCTGTCTTTAGTCTGTATTTTATCCTTGTGCTACTGCCTCATTAGCACTGGAGTACCACAGATGCAGGCTGCCAAGAGATGTGCTCATTTCAACAAATAAAATAAGATCTTTGGTAGCTTGTTGCCAGAAGCCTAAAGATCCATTTGTACTTATGCAGAATTTTGGCATAACCACACAGTAGTAGAAGAGGAGGGTCACAGAACACAAAGGGTAAGAACTTGGAACAGAGCAACAGAGGGTCCAGCCCTGGAGAGTTAGTACGTGAGAGCAGAGCAGGGGTTGCAGCATGGGAACAGTCTTTGGAATGAATAGTTTAAAGCCCAACCTATTGATTGATGGCTCTTTGTAGCAGGTGGGCTTCCGTTTCCGCCTAGATGAGCGCCCTGATGCATCCTCCGAGCTGGAGTGAGACAGAACCCTGGCATTGTTCAAGTCCTGTAGTGGCCTGATACCTGCAAAGGGAGACATTCACATGGTTTAATCATAGTGATTCTAAATCATTTCCAGATATCCTAAGAAATAACAGGTGACAAATAGAAAAAGTTGCATTACCAGGTTTCTCTGAACGTGCACAATCCGGAATCTAATCATATTGCCCCTAAACTCAGGAGACCCTTTTAATCCAAAAATACCACACCTGCTCCTCAAAAGTCAGCTCATAAATCAAATTAGGTCCCTCAATAAAAAAATCACTAATACTGATAGGATCATGGGCTCTGGTGTAGTAGAAAAATTATACAGAAACTCTATTTGATAGCTGTAATGTTCAGGAGCTTACAGCCTGGAGAAGACAGCAACCTTATAGCACACCAACAACCTACCAGCAACCTACTGACTTCCAGCAAGACAGAGGGCCCGTGGTCACTGCACCTTTCCAAGTGGAGTCAGCCAAAAGGAGGACAGGAGAACAAACTTCCTCCCTCTCTACAAAGTACAGCTCACTCCAGTTGTAACAGGTCTGTTTGTCAACAGCTATAAAAAGAAAAACCCCACAAGCACAGAGCACCCATTAACAGCAAACTCCCCAAAAGGATCAGCTTAACTATTGTAGTACCGGCCCAAGGATGCACCCTCCAAATCCTTTTAAAAAACAAACAAACAAAAAAAAACCCCACAACCAAAATAATTTAGGTTGGGTCCTGGTTAATTTCCAGTGAAGATATCACCTTAGAAGCATGAAGTCTTGCAGCACTAACCATTCTGGACCAAAAGTTTTCCACCTTCTTCTTATTTTGTGTCCTAGTAACATTGACTGACTCTAATAGGCAGGGTCAGCATCAAGTTAGATTTTGAAGTGCTTGAATACTTGATTTTCTAAATTAATAGGCATGCCCTGTAGATAACAAGAGTGGTAAAGCAAGACTCAGCACATGCTGCTAGTCTTGTCCCAACATCTACACATGGACAGGTGGACAGAAATTCTTATAGAAATGCTGATAAACTAGAAGCAAATGCAGCCACAGAAATGACAGGCCAGCACAAGTGGAAGCATAAATGGTGTAGTGGAGACTGATTTTTAACTCTGAAAAAAGAGAGGAGAGGAAGGAAAATATAAGTACTTGCTGCATGGAGTTTTTGCCCTCATCTCCAAACACAGGTACCTTCCCCAGCTTACCACCTACCAGATTCCTGTGAAGGTGAGCTCCAAGAACTTGACTGGACTTGGTTCCTTTCCCCAGGTATTTCCTCTGCAGTCTCTTCTTTAAATATCAGGGACTTTTTCAACCAAACAGGGGGTTTTGCTGGCATTCTGTTGCCCTCAGTACTTAAGCTCTTGGAAGCTGGTACTTCTCTAAGTCTGGAGCTGACAGACAAAACTGCAGAACTGCTCTTACGGGAGGATTCAATACTGTGTGAAAGGTCTGTCAGACTATCTGCAAGTGATATCTCAGGTAGCTGCTCCTCCAGGAAATCACCTGGCTCAGACAGCAGATGGCTAATGCAGGAAAACTTCCCCATCAGAAGAGTCTGCTTGGATGCAAGTTCTGTGGAACTTCCAGTGAGAACCTTGGTACCATCACTTTTTCTGAGCAGGGAATCAGTCTCTGGAGGTCGAGAGTTGCTCCTCTTCCTCTGAGGCCTGGGTTTGCAAGAGGCTTCTTTTGTCAAAGCATTCATGTTGTGGTCAACTTCACCTTGCCCTTTTTCTTGAAGGCCCCCTGTCTCTTTTTTATTGCTCTTTTGATTGCTCTTAACAGCTCTGGGGATTTTGCTCACTTTACTCCCAGGAACAGACTTGGGAGGTACATTTTCACCCCCTTCAGATTCTGTCTGGAAACAACCCAAGTTTCCTGCAAGACCCAAAGGATGGACAATATATGTTTCCCTGCGCTGTTTTAGAATATCTGGGAAATGCTTTCTGCTCTCATTAGCTACTCCTTGAACATCTATGCAGGGCCTAAAAACATTAACTTCATTTCTCTGATCACAATTGCTATTCCTGGCAGTATTCTTCCTGCTTGTTTGGCTTCTTTTAGGGCATTCTTCAGCTTTGGGCTCTGGTATTATCACAGTGTTTGGCAGATAATCCTCATCAGAATCATCTCTTTGCCCAATTATTCTAGTTTTTCTGTTGGCTTTCTGTCTGATGCTCTTTCTGCTCACACTTGAGAATTTTGTAGAATTCTGTAGACTGGAATCACCTGAGGGAATTTCATGACTTGAGAAGGTATGAACTGGTTTTAGCAAGCTCTCCATACTTTGCATCTCAAAGATAGGTCCCTTCTTAACCTGCTGCATTAAGTCAACACTTTCAAGACTCTGCAGCTGTGCTGGGTTCACCTCACATGTACTTCCAAAGTCTTGGACTCCATCAGGAGAGTGGGAATGGCGCTCCACACCACAATCTCTTTTCCTCTTGTCAAAAGCCCCCTCACATGCCTTCTGCCCCATCTCACTAGAACTTGTTGCAACATTTGGCTGAAGAAGCTTCTGTGCATTTTGAGCACACTCTTCACCTTGAGATCTGTCGGGACTACTTGCTGTATTGGTTTTAATTGCAGTTGTTTTCTTTTTTCCTGTTCTTGCTTTTTTAACAGTCTTTTTCTCTCTGATTTTACACTTACCTTTGCTTTTAACCTTTTCAGGAACAAACTCAGGGACCTGGCTATAGCTAGGGTCCCTTTCAACACCACACCCCATTTCTTTTGTCTGTGGCTGCTCACAAAAGGTCTCTTTACCCACAGAGTTTCTATGAGAAACAACAGCAGCTTGAGCCGGTGAAGCCAGGGGGCTGGGAGATCGCAGCTGTTGCTGTGTGTTTTTCTTGCTGGAGCTGCTGTTGTCCTGTGCAGTACTACCCCAAGCTGCCTGAGTGGAACTGACATGTGGGAAGATATCCAGAGCAGAAGATGGAGTGCTTGTAGCAAACAGGGTGGAACGCTTTCTCCTCTGAGTAACGTGCCCTTGTGAGAGACGATCAAATAAATGTTTTGCCATCTCATTGGCCTCATATGAAAGAGTATGACTTTCCAAGGCAAGCGTTGGCAAATTGTTGGGATTTTGTTCAGTGCTGCACAAGACATCTGTTGGAAAGAAAACATTCATGTTTAAGGCTGAGAAATGCAGCAGGCAAATACCATCTTTGTCCATACACTGCCACAAATCCAGAGCATAGAAAAAGCATTATCTTGAGACAGGGACTCCCCCAACTTACTGTGTACCAGATTTGCTTAGCTGGCTTCTCTCTGAATAAAAGGGCAGCCCAAATCAAGATCCCCTAACTAGCTGTAATATTAGGAACACTTATTATCTGTATAAGAGATATCATTTAAATAGCAAATCCACAAGAAACTGTGGTGCACCTAGTCAGATTCTGCACTTTCAGACATCTTCAAAAGTCTTATGTACGCTCAGTGCCTATTACTCAAAAATCCTGATTTGTGAGTTTGATCTACTGCAAACACACCACATATATACATAACTCCAGCAATAACAGACTCAGTGGAGCATGTTGTTAATACCAGTCATTAGGAGCTACTGGAGTTGTGGTTGAGAGCTAATTAGAGTTATGGCCTTTATGCATTTCTGAGCACAGACACAAAGTCATACCAGAAGAACAGCAAGAGATGCAAATTTACCTCCAAATATGTGACAGTCATGAAAAGCCTCCTCTGTTGCCACTGCTTCAGTCACCTTTTTGCCATTCTCTTCCTGGTGGAACTGAGGGTCCTCATCGTGCTGTGGTGGCAAAGTATTTTTGGGGGCAACAGGCACAATTTTCAAGGTCTCATTAGAAGCAGGTCTCTGAAGTTCTCCTGCATTAGAAGCAGGTCTCTGAAGTTCTCCTGAGGATGTTTGTAGTGCTGTGGAGCTGCCAGCTTGCTGCTCTGCATCATGCAGCTTGGAAATGGGCACTCTCATCGGTATCTGTGTAACCCTGGTGAGAAGGAAGAGCGGCGATGGATCATGTTTCTCATATATGACAGGCCCCAGAATCCAGCAGACTAACTACAGGCCACGTGTGGGCAGCTCCAAGGACTGCCCTGTCTTCAAAGGGAGAGAAGAAATAGAACTTCAAATATACTTTAAGAGATCATGTTCTGACCATCTTTCCAGAAAGTTTACATCATACAAGCAGATGACTATGAAGCATTTTTATGTAACAAACATCATAGCCAGCTATGGCACTCACTTGCTCAAGCAAATCTTGCTGTACTCAGCAGCTAAAAAGAGAAAACTGCCTAAAAGTAACACGGTCTCAAAGAAAGGAGGTAAAAAGACTAGTTTTTGCACAGACTCAGCATTAGAACAAACAAGACAAGGAGTGGCAATAAAAAGACAGAATAAAGGAAAGCATCAAGCAGTGGTTGTTCAGAGAAGCTATCTCATATGAAACTGGCAACTAGGCACACACATAAAACACAAAAAGTTTAGCATATAGAAATTCAGGACAAGCTTGGTGGTATCATTTTAAAGCCCACCTCAGAAGCTGACCATCTGCAATATCATCAGACCAGCTATCTTCAGTCATGATGCTCTTCTGGCCACTGCACAAGGATGCAGAATTTATATGGAACTGGAAAGAAGAGAAATAGGAGAGTGATTTAAAGTTCTTGAAATCTCTCATGCAGCCTCCTGCACAGAAACAGCAGAAGGTCAGTTTCTTTAAAAAGTGTGTAAAGTATTGCCAGCAACCCTCTTACGTTACAGAATAAGTTATGGAATAAATTGCAGCAGAATCAGATTGTGTCTCCACGGCCTAAGGATGAAGTTAAATTAGTTCAGATAATCTGAGACTAGGAAGCAGAAGTATTTTCCCCTCCACCCATGAGACAGGACACAGGGAAAGTGTCCTATTCCCTATGCCAAGCTGCCATGGTAATAATTTAAAAAAGAAATTGAAAAGAAGTCACAACCTCTCAGAACAGAAAAGCCTACTGCCCAATATAGCAAATAATCCAGAGGAAAACAGTTTAAAATGGTAGTTTTTCCTACACAAAGAGTTACCCTGGAAATCCTTAACACCAAACTGGCCAGGATGTAGCCAGCACAACTCAAGCAAGCAAAGAAAAACAGGTGAAGCATCCAACACTGAAGTGAGCAGGCAACACAAAGCAAAAGACAAAAAAAGACAGCCCCCTTCCCAGAGCAGTGTGGTCAGGTTTATCATGGCTTACCTCAGACAGCTCAGCCATCTTAACTGCAGCCATAAGATTGTCCATTTTTTTCAACATATCATTCTGTGTTGAAGTAATAAAGAGAGAGAAGCCATAAAGACATTACATCAAAACATCTATTCCAACAAGGATGCTACAAGCCAGAGGCATGTTCTGGGGAGAACACAGCTTGGAAAAAAAAATAAGCAAATGAATGGGGATCTTTTAGATATGTTGAGAATCCAGACATTCAAGAGCAACAGCTCAATCCTCCCACAGCTGAGAAGCTAGTGCAGCCCACCTTGCCTACCACCCCTCCCCATGCCAGCCACACAGTGAGTGCCATACCAGGAAGGAGAGCCTGTGCCGCAGCACAGCGTTCTGGAAGTGGCACTGCTTCACCTCCTTCTGTAAGATGGTCTTCTCCTGCGTGAGCCGCTGTGCATTGGCTTTCTCTGCATTGAGGGCCAGAGCCAATGCTTTATTGTTCTGCTTTAGGGAGACTTTCATAATGGAGGAGTTGTCTGTGAGAGACAGAGCAGTATCACACACCATCAGCATCCAAGGTCTCACCCATACTTCTCCCGCCATCATAATTCTCTCTCTTCCTAGACCAGCCGTCCTCAGATTCAGATCTCTACAACTCAATAGCCCCCTCACAAAATTAGCAGTATCCTTCCATAATAACATGCAACACTTCAGATACCCTCTCCATCCTCAGTGGGTCACACTTAGAGAGCAAGCTACTTCTTCAATTCTTAATGAAGATGGTGTAATTGAAATGCTGAGTTTATAATTATAAGCTACTTGCTTTGAATAAGTCACCAGCAGATAAGTCCTCATCGCCATTCAAAAAATGGGAGAAAAAACTGTTTTCTTCTATAGTTGCCCTTGAGTAAATTTGGACCCCTGTTTCCCAATTTCAAAACAATTAAATGAAAGTAATGGAAATATCAGAGTTTTTAAAGGTAGTCCAAATTATCTCCTGTTCTCTGCGTTACTTCCCCCATAAAAACACAGCTGGCCTAGATTCCGCAGAGGACTGTATATACACTAAAATACTTCGTACACCTTTGGGCACCTTGTGTGGCACTTGAGACTCATCTACAGGGCACAGAATTCGCTCAAAAGCCCCGGGCAGAGAAACAGCTGAGAAGCAGCACATGAGCTCTGGTAAGGGACTGCTGCCCACTCCCGATGCCGCGGCCAAAGGCCCAGTTGTAAGCTGACACAGCAGCCAGCATACGTCCACACCGCAACGCAAAATATACTCACTGATGATCTTCGTTTTGATTTTCGATGCAAGCGAGGCATTCAACTTCGCAGTCCTCAAGGCACCCTTTTTCTTCTCCCGCATCCGCTCCCTCACGTCGCTCAGACTGAAGAAGGACATTTCGGCGGCCTCCCACGCTGCCATCGCTGAAGAGAGCGACACCGAGCAGGGTCAGCACCCGTATTTCCTTTCGGCAAGCCCTTACCGGCCAAGGCTAGCACTTGCCCCGAGAAACAGCGCCGGGGCCCGGCGAGGAGGAAGACGAGGAGGAGGACGAGAGCGAAGCGGAAGCCGTGTCCGCCAAGCGACTTTCGAAAGCCGCGGCCGGCGGGCGGCCCGCCCTTCGCCCCGCCCCGCGGGCCGGCGGCGGAGAGCGAGAGCGGCGCCGCCTCTGCGCCCCGCCGGGGCCGGGCGAGCTCCCCCGGCCGCCCGGGGCCCGCTGCCCTTCGGGCTGGAAGCGGCCAGCGTTGAGCCGGTGCTGCCGCCAGCGGCCCCGGCCCCACAGAGCTAAACAGCTCCTGGCATGCCTCAAGAAAGGCCGAGGGTGCTTCTGAAGGCCGTATGCCACCCAGAAATTAGGGTGTGTAGTTTACAGCTGTGACAAAGACAGTTAACTGTGACCGTTGAAAGGAATTACTTTTATTCGTACGTACTTCACACTTCCGTCCAAGTGAATGCATTGTTTTCCAGACAGCCTTGAATTTGCCTTCAAGAAGTTGACATTGCGTGTGCTGGTGTGATGATATTAAGTATTTTAAGGAAATGACACATACAGGAAAAACAGCCAAATATTTTGAAAATCAATCAATATTTTACGTGGAGGTACCATGGGAGTAAAGCTGCTGAAAACCTGTTTTTCCAAAATGGGTTCTTTTACCTGGTGTGCAAGAGGCCGAGCTCCACAGAGAGGTGAGGTATTTGATTTTTCTACAATTCTGCACAGAAAAGAGTGCTGGGTGTCAAATCTGCTAAGCCAGCATGATGACTACCAAAAAACTATCGCTGTTCATATGTTTTTGTAAACAAAGACATTAATATTCATTGGCTACAAGTTACATAGTTATCTGATTAATTAGTATCCTATCTACTACTATAGTCTATGTGCTCAGTCTCTCTTCTTTGAGTTTGTGACCACGAAATTCACCATCTCCCCTTGCCAGAATTGCCTTCTACGTACTTGGGGCTGACTTCAGCGCAGTTACTGAGTTGGTTTTGTTAGTTTCTTCCTGATCTTGGGAGTTCTGCCAAATGTCCTTGTGGCTTGTAAATTCTGCATTCTTTGTTTCCACTATCACTAGTACATCCTTCTCCCAAACTTTGTTAGCGTCGCTCTGGAGCTGTGATTATTGAAACTTTTCAAAGCAAGTTTCTCTAGCAACATCTCTTTAGTCATATAATTGCTCTTTTAAAAGTTAGAGAGGTATTACAATCTTTAATTCATGACTCAAATCACAAGAAACTATTGTCTGTGGCCCAGCTCCATAATAAAAAAGCATTTGTACTGGAACATATAGATTTTTTTTCAGTAATGTATAATTTATAGATGTTTCCTAAGCAACTATTTCAAGTAGATGTGGAATTGCAGTCAGACTGTAACAGACAATTCACATGTAATTCACAGTGTTTCTGGTGCACTTTTTTTTTTTAATCTCAGACATGCTTAGCTGTAATATTAATGACAGAGTGACACCCAGTGTCCAGAAAGTGCTAGAGATCATTCCAGCTCAGTTACATGCACCAAAATAGCCTTGGCTGTAACCTCTCTTAGTTGAATTCTTCCAGATCAAGGACTAGAAAAATGTCACAAGTTGTGATGTAGGGGCATTTCACAATATGTTACTTAGGAGGGATCTTCCTCTCTGGTCCTGGGATAAGTGGGTGGATCAACTGTCCCTCCTTTTGCTGTGAGTGTTATACTGTATATTTTTACAGCCTTGCTTCTTATGGACAGGAATACTTTTCTTGAATGTCCAACCCAGGATATCTTTAGAAATCTCTGTTTTGAGTGCTTACCATACACTGCAGAGGAGCGATGTTTTCTTGAAAGGTTTCCAGCTAGCTATTCATGCTGTTTCCTGTGGTGGGGTGTTTGAGTTTGCATTTGGGTTTTTGTGGTTTTTTTTTTCCTTTGGGAGGAGGAGAGGTGGGCCTTTTTTAGCTTTGATTTATATTCTGATGTTATGCAAGCAGAGATAAAGAAAGAACAGAAGTAGTATTTCTGTTCAGCTCGTTTTACTGTCCACTTGCTTAGATCTTGCCCCTTGTGGACTCAGAGATACTTCCTTAATGATGACAAGGTAGCAAAATTACAACATTTTCTGAAGAAGATAAGCCAATCAGGCTCTTATCAGGCTCTTCAGTTTCTGTTTCAGCCAACAACACTGCTTCATTTTCATCATGCACTAAAGATCATTCCCACTCTATGAGAAAGGAAAGGAAATGCTTTGATGAGCTGGGAAACTAAGGATACTTTATTTTTCAAAGTCCTAATTCGTTTAAGAGGTTAAATCTAGTGTTTTAAATTAACAGCAACTCTTGGAACTCAGCTTATGCTTCATTAAGAGTCCTAGACTCAAAGAGTTGGAATCCCGCCCATCTGAAAATTCAGTCTCTGGATTTTTTCCCCCACTGAAGTAAACTGGTGGAGATTTCCTGTTATCCTTCATCAGTTTTGAAGCCTTGGCTTAAATCTCCTTGAAAATCATGTGCTAGCTTTATTAAGATATATAGATACTTAAGGAGTCCAAGTCACACCCTTGAGGCAGTTCAGATGGATGCTACAAATGGTGCTCATTTATCCTCAGGACTACTGAAGCACTCACCTTAGCTTCTGATGACCAGAAGAGTGTGCCCATTGTCTTAGCACATCATTTCTGCAGGTATACAGTCTGTGAGTTGTTGCCCTGTCAGGACCACTGGATTCAACCTTTCAAGATCTCCCTGCATCCATCTGCCATGCTGACTGCCCCTGAAGCTGCAGAGCATGCCCAGAAGCAAAGTGAGCACATTTCACCCCAACTCCTACAAAGCCAGGGCAGGACCCAGCAGAGCCACCAAGTTACAGCTGCTGAGCTCCAACAGCTGCACATGGAAAGGATGGTGTGAACCTTGGGCTGTGCCTATTCTCTTGGGGGGATGTAGAGGTGTTTTGTCATTGTAGTCTAAAAATAACATCTAGCTCAGGCTCCTGAAATTCCTGACAATTGCAAAAGGTGCATTTTCCTCAAGTGGAGGTAAACAAGATTACATGTTTCCAGTAGCCTTTGACAGCCTTTATGTCTATCAATTATTGCTTGCTTTTAAGCTTGGACTAATACTAGAAGTTTTGCAAAGGTCAGTTATGCTACTGGCCAGTGAGATCCACCTACAGCTTGCCTGTTTCTTTTCCAAGTACAGCAAAAATGAGAGTAACTTCAGGAGCATTAAAGAATTTGAAGTCAGAATCTCTTACCTCCAACCTTGTATTGCAAGTGGGCCCATGCAGTAGGTCTGTAAGCCAACCTGGTGGTACTCTAAGCCCAAGATGATACAAGGCTTTCTCTCTCCGCCAAGACACCAAGTACCAGACACCAACAGCACATCAAAAGCAAGGCCCTCGTTCAGCAAGGAGAGCTAAAAAGGACTGCAAGCAACTGGACACACTGACCAGAGGAAAACAATGGGGTGACAAAGAAGGTCTGGAGAATTCACACAAGCCAGTTTTTGCAATGCAGCACTTAATGCCCCAGTCTTGTCTGCCCTTCTCAGCTCTCTTTAGCATGAGATGTTTCATAATAACACTAAAAAGTGTCAATTCTAAATTGGATTGCATGACATTGGCAGGAGGTGTCACTCACGAGCTGGAAAGTCAACTCCAGTAATACAGACATGGAAAGCATTCTTCTGCCTAATATCATTGGAAAAAACCCCAAAACTTTTACTACCATCACTTTTAGGTTAAAAGAAAAGAAAGCCTCTTTTAGAAGAAATTAATAAAAACCCTGACTCCATAAAGAACCCAGTAATGTCAGATTAGTCTAGCATGTTCATGAAATAGGTTCTGCCTTTCTATTTGTCCATTATTTGCTAAAGCCTTTTGTTTACCACTGCTCCACTAAGCAACAGAGCTAAGAAAACATGCCAGCAGCAGTGCTGGATTTGCTGAACTGGAGTGAGGGGGCTCCTCCACAGCCCTGAGTTCAACGTGCATCACATGTCACACAGCAGGAGGGAGGCTGATCTGCCCGGCAGTCCCCATCTCTCCTGATGGATTGATTCAGCCCTGCCTGCTGTGCTTGTGCTTATTAACATTTGCATCCTGCAGGGAGCTACAGAAGCAAAACAAGGAATCTCCCCAAGGAAGCCTGGAACAAACTCAAAAGTGAGGAAAGCAAATGAAGCAAAGACATAATAAAGACCTAGACTTCAGGTACTTCATTTGTTGTAGGTGAGCTAACTGATGTCTTTACCTTAGCTTTGGTAATATATTTGCAACTTGTGTTTTAATTGGGGTTTTGTTTGTTTTTAAATCTTCACAGCCATTCTTTCCTTTCCACCCTTGTATCTTGCAACTAAGAGCATCCATTCCTCTTCCATTAACCACTTCTCTCCTGCTTCCTCCTGCCAGTATGTTGGGAGCTTACATTCTCCCAGTGCATCCCTACTACTCCTCAATACACTATGCTACTTTTACAGAGACAATGAGTGGATGCAGCACTTCAGAGGCAGGGAATACACACTTTCCCTTTTCCACAGTGCTTTGCAACTCACACACGATCCAGCGCTGGGCACGATGATGTGGCCTGTGTCACTCAGCTCTCCCCTTTAACCATCCTGCTTTCTGATTTTGGTAAAGGGCTCAGCTAAAGAAAAAGCATCTCCCTGCAGTGCCAAGTACTGGAGTCTGTCTTCCAATCCCCATTTTTACATCTCTAATGGTAACCTTGTATGTCCATGCTGTGCTGCCTAACAACACTCCCCATTCCCTAGATGGGCTGCCACTAATCACAGCTCAATATATTCACAAATTATAAATTAACTGGTGAGTCTCCACTGAAACAAATTCAGTAGAACCATAGGCAGCAGCCAGTGACAGGACCTAAGCAAATTTCATCCCAATTCACACAGCATCAGTCTGACCCCTTAAAAGCCAAAACAGAGAGAATTATACTTTGAAATGAGGTCATTTCAAGAGGGGAGGAGAGGATATTGCTGCTGAGCCCATGAGAGAGCAATGGTGAGGGGGTGATTAAGATTAAACG